GTTTTTTCGCTCGGTGTGACATCTACGATATTGTCTTTTCTATGCGAAGTTTCCTCGGTTAAAGGTGTAAGTGGAGAAAAGTTTCGGTTGCCATGTTCTGGAGAATGCGTTCCTAATAATAATAAAGGGCTTTCTGAAATTTTGCTATAAAGTTCCTTAACATCGTGGTCAACAAACTCAAATTCCCCTTCATCTAAGGTATCGTCATTACTTTTCTTATGGTGTTCGTTTTCCATCAGAGAATCCTCTTCAATATCCGAGTCGAATGATGAGTGATAGACACTGGTACTATCGTAGGGCGTTTCGTTTTTACTTTCCAACAAATCTTCTTTGGAGTCCTGGTCTATGAAGCGTATTATTGTATCATTTGAACTTTGTCTTGTTACATCATTTTCCGTCTCCGATTCTTTGTAAATTGATGATTTATCTTCTAAGCTATTCGCCAGGATGGGATGACTTTCAATGCTTGTATTATTGAAGTTGTTAACATCATATCTTTCATCATTTCCATTAGCATTAACAAGATGGATTCTGTATTCCAAAGTCCTGTTTTCTGTTATCGATACAAATGATGTTTGTGTTTCTAATGTACTGCATTCAATTTTATGTGGATTGCCGTGGACCAATTCAATAATGGTTTTACTTGTTTGTGTGTATGTCTCCTGGGCTAGTATAGATATTTTCGAAGAACTTGTGCACATAGATTGATCTCTTGCATATATTATATTGTCCGGTGAATTTCGGTTTACAATGAAGCATGTATCGGTTGGTTTGTGAGGCGTTAGGTTTTCTTGCGTTTGAAACATCGCCTCACTGTCTTCACTATCTTCACAGTCGATAACGTAAGTAGCCTTCGACGTGGAGTTGTTTCCATCCGGGCTGCTATCGGTGAAATCGAAAGAATACACGTTCGATGTGGTTACACTCTTCTGAGAGTCTGTGCATCTGACATCCCCCACTAGATCTTCGATTTCATCTTCCTAATAAAGTTATACAGGATGCGATTATTGTTTTGTTAAAATGTTTCATCTATTGAATATATTCTTACCATTGTTATCCAAATTTTGAATAAAAATGATACAAAATCACAACATCTAGGCGCAGTGTAACCACATTCCAATATTTTAGTTTAGTGAATATTTACGTACGTTTCTGACAGGCCATGACACTTTGAACTAAGAAACTGTCAGTTTATCCTTTTTTGTGTTTATTTGTTGTGTTTAAGACAACGTCTTTAATGAGCTAGCTACAAGTCAACATAACTTTATCATGAATTGATAGTCATTAAAAACTTTACTTAAAATCCATCATCCTTACTGCCATGCTAATAAAATACATATGTAATTTTAAATAATTTCTAAGGAGGTTATGTCTAAGATTTATTTAAGTACATACTACATATTTTTATAACATCAATAACTCAGTATGTAATATTATTTGCCAATTTAATATTCAACTTGTAGCCTCATAAAGCTTTAAACTTTTCAGTTTTAATTAAATATTGAAATTTATGGATGACAGTTCTTCTATTAGGATATCAAATAAGCAACCAATAACTTTCAAACATATATTGTGATCACTTTCTTAGAGTGTATTAATATTCTGTATTGCTAAATATTCTTTTACTTTAGTAAATAGTTAAGGTTATGCTTATACATAATATGTATGTAGGTTATAAGAAGGCTCACATGTTACAATACTTTATTACCGGTAACCGGCATTTATAATGTCATGTCATCAGCCTATCAGAGCCTACTGCTGAGCAAAGGCCTCTTTCTCACATGGAGAAGGTTTGAGCATTAATCACCACGCTTGCTCAAGACGGGTTGGTGATTTCAAACTTATAATTGTGAAATTTTATAATTCCTTTTTATAAAACCTTGACATAAGTCCAGGTTTCCTCATGATGTTTTCCTTCACCGTATGTCCGTATAAAATAAAAAAATACTTCATTGCGTATATGGTCATCTTAATTTTTCTTATAGTAATTTAAGTTGTCATTGGTATATAAAAATTTGTTATATTAAAAAAAATCAGTGCAAATGACTTATTTCATAATTATTGAAGTTTAGAAGATTACAATGCAGAAAGACAGATTTTTACGCATTTTTAGGAAGCTTACATCTTTTTTGAATAAACTTTTTGGATGAGTAAATTAGAATAAATGTCTGTGAAATAATGATGGTTATACAAATTTTGGTACTAAAATCCGGTAGAATACTTTTGTCCCATTTGCCCTATTAGCTATTCGGTCAGACCGATTTTCGGTATACCACTGATATCCTAAGCGTTGCAACCATATTTATATATTTGGCTAGGCTTTTTGCATCAAAAAAGAAGATAATTATCAAGAAGAATTAATCATCCTTGAAAAAGTAAACTTTTCTGTGACTTCTAGGGAAATATTTAGGCTAAGAAAGATTATTATATAATATAGTTTTATTCACAAAGAGGATTGATGTCAGGTAGGCGGCCGGTCGTAAAACAATTAGCCAAAACTATTCATAACATGTAAGGCAGACCCTGGCTAAAGCTGGAAATTGCCAGGAAGATGAAGATTTAGGTTAAGAAAGTTATCTATATAGCTCATAGATTAACCAAAATGTATTTGTGTAGGTACAACACTCGTTTTCAGGATCGGACCATGTCTCGACGTACTCACGGAAAAGGCTGATTTCTTTTACCTATAAAGAGTTTTCAACTAAACTACATAGCTCTTACGGGACGTCAAAATAAAATACAGTATTATTTTTAAACGATTTTATAAATGATAACACAAATATTATATATTCGAGAAACATAATTATCAAACTTTGTTTTAAAATTAAAATAACACTATTGCTTACATCTACACTATCTGTCACACGTAGATAGAATTAAATAGAAAACGACTTAGCAACAACTTAATGCTGAAACTCCATATAAATTGTAAAGTTGATATTTTTTTACTATATTTATTTCATTTGTAGCAAAATCTATGAAATATTTTGGTATGGAAAAGATAATACAGGCGGAGGTTCATGAAAAAAGTAAATTTTTGACATTGACCTCACCTCTAGGTGTGAATTTAACTTATTTTATAAGCAACTTAGTTCTTATGAAATCACAATAATATTTGGATACACTTTAAACACATAAAATACAATATTTTTCCATCAAAAAGTCAATATGAATATTTACAATGATTTTGAGACTGAAAAACAGAAACATTACTTTCAAATAATATTACAACTAAAGCATTTCTCATAAAATACAATTCAATTGATAAAATATACACCATTTTTGTTAGAATATTGAAAATTGAACAAAATATATCACGTATTCATAATTTTCATGATAAGTATCAAATGTAGCTATGAAAATCATCTTTATTTGATATGTTTTGTGGGAAAAAGAGACAACAGTATATAACAAATATGTAATAACATTTTACGTAAACGAAAACACTTATATTAATTCAGGAATTTTCATTAAAATACTATATTTAGGTATGTTAATTCAAGCACAATAAAATATTAAAATGAATACATCCATAGATAAAAATTATAAACAGATATGCACTACTGTCTCGACTTACTTTGAACACGTCCACTTCAAAGTAATAGAAACGAGTCAAAAATCATATATATATTTAATATAATTAAAACATATATATGTATATATATTTAAACATTCAATTTCAGTGATATGTACTTTAGTAAAACGATCCATTTAGTAACATACTATATGTGATATGGACTATAGTCGAAAGAATTACATATTGCAACTCGAACAGTTGAATAAAATTAAAAGTATATTTTATAAAAATATATCGGTATCACAAAAAGTATATTACTATATATTTTCAATATATATTTTTAACGTTGAAATTATTGATATGGGTAACAGCTGTTACAATAGAATTTTAAAATTAAGATGCATCCCAAAGGATACAAATGAAAAAAGTTTGGAACATAATGCTGATATAAGAATGATAATTAAATAACTATCAATAAAATTTTATATAATAATGGTTACACGTCCCTACAGTCAGTCACACCAATAAACATATACTTAAACTAACACCAATCTTTAGCACACAATAATTTTCAACCAACACCAATGTAAATTCATTTAACAATAGTTTAAATACTATAAAAAACTTTGAATACACGCATTAGACTATATTGTCTTCAACTAACTTACTTCAAAAAATATTACTCATACAGACTATACGAACAGTATCATGACAAAAATATCCTCACAAAAAATGTTCTAACAACGTAGTCACTGAATATGGATTTTAATATTGAAAACAATTTATTATTAAGTTAGATAAACTAACGTGAATAATAATATAGTTTCAACAGACTAACCAATTTAACACAAACGAGTGTGGATAATTTTTATCGTAACTTATTATAGTTCCAACGACATATATTTTAAACACACCAAAAAAACACCAACAACATTAATTTATTATCTAGATATCAATATAATGAAAAACACAGCACGATTCTATATATCTATATACTTGGCAATATTGAAATTCAAACATTCATATTATTACGTTGGAGTTTTGTCAATACATCTGAGGACTATTCAAACATGATATCAACTTTTAATTTCACAGCTTTCAATCGCTAAATATAAGGACACGATTACATTGTAGAAATATAGTCCAGTATATATATAACTACTATCACATAGTACACAAAGAACGGGGTCAAAACATTACCTTAATTAAGTTTAATACACGGGGAAGGAATATATGTCCAAAGGCCACTAGCCACTCGAATGACTTGGAGAGATATAAATAAAACAATACCGCTAAACGATATATACAATCGATTAGTAAAAAATTTAGAGGTAAATCGGATTCACAAACACAACATCGACACCAATAGTCCGTCGCGAATAGTCCGCGGTATATATAGTCCGCAATGTATATAGTCCGTGGTGTTTATAGTCCGCCGCGCCTAGTCCGTGAGGTAGAGCCTCGCCAGGCGGGCGCGGGACACTCAGCGTGGACGAGCGGACATGTGCTCGGCGTGCAGGCGGACCAGCTCGCCGACTATCATACTCTCGATGTCCACGCCTTTATATATTAATAGGTAATAATTATACAACACGATATTTGGTCATGTACATTTTGTACAACATTTAATGAGATCTAAGACTTTCGCGAGTATAGTAGATGAAACTAATATTTTCGGATTACTAAGAGCATTTTATTATTTAAAAAATATAATGTGATTCACATTTCGTCTGCCCGTGATCACGGTTGCTTCAAAGTAACCAAAACGTCGGAAATATGTAGTTTTTAATATAATAAAATACGCGTGGTGACCCGAATAATAGTAGTTTCATTTAAACACCCATATATCTTTACTGACACATATTTCGTTTTGATAAGCTATATTAATAAGTCAGTGGTGGCTCAGTGGTTAAAGGGCCCGCCTCTCGTTGCCGAGGGCGCGGGTTCGATCCTGGCCGGGCAAAGTACCAATGTGATTTTTCCGAATCATATGTACTTTCTAAGAGTATTTAGACATCACTGACTAATGTTGATTCCCAAAAGTGGGTTGATGTCAGGCAGGCGGCCGGTCGTAAAACAAATAGCCAAAAACTATTCACAACATGTAAGGCAGACCCTGGCTATAGCTGGGAAATTGCCAGGTAGAAGAAGAAGAAGCTATATTAATATGGAATATTATTAGCATTTTACCTGCGTGTACTTCTTCCCTGGTCAGTAAAATTTCTTGTACGGCGTTAGAAGTTACCAAGATGACCCTGTGGTGGCGGGTTTGTAACAGATTCGCTACAACCATCTGGAATATTGAAAAAAATACATTTATACTGATCTAATTAGGTAAAAATATAATTGGCAAGATATTACAACTATAATATGTCGATAGATCAAGGATTTTTTTGCTATTTACGTACTTTATGCTTATATTTCTCCAAAGCTGCCCTTGCTTTTGGTATGAGGAGGTTTTCATCGGTTTCCAGCTTGAATGATACCACGTATGCTTCAGGCACCCAGAGATTGACGAGAGGCGCCAACATCTTAGGGACCAGGTGGAGTTGAATCACGGGTGCTCCACTCGCTGATTGCATCTTGTGGGTTGGCTGATATAATAATTATATTAGAATTGTGATATGATATGACACCTAAGAATTTACGATACTCTACTATACAGGGTGACTGGTGAATTACTATCGATACTTGAGGATTTGATATTTGACGATCATATATGACAAAATAAAAATTAATATAACATAAATATTAATAAACTTCTAAGTAAAGTTAACAAAAAGTTATGTAATTTATTACGCATCGTGTGAACACCCTACAGAATAGGTATACACACACACACACACACGCGCGTTTGGCGGCGTGGTGTTGTATCAGCACGCCGCCGCACGCGTCCACACTTGAAACACTTGGAACGTATCCACACTTTATTTATTTATACGGAAATTTGGTCAAAAATTAAGTACCTATTTTTTTTACATAATTCGAATGAGAATCATTTACTGAGTATTCTCCTTAAATATTGATAGTAATTCACCAGTCACCCTGTATAATATGAAACTCTATAAAATAAAACTTATGTTTTCGGATTTCATTTTTTTTTTAATTATTTTTTCTTCATACTAAGGACGTTTAAGTTCCTTTGCAGCAGCAAATCAGTTAGTCTTGTTATTTGTCACGTACTTGTAGTCGTAAAATAATGAAAAACGTGTTGTATTATAAAACCCTTAGTATCATTTATATTAAAATTCTTTGTTGTCCTTTAAATATTATGCAAGAAGTGTTTAACACATATTGAAACGAACAATAACAAGAAGTCGAATAGATTTCATTTTCATTTGGAAAGAAAATAAGTTGTAAAAAGTTATGTATACAAATTAAAGTACGCTTTATACTCACAACTCTATCCTTAGGTATATAAAAGTCTGACACAGCGGCAGCCAAATACAGAACAGCTCTTGCTCCTGTATGAGCGAGACATTCACAGGCCGCTCTCAGCAACCAAAAGTATTCTGATACTGTTGTGAACGACACATGCAGGAGTGCACCAGCGGCGTGAGCGGCCTGATACCGCGCGAGGACTGGGGCGAGGGCGAACACGCTGTCTGGTTTCACTGGAATAATGCCGTCCAAGATAGATATTTTGAACTTGAATAATTTCTTCCAAGCTAGATATTTTGCAAGATTTTTTTTGCAAACCTATTTGATCATAAGAGTCATGTACGCTCTGCTTATATAGTAATACAGAATACGTAATAAGATATTTTTGAATAATTAAGAAAAAAAATCGTAGTCTTGAACGTTAGCTTTCGGTACTTTGTATTTTTTTTGTCAGAACGTGACGTAAATGGCTAATTTTTATGTTACGATGTTTTTGTTTTAAACCCAAATAAAAAAGATATTTTAAGAAAAACTATGAGTATCCAATTCACTAGAAATTTATACATAAAAGATCGATTATGGTATTCAGTGATTTCTACATCAACATAATATACTACATTTACAATAGGAAAAAAGAAAACATGTAATTACATAAAATTAAACAAAAATACGATACTATATTTTTGATATTAAAAAGAATTGAAAATTGTTAGACCAAATAATACCAACAAATAAAACGAAGGTCTTGTTGTATAAAAGAGATTTTTTGTATAGTTTTTCCGCGAGTCATCACAAGACGTGCTCAAATCGACTCGGTCAAGGTTAATGAGACTCCACAATTAAGTGCCCTTTCTCTGCACACTTTAATGACGGCTTATAAAACATAAGAAGCGTTCTTATGACACGAATGTCGGCTACAAAGAAGAAATAAAGCCTTATATATTATATATAAGAAATTTTACACATATAATATTATGTATATTGGGGATATGCCAGGAGTCTTTTCATTATACGTGTTTAGATTAACTTGATGATAATAAGAAAATTTTATTATATTATTAAAGACCCATTTGTATTAATTTTCATACAAAGATTACACTGGCATGCGTGGTAGGTACTGTTTCGAGTAATCATGGTCAAAAATGCCCTACATCATTTTTAAAAACAGATGATGGTCTAAAATTATTGGACCGATATTAACCAAACATAGCTAAGAACTAACACAAGGAAATTGGCTAGGGTGCGTACGTTCTAAGGGCGCCTAATAAAAACTATGATTGCACGGATAAATACACACACACATAAACAAACCCGAGCACATACACTCACACGCACACTCACTATAGAATTATCCTATAATTATACAGTTGCTTATAAGATTTGCTCTAAAAATAGTTTTCCTTCATGACTTTTTCATTCCTATTGACACAAAATATTTGAAACAGATGGTAACTTAATATGTATTTAAATTTAATATTAAAGTCACTACACTCCAGCTTTTGCTTTATTGAAAGTCAAGGCATATTTTTTCATTAAATTTAGTTTTAAGTAAAAAAAAATTATTTCAAGTTATATGGTTAAGTGAAATTTATTCTTATATAATAATTAAGAACATAGCTAAAAGATGTTTGATAAGAATATCTTACTGAGATTTATAGACCAGTTAATACTGCTTAACATAATCAGTACAAGAAATTTAAAATAAAATGTCAACCATACTGACCAGTTATAGTAGTGTTGGGTCCTCTCTCTTGTAAATCCAGCATATCAAGAAGCTTTTGTCCAGTGAAGTGTCTCGTGAACGGCTCCAAAGACTTCTGTCTATGCATGAATATGACCGCATATCCGTGCTCGAGGAAATACTCGGCCGAAGCTGAACCTCTAGTACCAGCACTGAAATTATCTACAAAACGAACTGTATTGTGCTCCAACGGCACCGTTGTTCCTCCGGACTGTAAGAAATTTATTAAGTTCAAATAATCGTCACTATTTCATATATAAATGCATATTTTAATTTTACTCTCAATAACTTACAGTGACGAGAACAATCTTATTTCCATATTGGTCATGTCTCTCACAGAACTCCTTCAACAGAGATCTATTATCTTCAAAATCGGTCGGAGGCAAATGAACGGCAAAGAACTCTTCCCATGAACCGCTCGCCATTCTGGATTTTGTTCGAAATGGCACTGCTTTGAAATTCACATGTTAGATATATATATAAATCATAAGTAAAAATATTTTTGTATACATCAAATCTGCATTGCATGTAGCCACTTTATATGTAGGTACTTTATATAATAATATTTTTATACAGATATATTTAGCAAGTAGGAAATATGTGTATTGTGTATTATAATTTTATAATTCAATTAGTATTTTTGGTAATTGGATTACAATAACATAAAAAAGTTATTATAAGGTTTCTCTATATATAACTGTTTTTATGATCCTATTCTCTATATTTAATACATATATGATATAAGTACAATACTGTAATAGCCGCATTATTCATAATAATCCAATTAAAATTTATATTGGATAGTAGACAGCAAAATTCATGACACTTTTGTGGCTTATTTATACTTTTAAAATTATAATTTAACTCTATTTAATATAAATATTTAATACATTTTGTATCTATTTCATTACCACTGTATGTTAAGGCAAATATAAGTTAAATAATTTTTTAAAGAAATCATGTTGTGTATTTTAGATAATACTTAAATTTTGCACAAATCCGGAATGCCTTATTAACTACTTGTTGCTAATTATTTAATAAGTTATTACTTTTAAGTTACTCACCTAAATTATGAGATTGTTTGACGCGATGGCACAATCTCAGTAGAGAGTACACTTTCTTAAACAATATGATATTATTACACGTGTTTTCTGATAGATATTTAAACCATCACAACACTAAGTCATAACCTATACTACACAAAAGTATTTAAAGTCTGCCCTAATCAGGTTTATTGGAAAATCGATGCCTTATACACCTTCAAAGAATATGGAACACGAATTGAGCTCAGTGGCGTGTGTTAATTGGGGAAAGATGTCCGAGTTTACGCTGATTCATAAGTTCGAGGGCTTCGTTCCTCGATCGATGTCTTTTAATTTGATATTAAAGGAGGCCGCAATACTTCGTTATCTCGGTTATCATTAAAGCAGCTGTGACGGTGTCAGCTGTCAAACTAAACTTCAGTTTGACATCTGTTGCTCATATACATATGTTTTTTAAAATCTTGTTCCCTCACTGAGTAAAGGTTTATACAGCTAACAGCCAGATTGGAACATTTATTATATCTGTATTTTTTCACTTTACTTCATGTTATATATTAGTCGTATTAGTTACAAATTGTATGTTTTAAACAGAGCAGTAAGTTAAATAAATTAAACGTCATTCAATTACTATTTATTTACAATCAACTTAACAACTTAGTCACATTTTAATAAAGTTATAAATGATATAAACGTTATTATTACAGATTCTAATTAGTGATGCACTTGTTTACCAATTACGTTCTATTCCAATATTTTTTTTGGCTGCAACTGACGGTCATCGACTAGAAAGGCAGCGACTATAGCTGACGCTGAAAAAGATGACAATTAATATTTCATTACACTCACTTAGGCTACGCTTACAAATGTAATTTAATAATATCCATACCTCATAGAAATGAAAAAAGTTATCGTTTTATGTGGATCACCTAATTGAATATAATTAATTTACTATTATTTGTTTAATGCCTTTTTTATCATAAAGAATGAATTAAAAATTGCATTTATTTTATTTATTTCAATGATTCTGATGATCTTATCGTATTCGTTAGAAATTGGTGTTAAAGGTAAGTTATACTCTACAAATATTCTTGAAATAATTAAATTGCAATACTCACATGCGAATATTCCACCGTAAATATAGAAACTAAGTTCACAGTTATCGTTTAGTAATAGATTTAGAACTTGGACTGACACAAAGGTTCCTATACGACCAATTGTCATTGTAAATGCAACCGCCAAGGCCCTGAAAGAATAGTATAGTAATAAAAGAAATGATCTAAAATAAAAATAGTTTCTTTTTATATTATCCTGATTTATTCTCTTTTTTTGTTTATATAATTTTTGTAATTGCAGAATTACAGGTTAAGTAAGGTAAGTTAAAATAATATATGTACGTCATGTGGACGAACTCAGATTTTTTTTCTTAATACAAATTTATTTTATTGGCTAAAAGATAATAAATGTAATATTTGCTTGGAGATGTATTTAATTATTATTTCCATAATTAATTAAAAGATAATGAATCTTATATTTTCTCAGTGATGTTTACGATATTTTAACCAACTCCCATTATTTAGGAACACTGTAATTTAAACAAAAGTCTTCTGGAGCATATTAGGCTTCAAACTCGAAGTTTGGCAAGTTTCATCCTAATTTTAGGGTTTGGAAAGCTGAATAATTTAAGCAATTTTTTTATTAGCTGTCCATTCTATTCCGAAATCTTTTTGTGCATCATCAATACAGACATAGTTAAAAAAAACAAGAACTTGATCCTCTTCTCATTAAAAAACATGTTATTTTTTTAAATTTTGTTAAGAAATTTCTATATAGCACTATTATAGCATACCTTAAATAGGTTGGGAACAATGCTACCGCTATCGCGGAGTATAATCCAAGAGCAACAAGCCCAATGAGGAACACGATATAAAGAACAGCGCTGCCGATGGCATTTGGGACCAGATTCACCAGGATTCCCGCCAATCCGCAAAAAGCCGTTACACATATCACTACATTTCGACGACCCACCCGGTTTATTATCTGTCGAAGAACTTGCATATATCCTACTCATATTATAATTGCGAAAGTTTGTCAGTGTGTGTGTATGTTTGTTACTTCTTCACGATGAAACGGCTGAACCGATTTTGATAAAATTTTGTATATAGGAAGCTGACGTCCAGGAATAACACACAGGCTACTTTACATCCCGGAAATCCTCGGGTAACACCGCGGGGCGCATCTAGTTTTATATATGCTTTTTATAATATTAATGTACTATACTTAAAATACAGTAGTATATTTTGGTGTTATTTTTGATAATTATTACAAAATCGTTGCTTGAAAAATAAGTTTTTTGTACAACAATTAATAAGGAAGTTGGTTCTTAAAGAAAATTTGAGTATGTATTAAATGTCTGAGTAATTAGGTAGTGCTTGCTTTATCATGAATCAACAATAAACAAATTGACACTTAACATAAATTTTATCAATAACTCTACGTCCCTTGGAAATTATCACTAACATTTATATGATATGCAAAATTTTTTATAGTTCAATAAATAAAAAAGTATTTTACCACACTTATGAGGCCATTTGCAATAGATTGTAAGGCGCTGACTGATAGCACGAGCAATAAAGACGTGACGTTTAATGCACAGGGCGCTGTGGTTGTCTAAAACACAAATTAAACATAAACCCATAGAATGTCCTAGTTAAGAGTTAGTTACCAATTAAAAATCATGTCTAGTTCTCTACCCAAATATGCTAGTTAATTTTCCTTTGATGTACAAAAAAAGAGCTATGGCAATTTTCTTTACGGTCTTTACATTACTGTCAGAAATTACAAGGTCTGGTAGTTACAAGTAATGTGGTAGGATCTTCTTCTTCTATCTGGCAATTTTCCAGCTTTATCCAGGGTCTGCCTTACATGTTTTTAATAGTTTTGGCTAGTTGTTTTTACGACCGCCCGCCTGCCTGACATCAACCCTCTTTGGGAATGCATTAATCAGTTATGTCTTAATACTCTTTTTAAATTACTGACTCGTATATGTACTTGCCAGGATCGAACCCGCGCCCTCATGCATGAGAGGTGGGCCTTTTAACCACTAGGCCACCACTGACTCAAGTAATGTGATAGGATAACAACTAAAAATTATAAATATATATACTATTGATATAAAACTCACGTCTGGCGGTGTGTTAATACTAGAACGTATTATCGCACAGAGTGTGAGATCAGATCCTTCTCCAGTCTCTAGAATATTGACGAATTGGTTTGATACAGTCGGCAGCCACAACACAAATGAACCCACCCTGGAAAACATTTTGTTTACGTATTTTGCACCAAAAATTTTGTTCATTACAAGAGCAAATTTATCTACAAGAACAGCATTCGAAATTACTATCTCCTGGAGTGAGAAAGGGTTCACTCAATATTACTTATAAGAATTTACATTCAACTTTCGTCATATTAATAATTTAAAAAAATACCATAAATATTTCAGTCTCGTTGTTTGATAAGTTGTCCTATAGAAACTACATATTAATTTATTATTTCGGCACAGATTCTGTTATGAGAAAAAATGCTATATATTGAAATATATATCAAAAGATATATTTGAAGTACTTAAATAGAAACTCAACTGTTGAAACAAGAATAGGGTAGATATAATCATGGTGTTCTTAAGTAACGGTTTCTTGAACAAGGAAGTAAATGTGTCCGTCAGCGCTCTTTTAATCTCTTTTTGTGGTCTGTCTCTTTGGATGACTAAAATCTAAAATAAATAATATAAGAATTAAGAAGTATTTAAAACAGAAAAATAAAAATAATATAATACAATAATTACTCACAGGAAATTCCTTTTTAGACCACATATTATTTATTTTGTGAATTCTACTCAAAACAGACATAGCCTCTTTCTCTAAGCCTTTGTTAAAAAGGAACTTTGGACTTTCAGATACAAATAATAAGCCTATAATTGATATTAAGCTTGGAGCGCTATATAAAAGCAAAAGAGATCTCCACGAGTTCCAATGTATGCCCAGTGTTGGCATGTAAAACGAGAAAGAGAGTGGAATAATTGGTATTGCCATCACTAAAAAAAAGTTACCATTATTTAAAATGATTTTAACATTTCATTAAAGGTTCTTAGAATGCTTGCTAACATGCCATAATTCCCTGCGATAGGAAGAAAATACTTCCAACTAGCAACACTACAATATTTCGATTCGCCATCGGTACACTTTCGCTAAGAATGGACATAGCTTGAGAAAACTGGCCTGATGAGCTGAAAATTTAGTTATATCAATTAAAAACTTGATTAGAACAAGATATATAGAGAATGTAATATTAACATACAAAAATGTTGATAAGAACTGTAAGATTAACAACATTATCCAGTTTACGGATATAGAAGCTAAGCCGTTAAATATAGCTGATGAAGAAAGTAAGATGATGAGCATTCTCTTGCGTCCGTAGATATCTGTGAGGTAGCCCCATGGCACAGCTCCCAGGAGTAAAGCTGGAAAAGAAATCCTGTCAAAAACCTTCAAATATTTTAACAGTCAGAGTTAATTTAATATTTGCTTACCAATAACAGGAACAGCTGCTAATAGTCCCTTTTGGGAGGTCGTAGTTTCCAGCTCGCAAGCGCTAGCTGGTACTATGATAGTGCTGGCGTAAGCTATACACACCAGAGATATTATAATAAGACCAGACAGGCTGAGGAGAACGATGCTGTACAGTCCAAAACCTGAGGAAACGATTTAAAACACATTTCTAAAAGTACTTTAAACAAAACATATATATTTAGCATTAAAAATGTTTAAATGAAACTAAATTTTTTGGATTTACTACGCGTTTTTTTTTATTTTTGACTATAAACTATATAACTGCGACTCACATCTCGTCTGCCCGTGATCACGGTTACTGTAAAGTAATCGAAACGTCGGGGGTATGTAGATTTTAGTCAAAAATAAAAAATCCCTAAGTAAATCCGAAAATATTAGTTTCATAAAAAAAGAGTAGGTATTCCCGAAAATCTTAGATCTCAATATTAACAATATATTTTTTTAAACTGTTGTCGTCTTCAATGTGGGCAAAACAATAATTATTGAGATGTATATTACAAATGAATTAATGTAAACTCTTTCATAACAACACCAATAGAAATGCTTATAAAATTGGCATTATCCTGATTAGATAAGTCAGTGGAAGGAAGGCTTGTTCCTTGTACATTTCATTAAAGTGGTATCGATTATGCTACCAATCATGATGATTCTTTAAGTTTATTTGACCTCGAATAAATGTTCAGGTAGCAATAAAATGCATTCGTTTAAACGTAGAACATAAGAAGACGTATAAAGCAATATTATATGCATCTTAATCATTAAGCTACCTCTGCTTTCTAACATTATTGAGTTCAACATATTATAAAGTGTAAATTAAGATTGCTAAACTTAATTGAATTTTGTTTTTTGTTATATTCACTTAGTCCTTTGTCTTAAAATTCTCAAATGTAATAAGTCGAAAGGATTGTAACCACACAGTCCATAAAAAATCTATGTTATTATTATAAATAAATGTGTATAGCTTGGCATTTTTTTAATTTTTTATCGAGAAATTTAAGTAGTAGATCACTTATTAATAACTAGCTTTCGACCCGCAGCTTCGCCCGCGTGGACTTCGGTTGTAACGCGTTTACAAGAGAACCTTTCAAAAGTCTGGGATAAAAACTATCCTATATTCTTGTTCAAGGTGAACTCTATCTCTGTACCGAATTTCATTAAAATCAGTCCTGTGGTTTAGGCGTGAAAGCGTAACAGACAGACAGACAGACAGAGTTACTTTTGCATTTATAATACTCGTATTAGTAGCGATAATCTAATATCAGTTTTTGGAATGAAAAAAGGATGCATGCATTCAGTAACACAAACAGGACTTCCTGTCAGTAGTTACGATCTTAATATATCTTTGAGTTATTTATTTATAAAGTAGTTAACTTTACGATTACACTTATTGTACTGTATTTCAACTGTAGTTTACTTCCTTACTACTATTATTTCAATCTTGCATTCACGTTAATGCTCTCACGAAAGGTCTTTATATGAAAAACTATCAACTATTAACCATAGATGATGATAGTTACTCATGATGAGGGTATTGTTTACATATTTTTCAAGAACGTTGTATTTTTTCCTCCCTCCACTTCTACTTGCAAGTTATTACTAAATATCAGAGGCCTTGTCGAGATATTGATGAATAATTTCAGACATAATATTCTTCAGATCATGATTACTCTACAATACCCTACAATAATTCAGATTCAGATCCAAAAAAATGTATATTTTTGCTAACATATTATATCAAGGATATTAGAAACTATAAGTGAATACCTGCTTCGTTCAAGGCCTCCTCAAACGTGACCTTACGCCCATCCTGACGATCCATATCATTAAATAATTACAAATATAAACAAAACAATCCTTGCTTATAATCACGTGTTTACGAACTAACGATATATTATATACTGACTACCAAATTTCACAAACGAACGCCAATCGCGAACCACATAGTTGATTGCTTTAATGTATCCGATAAATATGTTAAAATGGTCCTAATTCTTTTGTGATCCGATGTTATGACTATGAAAATTGTTAAAGGTTATTAACACTAAATAAATTATTATTATGAAATGTAAACTATGTCTTTCTGTTACAAAAAAGGGGTGAAAAGGATTTTATTAAAATGGATAGGTCTTCACAGAAGGTCCTTCTTATGATGGGATACGTACCTACCTAATGTTAGAGAAGTACCTTTATAGTCACAGATTAGGGTTTTAACCCGAGGTTATGATAGGGTTTCCTAACTAAGCACGCCTTTTAAATAAATAATTCTTAAAAGTAACGAGACAAGGAGTGTAGAAAGTCCTAAAGAATTACTTCATATTGTAGCAACGGAATCCGCTCAAATAATGAGATCTAAGACTTTCGCGAGTATTCATTTAAATAACACTAATAATTATGGAAAAAAAATCATCTCGTCTGCCTGTGATTGTTGCAAAGTAACCGAAACGAATGGTAAATGTAGTTTAAAATATCAGAAAAAGCTTAGTATGCGAAATAATTTTTGACTATATTATTTCTATCTAATAATATTTTATATATTCTTTAACTAATATCTTTAAATCAACTAAACATATTCTATTATTCAACTCAAACAGGTTTTATTAAAAAAGGAATATAAACATGTGTATTGGCATTTGGACCTTAAAGTGGTACTGTTGACATTTTAGACTCAGACTACAAGCGATTGTTTGAACAAAACACAGCCAAGGATTGAAGAGAATAAAAAAAATAATTCTATATGTATGTTATAAAAATTACTTTAGTTATTATACTCTATTTTCTTTGCAATTACTTAAATTTTATCTATCTTTGTATATTTTAATGTTATAAAAAATATACATATGAGCTAATCAACATCATTTCATACATTTTTATCTATTTTTTTTTTTTAAAGTATTTATCCATTCCTAGAAATATAAACGATTAAAATTATTCAAAACAATAGTAATATATAACAAGGAGTAGCATTTGATAGACTGGCCATATCATCATATATTGCTAAGTCAGAATTCAAAAGAAAAATTCTATCCTTTATCGATATTTTATTTATAACATATAATAAATTAGCATAACTTATCTATTGATAACTTTCAAAATAGATCACATACAATAAAAACATAACATTTACAAACAGTATCACATATTATTTACAATCTTAAAACGATAAATACACTTTACTTATTGTTATCCAATATAAAATTTATTTGTATGATATATCAAAATTCAACAGTCTCAAATAATTCATTTAGTATGTTTTATTTTCTTTGGAAATCAAGATTTATAATACTATATAGTTTCAGACTTTTCAGTAATTACCTTAAATTTATATTAATTTAGTTAATAATAATTTTACTTTTAACCCTACTGTAATACTTTGAAATTCTAACTAAATTCACAGTGACTAGTACTAAATACTCTCCCCTGAGACTCAAAAAAATTATCTTCTATCCATTTTGCCAGAATCTTTTCTTCCGGAGAAATTATTTTGGCAACATTATTGAATCAAGTTCTTCATTTATTTGGAACCTTGTCCTTCGGTAAATACCATGACAATACAACAGCAGCTAAAAAATAAAAAAAGCGTTATTTATTCAATGTTTGTTCCAATCTGGTTGATAGTACCCAATATCCTAAATGCAATAACCAATTTTTGACTATAACAGTTTCATAATATCGAACTGGATATTTTTTTAAACTCATGTAGATTTTTTCAAAATATCAATAAATAATTTAAGAGTATACTTACTAAGTAATAAAACAGCCCAGCCATAGAACGTTGCCTCGCAATTGGCAGAGATAAGAGCCCCAATCGCATTCACACCAAGAAAAGCGCTAGATCTTCCCAGCATCACCGATAAACAGGACGCCATTCCTCTACAAAGCAAATTATGGTAAGACAAAGAAATAACAGATAAGAATTTTAATTAATGCTAGAAGATTTCTTACCTCAATGACGTCGGGTATAATTCCACAAAATAAACACTCAAAATACCCATCGAGAGGGCACAGAGAAGGAAGAAGAAGAAGAAGATGCCGCCAGCGATGGGAACAGCAATCACGTTTAGAAGTACAGCAGCTACTGCTGATGTAGTTACAATACAGATCATAGCAAAGCGTTTCCTTGAACCGCAAGTGAGAGAGAGCACCAGATTACTAGAACTGGCCAAGGCACCGTACGTCATAGCAGAGAGGAGGGTTGTGTCTTGAATTGTATCATTACATACTTCCTGGATCATCTGAAATATAAAATGTATGATATTTAAAACATATATTTATTTGGAGACGAAAACATTTATAGCGAAACAAAAACTAATACATAGAGTATGACATGACCTTCCTTAATTTAAGCATAAGGTCAGAGATATTAAAATAACATCTAGAACATTCTAAAACGAATTAGTACTTATAATTAATTTAAATAATTATCGTTGAGGGTCTTGTAAACACTAACCGTGTCATTTCCTGAGACGCCAACACTTTCAGTTGAGTATCTGATGATAGTGCAAAGATTCATGCCCTGTCCTCCACCGGCTTCGAGAACCGAAAATAGATTGTTCATAATGTATGGAAGCCAAAGAATGAAGCCGCTTCCACTGTAAGAATAAACGGTAAAATTTAACTTGTATTCAATAGAAAAAAATTGTTTTAATGTGTTTAATAATTTTAATGGAGAAGTTCAACTCACGTCATGTAAATAATGGTGACTAAATAAAAAAGTTTAAGAGTAACTTTAAGTAGAGGAGGTCTGAACAGGGCAGCTGTCTGATGCCACATGGTCTTAAAGAATGATTCTTTCTCTGAAGCTTGCTCGGCTTTGTCTACGATTTTCTTGACCTGAAATTAAAAAAAATCCTCTCAATCATTGTCATTATTGCTGTAATTAAAATAATGAGTACATATTTTTAATATCTTACAGTAAAGGTATTAGCTTGCTTGCCACTGTTACATGCGTATATTTTCTTTAGTACTTCTAACGCTTCTTCATTTTTCCCAATTGAGACCAAAAATTTGGGACTTTCGTGGAACAGTTGCAGTAAACAGGCTGTTGCTGCGCAGGGCAGAGACATAACAAGAGCCAGGAGACGCCAGGATCTGTACTTGATGCTAAGGAAATCAATCCAATACACGAACTCCAATGGAAGTATTGGGTAGGCAAATACTGGAACAAGAAACAATATACATATTATAGCACGGTAAATTTTAGGTCGTTCCTGGTTCACATAATGATATGTAAGACTTTCGTGAATATTCATTTAAATGAATTTAGTATTTTTGGGTTACTTCGAGTATTATATTATTTTTAAAAACTACATACTCCCGAAGTTTCGGCTACTTTGCAGCAAGCGTAATCACGGTTCAACTGTGATCATCTCATCTGCCTATCAAGGCTGATGCAAAGTAACCGAAGCGTCGGGAGTATTTAGTTAAAAAGGAAATAGAATACGTGTAGTACATCCGAAAATATGTGTTTCATTTAAAGTAATATTTTATTCAGTAACTTTTAAATACTTACAAGCCACTACAGCCTGCGAACACATCAGAAAACAGTTGCAGAGAAGCATTGTAGGACCACGATAGAATTCAGGACAACTCTCTCCAAGCAGAGTGTAGGAAGCCGAATTACTGGCTGAAGTACTGAAAAAAACATGTTTTTGGTGTCATTCTAGAAAATACATGGCTTTTGTAAGGACACATTTGTTTTGTTGCCTAAATGAATGAGTGAATAAACATTTAAAATAACAATAAATATTTTACTTGTGATATCTTAATCCAAACAAAACATTATTATTTACAACGTCAACAGTAATTGAACAAATTTATAAAAATAATAATCAGATAACATTGACATAATGTCTATTTCAGTTTCAACTAATTAGATAATGTAAATAATTGTGACGCGATTAGATATAAAATCATCACAAATTGTAATGACACATAACCGCAATGACAGATACATTATTAGCTATTCTCTGGGAAATACCCACTCAAGTAAATAGAAGTTACGTATAAAGACCTAAGTATCTGTAGTCTTTAGGTTTAAATCATTATAAAAACAGCTTCTTAGATCCTAAAAGACGTAAAAAATACGCGCGTCACTCAAATACCAATTTTTGAACCAAACCCAACTTGTATTTAGCCTAACTTTTAACTATTCTTATATTTAGATCACAAACATCAAATACATGCTCAATGTATGTACTTACATAACAAAATTTCAATAAAGTCTATGTTACGAAAAAAATAAGAAAAAGAAAACAATTTAATTTACAATTGGATCATATTGTATGCAGAATGTGTATATTTAACGGTTTTTTCATTTGTAAGCAAACAAACTGTGTCTTAAGCTTTTTGTTTACATATTACTGAGACCATTCTACAACTTTTTATTACTCACTGTCAACGGTAAAGTGAATCGTAGCATTAATTACATCACATTACGTTAATCAGTACTAGAAAATTATCTTACATAGACTGTCGTCATTAAGAATTTTTTATCTTGTTTGTAATTTTTCCATAACAAAAAACGGAAATATTTAAGCCTAGTTCAAGAAACTTCTCCGTAACTACAGCTGAAAGATGTAACGCCTTTATTTGTATTTAATTTTCAGCCTTATTATATTAAAATTATGATCCAAATTACGTTTAATTCAAGCTACTTACAATGTAGAAGATACCAATTTAAGTAGTGCCATGATCTTCCAATTCGGGGCAAAACTACTGAGGGCTGCGAAGACGAAGCCGATAGACATGGAGAGTACAAGGGTTAACCGGCGACCCTTTGTGTCGGAGATGTAACCCCATAGTTGTGCTCCAAGAACCACACCTTACAATAAAAATGGGACGATTAATATTTATTCCAAGTAAACATAAGGTTAATTACAAAGAATATAAAATATACTCTAGGAGTTATAGTCCAATGTTGTCCTTACTCGTGTAAGATTGTCATTTCAGTGACTCAATGCTGTAACAACTTCAATAAACACAAAACTATAAAATATAGCTTATATTATCTTACATACCCTGTGTAACAAAAATATTCTATATCTAATGATATTCCGGTTTGTTCAACTAAGTCAAAGATGTTCTATAAAAATGAGGGTAGATAAAAAGGTATGAAGAAAGATCGAATGTAGGAATTTTAATTTATTTTAATGAATATTTTATTTGTCTTATTTCTTTTAAAGAAATGTTATGTACGCTCAACATATTAAAATTTAATAAATTATTTAATTCACCGTGCGGGTGCCGGGTCCATCGTTGTAGTGAGAGGAGCTTCGACAGTGCCTGGGACTTGTACCCAGGTGTAGGTTTAAGGGGCCCATATGTAACTCTTTTTAAACCCTCACCTCCACCGTTCAACCTCCTCTCTTTACCTAACCAAATTCGAAACGAACTTACCAGGGCTGCCTTCGACGCGCGTCCCAAGAATGAACTGACATATATATAAGTAATTTTCCTGCTTTTCCTAGAACTTCTGGTAGCAGTGAAACACCCTACATAATTAATACAAGAATATGTTCTACAATAACTCACCTATAAGTGGAGTGGCAGTTAATAAAGCTCTCTGTTGCATGCTCAATTCTAGGTCACAGACTGCTGCCGCTACCACGAAGCTGGTGCCGAATAAATCCATTCCCATAGCCTGCAAGGTCCAGCTACACACCAGCATGAGACCGAAGTTGTATTTGCCGAAACCTGGTGAAAATATTTGAACATATTATAGGAAACTTCCGGTCTTGATTAATTTATGATAATATTTTTTAATACGTAACGTATATGTTATATGTATAAGTTCGTTTTTATGATAATAATTAATTTATTTGTATATCGATCTTTTCATTTTTGTTTGTTTATGTGTTATTTTTAGTATGTATTTAATATATTTCCGTAAGATGGAATAAATATTTTAAGTATTCATAAAATATTGTTTTTACTAAATACTTTATAATTTAATTTATATTTTATAATTAATATCAGTTTTATTTTCATCTACTATTTTAAATACAATGAATTGTGACGAAATGAACTCGGAATCTTAAATGGCAGTTTGCTATTTATATTCTCTCTATTTTCAAGAAGAACTGTGTTATGGTAGTATAAAGACAGTTAATTCATTATTATTTAGAGACATTTGAAAGCAGTTTTTTTTTAGAAAATTTATAATTCGAACGAAAAAAAATAATATAAAAAAATACCTAAGCCATAAAACCTTTTTTACTTTAAAATTAAACTATTTTTTTTATGTCAATCGGTTCAAAATGGATAATCCACTGAAAACTATTTATTAAAAACCATAGTCAATACGAAATAGACCAGTTCTTAAACTTTTTAAACTGCTAAAGATTTTATTCTCGGAACAAATGTCAAGCTTTTTCTAAGGCCTTAACCTTGCATATTAAAATTGTACCAATAGTTACAAGAGTATTTCGTTCTAGATGTTTAATTGCTTATGATAAATTACCACATTGTTTAACAATTTTTAAAAGATATCATTGTAATCGTCTTTGCTTTGATGTCAATGTTTTTAAAAATCATACCTACTTATTCAAAATTAACGCAAAAATAATATAATAAACTAATATTAAATTGAAATATTTATAACAAGAAGTAATATTATTAAAATTTTAATTATAAAACCTACATACCGTGTGACAAGAAACTTTAATTTGTTAAGTTACTGAAACGCATACTTCGTAGGTTGCAGATTCGAATCTTTCTCGCATCAATGAATTATTTATAAAAAAATTAATTATTTAAATTAAAATTTAATATACATATAGCTTATGTTAAAAACATATTTAATATAAGTAATACTTTAAAAATATATATCCAAATTACCTGTAGCAGTTATAGCTTCTTCAATAGTAGCCGAATGTAACGACTTGTCCTTCTCCTTGTCAAATCCTTTTTCTTTAAGTTGATTTTTCAAATGCATCTTGACGTTTCAAGATCTTCCTTCTACACAGAATATATTAAATTTTAGTTCACATTTAAAATTATTTAAACCCTCATATTTAAGTAAGAGTAAAAAATATGGTTAATTAAATCTTTAATTGCTTTAAACTGTCCCATAATTGTACTATTTGCAAAAATATATATATATATATTATTACAATTCTTTTCTACTTATCCTATTTATAAAACAATTATATCTTACCTTACAGTTATAAGTTTAACTAAATAATTAAGAGTTATTTTTTACACTTTAACTTAAATGTTAATGAGATCTTTACACTGCAGTAATTAATTTTGTATAATAAAATATCTATGAAAAGTATCAACTTTATATAGTAAGAAAGAAACGCGTCAGTACGACTTAACACTTTTTTTAAACTAGTTTTAACACTCTACTCTTCCTGTGATTATTTTATTCCACGCATCATGTACTGCTTCATAGATAACCAAACATTTTAAAATCAGGTAACTTACAACGTACATTTTAACAGTTTATGCTTAAGAATATAAATTATACCAGAATACAGTCTAAAAAGTATAGTTGAGACATAGTCTAGTCTATTTCGACTTCGACATAATATCTAAACTGTTACTAGATTTGAAATATAAATAGCAACCGAGCAGTCGTTTCAGTATATTCTTGTAGATTATTAAATTTATGTGACAATAATGTGGATGGAAATCGCCGTAAAGTCTAAATATGTATTAAATTTAAAGATGACGAACGGACAGTCAAACTATTTTATATATATTGTTGATAATAGCGTATCAGTAGCGAGATCTCCTATCAACAGTACGAGTTTTGTGTACTCTTCATTGTTTTCTCGACTATTCTATTATTAGGTTCACATTAACCGTTTGTTTGTTTGTATTACGTTGAATAAATATATGCTTTTAATATATATGTGTATTGCAGATGAACTTGGAAAACCCTGTTTCCTATTTCCCCTATCTATTCTAGTGCAATGCTATGCAAACTTTCTACGTATAATTTTTAATGCGCCACTTACGATGCTGCAATTGAATAACAAAATATTGGTTGTTAATAAGGAATATATAAAATTCTAATAGAAAAATATCAAAGGCTGTAGCCACAAAAGTAAGATTATACGAATATTTCAGAGATTATTAAAAATACTCGGAGTTTCTATTGACATCGATGGTTAATTAAAAACTTTTACATTGAAATCATATTCTTATTGATTATCCAAATATGCCTATATAATGTCTATAAAAAATATTTTTCTTCTAAAATATTAAAGATTAATAAGATATTAACCCAAAATAAAATATGACGAGCAGAATTTTATTAAAATAAAATAGTTCTTTCAAAATTCCAATTCAAAATCCTTATATGAAACAGATCAAAAAATTACTGAAGGTTAAGTTAGGTGAAAGTATTTTAATAACATTAAAATCTTACAAATATATCTTATTATTTTTTGTCTAAAATTTGACCAAATGTTCTGTGAGTGAGTCACGTCATTTTCGTTTTAGGAAATTTGGCTTTCATCATAAATTACTGACATCACGATTCACGACAATGTTGTTCAGATTATAATTATTTATTGCTCCTGGGCTTTTTACCGAAAAAGATTTTTTGACACAGTACCATGAAATATTCTAAACGAGATACATGTGTTAGTGTTAAAATGAAATTGTAATTCATGTATAAGGTAACTGCAAAAGTCACTCGTGGCCTAGTGGTTAAAAGGCCCGCCTCTTATGCATGAGGGCGCGGGTTCGATCCTGGCAAGTACCAATGTGATTTTTCGGAGTCATATGTACTATTTAAGAGTAATTTGACATCACTGATTAATGCATTCCCCAAGAGGGTTGATGTCAGGCAGGCGGCCGGTCGTAAATACAGTTAGCCAAAACTATTCACAACATGTAAGGCAGACCCTGGCTTAAGCTGGGAAATTGCCAGGTAGAAGAAGAATATAAGGTAACTGCACTTTCTGTTAAAATAATGTACTAATTTAACGTGTAATATTTGTTTCAATTCCTTAGTACAACTAATAAGTTTTATTTAATACGTTACAATCACGATCAAAAGTATGTATCATATATACTTTTAATATCTTACTCGTACTAAAGTAGTACGAGTAAGATTTTAAAATAACCACAAGTTTGATCGTCAGACTACAGACCCAGCGTTTCTGGTTTTTATAATACGAGTAACGAATCGTATGAAGTGTGACGTTTTAAACTTTGAATGAGCAACTCAGTATGGTAAATTTGTTTTAGGTATTACGTACATTCTCTAAATGGGTTTTCCCATAGATAATATTTCGTTTTTCTTTGTCTTGTTTTCGTTAAAAATAAACTAAAATATTTCAATTATTTTGTTGCAAATTTATTTTATTGCATTCTTTTGTTTGGAAATTTAATATTAGAATTTTTATTTAAGTACATTAATCTTTTAAATTTATTTATTTTTAAATTGGTCAAACATCAATAATATTTGCCCGGTAGCTATATAATGCAAAATGATTCAAGAACGTTGTTAATAATTTAGTGAAAGAAAAATAAGAATTTTTTACACAAAGCCTTTTAAACAAAAGTGTTTTGTTTTATTTTATAGAGGAAATAATATTTGAAATAGGAAAACGTGGATACATAGTAACATATATTTGAGAAGTCAAACAAGTCAATAACAAAAAAATCTATAAAATATAAAAATAAATATGCCGGAATAAATATATCGAATAAATATATCGGAAGTCTTCGCACCATTGAATTATCTTTGAATACTAGAAATTTGTACTGGAATTCTCAGGATGTGGTATCTTCAAATAGCCACATTACAAAATAATAATAGACGTAAAATATATTGAAGAAAATTACATCAGAGGCATACTTCTGACTCATAAGTAAAAAATGTTAAGGATGATCAGGAATGGTCCTTGGTGCAAATCTAAGTAACAACCACATCGCGACCTAAAAAAACAAATTCAGGATTAGATCCAATACACAATGAAAACGTACAAGAAAAGGCTGGCCTCTCATCTTTTACGATTAAAATATTTAATCAGTTGTTGTCCAATATTTAAGGGCCTTAAAAGAAACTCTGTGGATTGTGATAAGCAGAGTCACTGGTCTAATAGTCATCATCAGCCTATTGGAGCCCACTGCTGAGCAAAGGCCTCTTCTAACATGGAGAAGGTTAGAGCATTAATCTCGATGCTTGCTCAAGGCGGCTCGGCGATTTCAAACTTATAATTTGAAACTATAGGTCCAGGTATCCTCATGATGTTTTCCTTCATCGCCCTAATACTCTTAGAAAGTACATGAAACTCAGAAAAATCACATAGGTACTTGCCAAATTTCGATCTCGCACTCTTACGCACTAGAGGCGTGCCTTTAACCTTAAGGCAACCGCAACTGGGCTAATAGTGCTGAATAAAAATCCTTAAAAACTTAACCATGGGGTATAGCTTACAAAAACAGATTGTAGTATACCAAAAATATAAATAATCTATTTTATTTTTCTCATCACTTACTAGTAAGTTGCATCTGATTGAACTAACAATTTTAATGAATTTGAAGTTGTTTAATTATTTATCGTTTAAGTTCTATTAAGGGACGGTCAATTATAAACTTAAAAAAACAAATTCAGCTCGAATTGCTCCGCTGACATCGACCTGGTTAAAACTGTTTACAAATAAATAAACAATGAACACATATGGAAATAAATCGATTATTCTGAATGTAAATAAAATTAATTGTTTAATTGTTTATATATTTATAAAAATAATTGTAAGCAATCGGTTTTATTTATTACTTTTTATGTTTTTTTAGTAGTCCCTTGTGAAATGTAAAAACCTTGATTATATTTCACTTTAAAGTTAATACTACCATTCAAAGATTTTGAGGCGTATGTTTTACGATATGTCTTATATGACAATATGGAAAACTAGAAGTTATATTTCTATTTAATTTTTTTTTGTACGGAACCCTCACTAATTTGGAACTTAAAATAATATGTTTGATGAATAGATAAACAAATCCTAAATACAATCGTAGATAATCAACTATTTACATATAATTTTTTGTGACAAGATAAGATGAGGGAAAATTTTATAATATTATTAAAGAGTGTGATAACTGATAACTTATCTTGTTTGTGTCGCTGGGGGTTGTGTTATCTGGAACAACTGATTATAATCGGTCATCAAAAATTTTGATATTACCTTGAATATACTCGTATAAAAATATGAATAAAGAGAAAAGGAAATGAAGTTTTACTTCGAGAGAGTAATTTGTATGAATCATTTTCGTCCGGATACTTTTGATTCTTGATAATCTATATGAATATTCTTCTTCTACCTAGCAATTTCCCAGCTATAGCCAGGGTCTGCCTTACATGTTGTTAATAGTTTTGGCTATTTGTTTTTACGATCGGCCGCCTGCCTGTCATCAACCCTCTTTGGAAATCAACTTTAATCAGTGATGTCTAAATACTCTTAGAAAGTACATATGACTCAGAAAAATCACATTGGTACTTGCCCGGGCCAGGATCGAATCCGCGCCCTCGAGCTTGAGAGGCGGGCCGCTTAACCACTAGGCCACCACTGACTGAGTCATAATCTATATGAATATTATCAAAAGATAAAGATTAGTGACTCAAATGCTAGTGGTGCTCCGTTTGTATAAAACGAAAATATTGGATACAATTGCATCGGAAGCAGATTATAAATGAAAAATTTCTTAATGCTTCACATTCGGAAGAAGCTCATAAGCGTTTTTAAGGGAGATTTGAATCTATAATCTGAGGGTATGGTTGTTTAGACATTGATTTGGAAGCCAGTTCAATTCATGTACAATCATTGACAAAAGTTGAATTTGTTGTTATATTGTATCTAAATAAAAAAAAAAAATAGTGGTAGAGCCTAGCTGTTGTCAAGTGATTACGGCTCAAACATGGGCTGGCTCGACCGGGGAAGTACCACCCACTCACAGAAGATCGGCGTGAAGTAGCCTTAGTGGCTGCGTTTCGTCCGGTGAGTGAGAGAGCCGGTTGACATTTCCCTTTTCCCATCCTTTCCTACCCCTTCCCTTTTTCCTCCCCTTCCCATTTTTCCTCCCCCTCTTCCCAAATCAAGGGTGGTGACACATCCGCAACTTGTCTTATGTAGCGGATGTCCATGGGCGACGGTACTACCTCCATCAGGTAGAAGGTCTCCTCGGTTGCCCCCTTTAAAATAAAAAAATAATATGTATATTACGCCTCTTTTGTACTGCTTTTTCTGATTTAGATTTCAACAAACAAAAAATATTATCGTCTCATTTCATTTCACTTCTTTAACAATTTTATTTTAATTGTAACAAATAAAAATAATTAATTTTCGTTTTGCTACGTTATTTTGTCCATCATATTTTAAACTAACTGAAACAAAATGTCATACGCAAAGCAATGAAAATTGTTTTATTTGTAATTACATTGTTAAATCAATAAAATAGTTCAATGTACTATCATTAGCTAGATATAGTAACAGTATAATTATATCGCTGTGAAATAAGTTATCAAGAAATTACAATAAATACAACAATACTATATTAGGGATCCGTAATATTAAAACATTGACAAGAGACGAAACCTCGCAACATTCAATGGACGTGCTCATTATAGAAGTCATAGTAAACTGTATTTTATTTGTATTATAGGTCTGTATGTTTTCATTATTATTTATTCATTATACCAAAAATACTTCAGTCTAACTTATTCTAAATATTCGTCTTTGTATGTCAATTTTGTATTTATGATATACTGTTTCACCATTCATTTGGGTCCATCGTTGCAGAGAAAGGATCTTCAACTGTGCCAGAGACTTGCGACCAAGGTGTAGGTTTAAGAGGCTATATACATACTCAAATAACTAAAAAGATTGGTTATTTCAATAAAATAAAACAAATAAAAAACTATAATAAATATTAACAGAACTCATTTTTGAAGTGAATCAATAAATGCAATTTTGTAATAGAGTAAAATTAATCATTAATTATTATAGCGGTATGTACGATAAATAAATTATTTACTCTTAATAACTTATTGTCTTCCGTCGACTTTGTCAATAAATTTAAGATAACCGAGTGGGCGAGTATTGTTTGTTATAATTAATTCCCAGCAATACTTCAAGATAGGATGAAGATGTTTGACTTGTGAACACTTTCTACTATTACTTTTCTCACGGACGAATGTCTAGTACTGTCAATATTGCTTTAAGCTGCTAGTGAGAGAAGACTCAGGAGGAAGATTTTCGATTGGAGTAACCTTGGTGGAATGGTTTTCGATTTATCAACTTAGACTTTAGTTCATGTGTATAATAGCAGGTATGTATATATATGTATACAATATACTTATAAGTTCTTTTCTAAAAAGGTTCTTTATGTTCTTTATATTTAAAAATACAAAAAAAAAACAGCCAAAAAAACTTCGGTAATACTATGTAACTGTCTGAAAACTATTATGATGATTTTAAAAAGAAAGCCATATATTTGACATTTTTTCATTTCAATGTTTATCTAAATTTAAATTATTGAACATTATTTTAATTGAAATGTAATAATTGGTACAACTGTTAAAAATACAGAAAATCAGTATATGACAAATTTAAATTTTAGTCCAAGTAAGAAATATAGAATTTCCATACCTTCTAAATATTTTTTTATTTTGTATTTACGATACAATAACATGTTTAATAGGTTTATTAGAAACAAGCTTCCAGAAGGCTCATCTTTTGTGAGTAAAAAATCAATACAATACCTTAACAAATTAGGGTATATATTAAAACCTTTCTCAAGAATCACGATATCGAGTGGGGAAAACAGCTTGATAATTGGCGTAGTAGTTTTTCGGTTTATTGCAAACAGACAGACAGACGCGGCGAGGGACTTTGTTTTATAATATCTATTAATTGATGATTCCTTGTTTTTACATGAGGCACGTCAATCACAATGACGTCACTTCTTTCAGTACGTTCCAGCTTACTTTAAAATGAAACTTCAATGCCTCTAAATATCCTTGTATTTCTTGAAGGTTCTATATTCTTCAATGGTCCGAATTCACCGAACTCTGCTGTCGTGCATCCAGAAGTAGTATTTGTACAAAAATTTAAACATAGTTCTATTCTCCTTTTAAACAGTCTTTGATTCGTTTTACTCATAACAATAATCATGAAAACCATTAAGTTTAATAAAAATTGAGACTGCCTCAAGTTATTATTATGTTGCATTCGTCATTAAAGCTGATAGCGCCGATATATATAGGTAATGAGCTAATTGTACTTACGAGTTAAAGTTTATGAAACAAGGTCAGTTCCTTTGTTATTTTCAATACATAGATCTTGTTTTACGATTGAATTCAAGAATTTCTATCAATTTGTCAGTATTTTGATTTTTAAGAAATTTATTAATATATTTGAACTTTAATAATAAGAAAAGAGGTCTGTTATTTGAAGTTAGGTTTCGCCAAAGTTTTTGAACGTAAAAGATGACGTTGCGAAAAACAAATGATAGGTTTTTTTTAGGTCAATGATGTGTTAAATAAGAATAATTTACTTCTGTTGTCTAAGTTTTTATTCTAAGTACAGTTTGACTAAACCATCAATGAGACTAAAATTGTTTGGTTTTGATGTACCTATACTTAGACATTTACTTTGAAAAATCTTCACCAGTTTACTGACAAAACAAAACGTTAAAATTATGTTCGCTTTATCAATTGAACAAAAACTATAATATATGTATATTTTCTTAGACAGACAACAAATTGATACTTAATATATTTAAGTAAAAAATAAAATTTTGAGTAAAATTTCCTTTCATTCCGTCTAAGTATTTAATAAACAAATGATTCTCCGTTTAAATTGTTAATATTTTAAAACTAATTTTGTCAATACATATTTGTTTATCGTATTTGTTATAAATAGTCACTGAATAACAGACTATGTCTCTAGTGACTAGGTTAAAACAAATAGAAAATTTAATTTTGGTTTCATGAAGGTCGTTATATTGGTTTCGAGAAACAGGCTTTAGGATAACAAAAGATCTTTTAACATATCCATGCTCAGAAAGCTCTTTGTTTACACTAAATTCGTCTACTTAGCATTATATTACACGATTATTTTATTAAATGAAGATATTATTATAAACTTAATACAGAAAAACTATTAATAGCCAATAGGTAATACTGAAATACATATCGTCTGCACGTGATCATGGTTGCTGAAAAGTAACCGGAAAAGTCAGGTGTATGTAGTTAAAAATAATAAAATACGACTAGTAATCTTCGTTAATGAAAATATATACTCACGAAAATCTTAGATCTAATTAAAACTGACATGTTAAATGTCCAATTCTGATCAATTTATTGACAAATCAAAGAAAATTACCTTAACATAAGTTTACGCATAGGTGCGAGGAGGTCACTTACCTCATCTGTATACAATATGCCTAACTTTGGTATTTTTCAGTAGTAAAATGAAACCGGAGAAAGAAGAGCTGGACGTAAATAAAAATATGCAGAACAAATATATGGATGTGGATCTGGAAAGAGCTTTGGACTTATCTGGTAAGTTATTTTCTTTTTGTATTTCAGGAATTTAATTTATATATTTATTAATAGGAAAAACAAACATAGCATGCATACTAAATTAACAGCATGCATGCGACACATAGCATGCATTTAATGCATCAAATGCCATCTTTCATTAAGTAGTTATTATATTATGTATGAATGTGTAAATAGTAAAAGAATTAGATAATAGTTATTTTAACTTATTAATGTGTTTAAGATTAAAGTCTAATTAACAATAAAAATAGCATGCTTAAAATGTTAAAATTATTACCAAAAAATTTAAGTTACTTTAAATTTAACGATGACAAACTTAACACAGTTTAAATATAAATTTTTCATATTAAGCGCAGAATCCTGATAAAATAAAATAGCAATGTATATGTTCTACAACTTAACTTTTAGGCGCCGGAAGGTACCAGGTATTCCACTGTGCATTGATGTTGGCCGTTATTAGTACTGTCATCGTTGAAATGATTGGGAGCGCATTTATTTTACCAGCTGCAGTGTGTGATCTTGGATTGTCTAATAGTCTACGTGGTTTACTTACATCTATTCCCAATATTGGTATAACACTTTTATTGCTCCACATATTTTTTTTATTTTGTCTTGTTTTCGATAAAATTTGCTATTATTTGATTGCAGGCGTTATATTAACTGCACCTGTTTGGGGCCGAGCAGCCGATGCGCTAGGTAGGAAACCAGTGCTGCTATTTTCAACAGCAGTTTCAGGAACTCTTGCACTAGTGGCAGCTTTCATGCCTAATCTTATAGGTTTTGCTTTATTTAAGTTTGCCAGTTCGTTATTGTAAGTTTTATTACCTAACAACTTATTAACTCTTTTGCATTAAGCAAATTTTTATATGAAGTCTCTTTTTTTAGCCTATCCTGTCCATCGTCACTAGGTTTCGCGTATGCTGGAGAGTTAATGCCACGACACAAGAGAGATCTAGCAGTTATGATTTGTAATGCACTCTCTATGCTGACATCAACTTTTTGTCCCCGTAAGTACCTAATTAAATTTGAAATTAAAACTTTATTTCATTGAAGGAAACTTTAAAGAATGGTCAATCGCTGTTATTTTTATTATTTCACCCTAGGCTGAAAGGTTTTTTTTATTTTTAAGTTTCATGTAAACCTTACTATAAATTTTGAAATCTCAATTGAGAAAAAATTATAATGAATGAATCGTTGTTATTTAGATAGTTTTATTATATCACCTTATTCTTTTTCTATTTTTAAGTTTCGTGTAAAATTTAACAATGGATCATGAATTCCTTAACTAAACTATTCTTGCAGTCCTTGCATGGGGCATTCTTTCATATAATTGGGACAACAGTCCCATACCGTTACGTCCCTGGCGAGTGCTGACCATTGTATACGCTGTTCCTGTAATACTTGCTGCTATATGGGTCACCCAAGCCAAAGAGAGCCCAAAATTTCTTATGGCTAAAGGCAAACATGAGGAGGCGTTGGAAGTCTTGAAGCACATCTACGCTTTCAATACTGGATTAGACAAAGAAAATTTTTGCGTGAGTATGAATGTAATTTTCGCCATAAATGAGCACAAAAAATACATAAAGATAGCTCCTTATTATGATGATAACGAAGGAGTTATCATACAAAGAGATTTAAGGTCTCTTTTTCCAATTCTACATATTTGATTTATACTGTCAATTGATCGAGATGATACCAATCCACAACTGGTTTTTAAATTGTACCTTCTCACTATTGATATAAACCATGCAGCTTTGACAGCGTCAGGGAAGGTTTGATGAATGCTGAGATTCGACCGCGAAATAGAGATCTGAAGAGGCCTATCCATAACTATGTTCTCTCTCTCTCTGTTTATGAAATTTAACAGCAAATTTTACAATATATATATATGTATATGAATATCTTATAAGTATTTTTGGAGACAATACAACATATTAAATGTATGGTCTTTAAGCGTTGCCTCCAACAGAAAAAAATTAGTTGCCACAATCATATTTATAATAACAGTATAAGTATGATTGTGGCAACAGTATAAGTGTGATTTTAAATCAAGTTACTCATTAAATTTTCAGGTAAAATCATTGAAGATTTGTTCCGACGATACTCTAGAACAGAACAGTGACTCACCTACCAGTAAAGAGGATTCATCATCTTTATTAAGACCACCGCATTTAAAATGGCTGGTCTTGATTGGTTTCCTTATGTTTGGACTATTTTCACTGTAAGTTATTTATTGCAAATCTAACCAATATTTACGACGCTAAAATGATTAGACAATTTACAACATCCCATTGGTTTAGTTGAAGGATTATAAACTAATACTTTATGTGTTTAAAAGAAAAATATCAGCTCTTCACCATAACATTTTATTATTTAGATATATTACGTCTAAATTATATATTTTTTGCATACACACATAAAGTATTTTCTAACTGGAAATCAGTAATGTTATTAATTTATGATCTTATGCTTTTCTTAAGTAACTCGAGACTTTTAAGTTAATGTTTTTTGTCGATAATTTATAATGATAACAATCTTTCCTTTTTATGACCAAAATTCAAGATCTCGTTTATTATATAAGCCTATTAAAAGTATTCATATTATCCAAGTTAATCTCTTATCAGGAACAAATCAGTAATACATGATGTATCAGAATATTTTATTTGTTTGAGGTTGAACGGGTTATTCTTGTTCGTGCCTGACACTCTCAACAAAGCGGTATTATCGGATAAACCACGTACTGTATGCGAATTAATAAACCAGCCTCAGAATCAGGTAATATTAAATTCAATACGAAATAAATAAAGCTATTATAACGAGAACTAAGACTTTATCGAGCATTCATTTAAATGAAACTAATATTTTTCGGATTACTACGCGTATGTATCTTGTTTTAATGATCACGGTTGCTGCAAAGTAACCGAAACGTCTCGAGTATGTGGTTTTTATAATAATAAAATACGCGTATTAACCCAAATAATATTATTTTCATTTAAATTAATACTCGCGAAAGTCTTAGATCTCATTATAATATCTTTGTTGATTTGAAAGATAAGTTAAATTGTACATCTTCTTCAGACGTCATCTGCTTGCTCTGACACTATATCCTACGGAACCTTCCAAGTCACAGTAATCTGTTCTCTCGTGTACGGAACCCTCGTGATGCTGGTCAGCCTCAGCTCTGTCTCCAAGAGGAGCCAGCTCATCATCATGTACAGCCTCGTGGGCGTCACTTGCATTATATCTGCTTTGACTACTAATAAGTAAGTTCATGGTTCAACAAGAGATTAGTTAAATTCACTCAATTAAGAGTATTTACAGAAGTATTATTTACTCCTTACCTTATAAGTATTGTTCATTATCTTATGTATTTGTATATACTTTAAAAAATATTTGATAGAAGGCATTGATATTGAAGAGCTAGAGATAGTTTTATACCGTCAAAAGCACCAAAATTGCTTGTTTTAATTTAAAGCTAAGCCTTTATATGTATTTGCACATAAATGTACATGTACGCACACGCACACTCACACATAAATTTACATAGACATATATATACGTATATTTATATATGTAAATGACTATCTAAATTTTTGTTTATATTTTGTTTTGTAACTTTACATTTTGCACAGAATGATATAAGTTCTTAACACTCGAGTAAAATTACAAAAGTTACCTTTTGAGCACAAAAAGTTCAAAAACGGTAAAATTATAGCAAAAGTTATACATAGTTTAATACAATATTATTTAGGTTACTGGCTGGTATATCGATGTCGGCGCTTCAAATAACCGCTCTGGGTATCGGTCCACTCACAGCTTACGCCGTTGAGATGTTCCCAACTACTTTAAGGTAAAATAAAGATTACTTTGCTTCGTTGTTGAACTTTTAATATTTTCAATTATGAATAGAGAGACTTTCATGTGAGATTAAGATGAGTTTACTTCGTTGTTGGACTTTATATTTATAAGAAAAATGCTGTTACGTATAGACACAACTTACAGTTTCAAATAAGACGATATTACAGAATGTGTTAGTTTTCCGATGTTCGCATAAATAGTTGTCAACGAAATAAAGAGGGGTATGTTTTAAAATTTGTAGTCAAATTTAGGGAAACCCACGACTACTGTAATGTTGATAGCATATATAATTGTTTAATACAAAAAGAACTCAAGATAGATAGTTATTTATTATTAATTTTACAGTCATTTAAGAATTAAATTTTATAAACACACCCTCTGTTGGTAATTATCTATTAGTACATAAAAACCATGCCGACTCTTAAGTGAAATAAGTAATAACTTCAAAAGGTATCTTTAATTTCTCTTCTTCTACTTGGCAATTTCCCAACTATAGCCAGGGTCTGCCTTACATGTTGTGAATAGTTTTGGCTATTTGTTTTTACGACCGACCTCCTGCCTGACATGAACCCTCTTTTGGGAATCAGCATTAATCAGTGATGTCTAAATATTCTTAGAAAGTACATATGACTCGGAAAAATCACATTGGTAGGTACTTGTGCCCGGGTCAGGATCGAACCCTCCCCCTCGGCAACGAGAGGCGGGCCCTCTAACCATTAGGCCACCGCTGATTCAAAAGATATCTTTAATTTATATGTTCTAATTTAATTCTCATTATTAAGGCAAATAACTTATGCAACACTGTGCAAAAATATCAAAATGATAATACTAGTTGAGAGACGATTAGGCTTTGACAAAGTTTCCTTACTTGTTAATTAATTCATATGAACACACAGAAACGGTAAACTATAATTTGTAGATGTAACATTTTTGCTGTCAATAACTTAAAGAACTTTTACGTTTTTACTATATAATAAATTCAGAGTTTATATTTCAAAATCCCGGTGCTAACATCCCGGTGCTAACTAGCCTGTTTCGTTAAAGAGGATCAAAAGTAAGATTGAAAACCTTGTCTTTAAAGAAGTATGCAAAGTGCATAGTATAATATTTCCATATATATTTAATCTGACTTTGTGATGTTAACTTAAAATTATTATACCAGGGGAACAGCGGTGGGTGCAGTTCTTATGTTCGGTCGAGTGGGTTCCGTGGTTGGAGCCAACTTGGCTGGGGTCTTCCTTGCTGGTTCCTGTACAGCAACTTTCTATGGCTTCTCAGGACTATTGTTTCGTAAGATATTCATAATTTATTTATATCATTTACGTCTTTGCTTGGCCTTTTAGCATTAAGTTAAAGCTATGAAGGTTATTACTGAATTTCATTTTGTAAGACCAACCATATACGTAACAAAATTTGTATCAATATGAATTTAAAAATATGTATCATCAGGTTTTTGTTCAGAGATATCATTAAAAAAATCTTTTAAAATACGTGCAATTGTTACATAAATTAGTGGCTCATGTACTCTTAATTAATGAAGATCTAAAACAAGGTATATTAATTGAAATTAATCAGTATTCATCAGATTAAAGAACTTGAAATCTTTGTATTATTATTGAAAATATCAGTGACGTAATTATGATGTCATCGATCCAATTTAATTCTTTAATCAGTCATCTTCATTAATGTCTTCTATATATATAAAAATGGATTGCTGTTCCTTAGTCTCGCTAAAACTGGAGAACAGCTGAACGGATTTATCTTATCTTAGTCTTTAAATGTTCGTGGAGGTTCAGGGAAGGTATAAAAGCTGAAAAAAATTGATTCATTACTTTTTTTTGACATTTGATTTTTTTTGACATTAGATTTGACAACTAACTAATATGTCAATCATTCTGTTCGATTGAAACAGGAGAAACCTGATTATTAAGGGTCTCTAAAACGGAATAGAGTTCGCCCGGTCAGCTATACATATATTACTAATGACGAAACTAACGCGGACGAAGTCGCGGGCAAAAACTAGTCACAAATAAAAGAGAAGAAGTCTTGAATTAAAAACTAAAAATGTCATTTTTGTTTCAGTGTGTGCATTTCTGAGTGCTTTGTTACAACGAGAACAAACTGCCAACCAAGTTACATGAAGCTATTGGGTGAACATTTTATTTAGTTCAAAGTTCCTTTTTATAAATAAACAGAAAAACAATCAAGTTACAGTTCATGTGATTTAATAACCTGATTTTATAATTACTAATAAATAATGAAAGATATTATTTATGAGTAATTTCGGAAATTTAATTTACAATTTAAATGTATGACGTAATAAATGTTTTAATTATTGATATGTGTGATTGTGTACCTTCTTGATCTTCAAACAGGTTCTTATTACGTACTGTTATACCATACGGGATTATTCAAATCACAAGACGGTTATATTTATATTATATATATAGGATTTATTACACATTCGTTGTTATTAAAGAGAGAGACGCCCGCCTCGCTATCGTTACTAATGTCACTTCTTGCACGTTCCATGATATTTCAAAATGAAACTTCAATTGTTCTAAATTTCCTTGTATTTCTCGTAGGTTCTTCATAATCACATACTTCAATGGTCCGCACTCACTGAACTCTGTCGTCCTGAGTCCAGACGTCATATTTATACCAAGATTCAAACATAGTTCTATTCTCCTTTTAAATAGTCTTTGATTTCGTTTTACTCTTAACAATAATCATGAATACTTATCAGTTTTTAAAAGAATTAATGATAGGCTTAAATTATTATTATTTCCAACATAAATCCTTAATTTGTTGACAGAACTATAAAACTATTTTGAACTAGATTGGAATCAGCACCTTTAATCAAAGCTTTGTAACTATTTTCTTGTTTATGTTAAGGCTTCATTTGCACTGGAATCGTGGAATATTTTGCTAAAGTCAACGTTTTTATTTGTCTGACGAATTATAATCTGGAGCACTATACGGAGGAAAAGCGAAGGAGTTTGTCGAATAACTAACATTTGTATAAAATACAATATTTTTGACTTCGTCTTCTATAGTAATATGTGACATTTTTATACATTGAAGTGTAATGAATTTATTCTTATATATAAAGAAACAGTTTTTGAATCAATTAATTATTACACTTATATATTTCTACTAGCTTTCCGTCCGCAGCTTCACCCGCGTAGAGTTCAGTTATATCGCGTTTCCAAGAGAACCTTTCAAAAGTCTGGGATAAAAACTATCTTATGTTCTTTCTCAAGGTCAACTCCATCTCTGTAACAAATTTCATTAAAATCAGTTCAGTGGTTTAGGCGTGAAAGCGTAACAGACAGACAGAGTTACTTTCGCATTTATAATATTATATATTTCTATTTTAGTATTATATAATGCCATTTAAAATTCATGTTACTCAAAGTTAGCGAGAGTTATGATAACGATAATATATTAAACGATTAAATGATATTCAAATACACAATAAATTTTTATCCAAACATTCAACGATAGCGTCTATGTCAAAAATAGCAATAACACAAAAAATATTTGTGTTTGTAGGTGGTAGAGCCTAGATGTGGTTAAGTTACTACAGCTCGAACATGGGCTGGCTCGACCGGGGAAGTACCACCCTCTCACAGAAGATCGGCGTGAAGTAGTCAGTAATGACTGCGTTTCGTCCGATGAGTGAGAGAGCCGGTTTCCCTTTCCCTTTTCCCAACCTTTCCTTGTGTTTCCTTATTCCCACCCCTCCCTATCCCTAAAAAAAAATAAGGTTGGCAACGCATCCGAAACAAAAATGTTGCGGATGTCCATGGGCGACGGTAACCACGTTCCATCAAGTGGGCCGTCTGCTCGTTTGCCACTTTTGACATAAAAAAAAAAAAAAAAAAATATTTTCAAAAAAATGACAGGCGCCGCAGAAAATTATTTCAAAGGACTATAACTTAATTTTTTACGATATGAAAGATGTCTTCATTCAGTCAGTGGTGGCCTAGTGGTTAAAAGGCCTTCCTCTCATACATGATACACGAGGACGCGGGTTCGATCCTGGCTAGACCCTGGCTAAAGCTGGGAAGTTGCCAGGAAGAAGAAGTATTAATGTGATTTTTCCGAATCATATGTACTTTTTAAGAGTATTTAGACGTCACTGATTAATTCCCAAAGAGGGTTGATGTCAGGCAGGCGGCGGGTCGTAAAAACAATTACCCAAAACTATTTACAACATGTAAGGCTGAGCCTGGCTAAAGCTGGGAAATTGCCAGATAGAAGAGAAGAAAGATGTCTTCATTCTAATATAAGAAAGTCAAAACTCCTTTTCTATTAGTTTAACTTACATGCGATAAATTTTAAATATTTAAGTAAAATTTAAATATTGTATTATAATTACATTGATACTTTACTGTCTTGTTTACTTTAAACGGAAACGAATATACGGATTTTAATTTTATGATATATATATTTTTTAACTTTCTTTATTAAACGCAATAAATAATATCGTATAGTTCGTTAGACTTAAGGTGAGCTTTGCATTTGTATGAGTGAAAGTAAAAGTAGAGTTAGACAAAAAACTTTTAGAATTCAATATTATTATATTTTAAATAGATACATAATATAAGCACGAGAGCTATACAACAATAAAAATAAAGCAAGCAAAACTTGTAAAAGGCCAGATGGAAAAATATTTTTTTTTGAAAAAACTATACAACAATACTTCACTAGACATTGCATTTTCAAAGTTTGACGCTGCTACCAGTACAAAGGGTGAAGTGCGGAAAAGCGAAATAAACCGGTTCAAACCAAGAAAAGAACGTAGCATTCAAAAAAATTTCATCACACCTACACCATCCGTTTGCACTCACACAAATGCAAAACTCATCTTAAATCTATAAAATATACTTCTGGAACATTTTCTATAAACGTATGTTGCTATAAAATTATCGTAAAACATCTGGTTTAAAATATTAAAGTCTTGTCTTATTAGGAAGTTATTGAATGTAAAATTAATATTAAGAATCAATAGTAGTTTTGATATCCAGTTATACATATGTCTAATGTTAATTTTCATCTCGTCTGTTCGTGACTACGATTGCTGCAAAGTAACCGAAACGTTGGCAGTATGTAGTTAAAATAATAAAAAACACGTAGTAATCCGAATAATATTAGTTTTATTTAAATGTTTAATTCTATCAGAAGAACAATTTTAATATTTATCTAAATCACGGATTAATTCGAGTGAATGAGAATTTGCATTCCACGCCGTAAGCTGACGTTAGTTGTCGACGCCGCCATATTAGCCTTGGCTGCTCTGCCAAGCACCTTTCACTATACTTTTACTTAACTACCGTCTATAATGGAACCTGAATGACAAAAAGAATAAAAAAGAAAATATAAGCCTCAAACTTTACCTATAAATTTTCTGGAATTATTTTATGACCTATTATATCACAGTTAGAACGAAGGCAGCATGAGACGAAACCTCTTAGAATTCAATGTATTCACCGTGCGGGTGCCGGGTCCATCGCGTTACAGAGAGAAGCTTCAACAGTGCCTGGGACCCCAAACAAAAACGCGTTATACGCTCTATACCTTCCAAGCTCCTCTCTCTACCTAACCAAATTTAAAAAGAACCTATTAGGGCTGCCTTCAAAGTACATTCCAAAAATGAATTGATGTTAGTTCTTGACAGGCCCACGCCTTTTATAAGATTTAAAAAAAAATTAGCTGTTATACCTCTCGCTCCCACCTCCACCGCGTACAAACCTACGACGAACCTATTTCGAGTGAGTTCGTTAGTAAGTTTATAATACTAATTGAGCTTAATGGCATAGTCTTTGGAGATGTTGGTTTCCCAAGGAACCGTAAGCTCTTTTAACACAACGCGTTTTAAAATTCATGAAAACAAATTATGTTTGGCCAAGAGACCGACGAACAAATACACATTTACAATTTTTCCACGTATAGGTTAAATTATATATTTTTTTGTACTTTATCCCATACCAGCTTACAGGTTAAAAGGACATAAACAATATTATTTAGGAGAAATATTTAGTAAGAATTCACAATACATTTCAACACACCCAGTTATTTGTTTCATCGTTTATAATACAAATGAAAATAAACATAATCTTCCATAATTACATGTATAAAATACGTTTGTAGATTTTCGTTAAACTATCTTACAGAGATTGCCATTACTAATAAGCAATATAGTACTCATATTTGAATACCTCTCGCATTAAATATCACAAAGAATTCTATGTCATTTCTGATATTCCTTCCTTCCTATTCCGCCTTCTAAAGAACTGGCATTGTAGCCACAATTTATCCTTAATTATATACAAATAAGCTGACAGCTTCGTTAAAATTCCTCATTCAATTAACAGGCTGGAAAATTCATCTTAACACAGTGTAAAAATATGAAATGAGGTCAAGAAAAATATTTATTAGTTATGATCTTTCTATTATTTTATTTCAATGAAGCTGGTAATACTTGTTTATATAAATAAATTAAAACTTAACTAGTATTTTACAGAAACAATTTGTCTTTGATTCATTAATATTAGTAGTTATTATTATTAATTTAAGCGATTATAACATTTCACATCATTTAAATCGAATATAAGTTAGTTCTACTTTAGTTAAACTTCTTCTTCCTGGCAATTTTTTCTTGCATTTAGCCCTTTATCTATTAAGTTTAATTTCTTTCCCTTAAAAGGGATAACTGCAGTTCAAAGAACAAACAAGTAGAAAACAATAAAAAATACATAAAATTATGTGTTCACATAAAAATTTATCTTTATTTTTCTGATACTGCACCTTTTTTATTATTTTATATCTACAAAATCAATGTTTCAGTTCCTTTATTTATCTGACACTATTACGTATGCCCGTGAAGATGGTTGCATTTTATAAAAATAATTCATGCAATGCAGTCGTATTTCTTCTTAATTCTACTGATTAAAACTGTATGTATTTAAGACACTGAGAAAACATTATGTAAATGTATAAACAGATTCGCAAACTTTGACATATTTTACATAAATCATATTAAAAATGTTTACAAAATAAATATATGACGTACGTATATGTTATGTTAGTGTTTACTCTGTTTTTCCTAACGTAATCCTAAATCAGTGTATGTTATCAAAACGAAATACGGTCTGCAAACAACTAGATGTCGGGAAGCCCAGAATCTAGACATAATACCTTGTTTGTGCTCTGATAATGGTCGTATAATAAAAGTTAGATCATGTTTTCATATATTTTAACAACATTATTAAGATTTGAGATATAACAATTATTTTATTTTCTGTTTGTCTCAATAAAACTATCGTTTTCGGATATAATTTTTATTATTTTATAGCTACATAATCTCAATCAAGGAATTTGTGCGTATAAACCCAGTGAGAGGATTTTTTAATACATTTTAAACAATATTGAGGAGTTTTTCTTCTAGAAAAATATATATAATCAAAATTGTGTTTGCATCAAGTATATAAGAAATAAAAATATAGTCAATAATGATACTATCTATAAGTATTCTTTTAAATTATTCATCATATTTTTTTTGTAATTTACCTTATTTTGACAATCAGAGGAAAAGTCTAAGAAACAAAATTTTTATTAAGAAAGACTAAAAAACGTATTTCATCCTGAAACAAAGATGAGCTAATAAACCTTTCATTTTGGACAATATTTATTACCTCGATAACGTTTAGTCAGATTGACAAAAAAATTAATTATTCCAAAAAAGCATATTTCATTTGATAATAAAATAAGTTTTCTGGTGAAAATATTAAATCAAATTAACGATTTACTTTCCATGCGTTAAAAAGTTTTAAAAGAACTTATTTGTATTTTTATTGTAGTTAAGAAAGAAATATATTTTTAATAAATTTACTCCAACTTTAAAAATAAACAAGTAACTGTGACCCTTCATCAAGAAAGGAAAGGCGATAAATGGAAAAGTGATTGTTCTGCAACATATGCAAATATTTTGCGTTCGTGTTTTATTTAAGAATTCAGCCAGATTTTGATGAGGAATATTAAAATCCTATACATAGTTATATAAAACTACATCCTAACGTCTATCCCGGTCGCTCGTCCCGCCCAGGGCGGAAGAACCCAGGGTCCGCTTTGCTACTCAGTCTCCTCCACTTTGCCCGGTCTTCGGCATCCTTCTTATTGAGTCCATTGGCACGCATGTCATCCTGCACGACATCAAGCCAACGTCTTTTGGACCTTCCTCTACCCCTGGTGCCAGGTAGGGTCATATTAAGGCATTTATGACCTACGTAATTATCCAGTCGACGTAAGACATGGCCGTATCAGCATAGGCGACTTTCCTGCAAATGTTTTTAAAATTAATGCTCTTTTTAAAAACCTCTTTACGGAATGACTGTGTCTTAATAATTCATCTATGTATGTCAGATTTCAAATACTTTTACCACATTCAGTTTAACAGAAATAAAAAAAGCTGTTATAAAGTGGATAGAAACATATTTTTAATAATAAAATAAATACTAAATTTATATACTAAAGAATGTGACTTGTTTAAAATCAATGAAGACAAAGAATGCTAATTAGTAGGCAGCATGATCTAAGATTTTCCCAAAAGGATGAGAAAAAAATTCAAGCCATTGCATAAATTGAAAAATAAAACTAGTTTTAACACCTCAATCCACATTATGCGAAATCTAAGAAATATATTGTTAAAATATTGTGTTGCTCTGGTTATAAATTTATCAAAAACAACCTTTATTATTAGTAATATTAAGTGTTATGTTTGTATTTATTCCTTCTCTTTATCATATTATTTAAAAAGTACTTATGTCATACTTTTAACACTTTTATTATATGTTATAAAAATATTAGTTATAAGAACGTAATAATAATAAATAATGAAATATAGAAATGCAAGTTTGAATTATATGTGACTAGCTTTCCGCCCGCAGCTTCGCCCGCGTGGAGTTCGGTTATATCGCGTTTCCAAGAGAATCTTTCAAAAGTCTGGGATAAAAACTATCCTATGTTCTTTCTCAAGGTCAACTCCACCTTTGTATCAATAAAATCTTCATTAAAATCAGTTCAATGGTTTAGGCGTGAAAGCGTAACAGACAGACAGACAGACAGAGTTACTTTCGCATTTATAATATTGGTTGAACATTGACAATTTTTGATTTGTTTTTTTGGGTGGTGTACTAAATCATATTCTCTTCCATCCTAAGGGATTTCGAAGCCAAAAAAATTATCAAAAAATTCCCTTACTTTATATTCAGAGTTCATAACACTCACCTCAAAAATAAATCATCAAAATAAAATAGCCTTATCTTTTGTTATTCTGTTATCTAATTATTCACAAAAAGCACAAACAAGCATTTTTTGTTATATTTCTTTTATAACACTAAAGGAATAAGAGATAAAAATTTGATATCGATTTCAAAGGTCCTACATAATTATACAGACGGTAAGACAACGAATTTACAAACGTTAGAGACAGTCTAAATATATCGTTATAATGTGGGGCAATTTTATTCAATAAATTATTTAAATATATATGATAACATATTGAAACTTTCCAGATTATAACCTCCTTGGTTACATGATTTATTTTTCAAAACAAAGCCATATATTAAATACATAATCTTAATCCGATGACTTGCGATGATTCAATCAGGGGTACATACGAAAATTTATCGTTGACTAATATAGCTCGATAATTTCTCCTTTTTCCGTACATTATCAGATAATACGTCTTTTAGTTGCTAAGTGCACTTATTGTGCAATATGCAATCGTATCACCTTAAAATTTATAAAGAGTATTTAATTATTGTGACTTTCATGTAGATTTAAAACTGTTATATATAAATTTTACTTATCAGGATTATATGAAATAAATGAGATTATTATTTAATAAAAGCTGAACTATTTACTTTATTATTCAACTGAAATATAGCCACGCTGCGCGTTATAGGAATATGCCTGTAATAAAATTATGTAAATAATAATAGATTGTGGTCGTCTAGATATTAAAAGGCCTGCCTCTCGTGCATGAGGGCGCGGGTTCTAAACCTGGCAAGTACCAATGTGTTTTTTCCCAGTCATATGTACTTTCTAAGAGTATTGAGATACCACTGACAGACGGTCGGAAACCTGGGCTTATATTTTCAAATTATAAGTTTGAAATCACCCGTCTTGAGCAAACGTGGTAATTAATGGTCAAATCTTCTCCATGTGAGAATGTGAGGCCTTTGCTCAGCAGTGGCCTCTGATAAACAGATGGTGATGATACTTTTGTAAAAAGTAGGGTATAATGTGAGTCAAGCGTTTATAAAGTATATAAAAACATCAACTTTAACCCATTAATTCTGTTCTCTTACCATCAGCCTGCTTCATCACACTACGTACTTACCGTTTCGTGTACTTCATTCGTAAATCCTATCACATGATAAACAATATCGGTGTGTGAATGAAAACTCGTAACCCATTTCTGCAACGAAGCAAACTTGTAGTAGGCATACAGGAATAGCAATTTCTATCCACGGATATGATCACCTCGCTGATAAAAATTATCCTCCACACTCAAACTACTTTCGAATGTATAATCAGTGGTTTAAGGAACAGATTTAATGACAAAATTTTTGATAAATATTATGTATTAATTTATAAAACTCGTGATTAATGATGTCAATAATAAAGCATAAACATTACCATATATGTCATATGCAACAGGCTACAGCCTGTTTCTTAGCTATGCATGTGTGTGTGTGTGCGTGTTTGGGTGTGAGTGTGTGTGTGTGTGTGTGTTTTATGTGATTATGCACAAACACTACTACATACATATTTTTTGTTATACAGGGTGACTGGTGAATTACTATCGATATTTGAGGACGTGATATTTGACGATCATATATGACAAAATAAAAATTAATATAACATAAATATTAATAAACTTCTAAGTAAAGTTAACCAAAAGTTATGTAATTAATTACGCATCGTATGAACACCCTACAGATTAGGTATACACACACACTCACACAGACGTGGCGGCGGCGTAGTGTTGTATCAGCCCGCCGCCGCACGCGTCCACACTAGCAACACTTGGAACGTGTCAACACTTTATTTATTTATACGGAAATTTTGTCAAAAATTAAGTACCTATTTTTTTTACATAATTCGAATGAGAATCATGTACCGAGTATGCTCCTTAAATATTGATAGTAATTCACCAGTCACCCTGTATATATAAAGTAATCTGTTTAACCGGTCTTAGTCATTATTAGGATGCGTTACACAGTTCAGTAAAAGCTTTACAATTCGTTCGAGTGTACATTTCTTTGTGGTTTATCTATTGCGCGATACTTATAATTTTTAACATATTTCATATACAATAATAGATTAATTTAACTGTGAATATATAGTTCAAATTATATTAAATTTCTTTTAATATATAAATCATTACTGTCGTAAATTATAATTCAAAAAATATTAGTGCAGAATGAGGAAAAATTCTGTTCATAGTGAGATGTTAAGTATGAATGAAGATTTCGTCACTGATTAAGTATGAAAAATAAAAGTATTTAATCAATGTTAACGACCCGTCATTGTCACGGTCAATTGATAACTATAGATCTGCAGCACGTTATACTTGGTAGATAGACGACAAAGAGGCTTATTCGTTAATTAGAAGCCGTCCTGATAGCATCCGATACAACATACTTAATTAACACACAAAAAATTAACCTACGTGAGTTTTTACAGTTATTTTAATAAAAAAAACATACTACATAGTAATCAGAGCACTTCATTTTGTTAATTTATGGTTATTAAAATGAAGATTTGTTATTAATTTTTTAAATATATCTTTTTAGTTTTTGAAAATGACAGCGAACGGAAAAATAGATAAAGGGAATAAAAATGACTCGGTCGCAACATTGGACGAGGCTATGTTACACACAGGTAAGACTTACAAATTTAAAAATATTTAAGCTAAAATTAATATACGCTTTATTTCTATAAAAAAATATATTTTAAAACCTATTATTACTCCTATATTCATTTCAAGTTAAAACTATTTATATACTTGGAAAACAATAATAACTTGCTAAAAGAATTCGAACCTTTTGTGCTTGCGATCTTAACGTAGTTTTTGTATGAAAAATTAATTATAAACGGAATATATTAATTAAAAATATATTAAAATATGAAAAATTATAAAATAAATTAAATATAGTAAATATAATACACTGTAATTAAAAAAATCTAGACTATTTATGTACGTCTGAAATAAACCGGTCGAAAGAAGTTAAACAAAATTATACCGGTGTGGCAGCTATAAGACATTTATGAATAATTCAATTATATTATACTTTTATTATTTGTATATATTTAAATTAATTTTTACATTGTATAATATGGTGTAACATTATTTGGACTTTAAGTGATACACATATTATGGTATCTTGATGTTTTATGCTCGTTGTATAAATTAAAATTACATTTGGAAAAAAACGAGAGGAATTTTGGTAAAAAAAAAGAATAATTTATCCTTATATGTTAAATTTTTTATTGTTTTGATGTTAGTGCAATAATTAGTATTTTTTAGGTGTTTGTAATAATTTTGATCAACAAACCAAAAACAGTTTTTTCTTTTTAAATTTGACGTCAATATCTGTCTCTGTGTGTGTGAGTATATATGTCTATCTGTTGCATCGTAGCTCTCAAATTAACTACAGATTTTTTCTTTTTAAAGTCATATTAATTGCGACTATAAGCCACGCTTGGTACGACTATACAACTAAGCTAAAATACATGATCTTTTACAAAAAATAACTATTAAACTACAATCGTTAAATTGCCATTAGTAGGGGGTATAATTTCATAAAAAAATAGTTATTTTCTATTGAAAAGATCGAGTCAATATCTTATCTTTGACCATCATCATGTTTACATTACATTCCGAATCATCTAATCTGTTTTCTATCACGATAAATTCTAAGTATCCACTTTAAGTATCTTAAAATTATGTTCATAATCAATTTAATACCACACCGAGTGGCGTTAGATAGATAACGTTTGATAAATCGAAGATCATAAAATTTTACAAAGAAATATATATTTGTAGTAATAGTTCTTTCAAATCGTAATTTCTATAAGATTCCACAAACATAAAAGAAAGCGTTGAAATAAGCCAAGATACTTTAAGCACCAAGTATTGCGTGCATTTCACGCCCAATTAAAAATATTAGATATAGGTATATCTTTCCATTTACACTTCTCGCTTTATTAATAATTATATATTAAGATTAGATATATATGTTTTTTTAATTACATATATATCTGATTTGTTATTCGGACCTTGGAACACAAATACAAAATTGCTAGGGAACTTTACCTTACTTCAATTGAAATGAGATACAATTTATTTCTAACAAATAGTCGCTATTTCAATTGGAAACTACTTAATACATAACTTTTGATTATTTCTATATATTAAATAACAAATACATAAAAATATAAAACAGTTTTAAAGTTCCGACGAATGGGATAAATAATTTTGCTGTCATATGTATGTATGTAAATAGATCTTAAAAACAATAATATTATGATACACACGTTGATTTGTGTGTGTGTGTGTGTGTGTGTGTGTGTGTGTGTGTGTGTGTGTGTGTGTGTGTGCGCGTGTGTGTGTGTGTCAATTCATACATGTGCTTGTATGTCTGTGTGTCTCAATGCAAGCTTAGTTCAGCCTCCCCAAGTTCTCACGACTGACTCCACAATACATTACTTTATGAATTATTTATGTTAAAAGTCAGTTATATGTATAAACGTTTTATATGCCACATGTAGGAATATTTTTAATTTTTGTTGATATTATTATGTATATTATTGAAATGCAGTTGTAAATATTGTTCTATTATCTTTAAATATTAATATTTTATATTATTTAAGTATTAACTGAAATTGAAAAGAAATCTCCATTCCTTTATCCTCTAGTTAGTCTCTCGGTTTTGCTTGTTTCTGTCCGCATAAATAAATCTAAATTGATTTTGATTGTGCTTCATCAATGTTAACTAAAAACGTCCAAGTTTAATTCATTTGGTCTTTAAGCACTTGACAGCTTTATATTTAAATAAATATGTACTTGCTTAAATTAAATTAATAATTAATTGTATAATTAAAGAATCTTTAATTACAAAAAGCTAAAAACAAGTTTTCAACTTAATATATGTACAGCTTTACAAAAAAATTTTATATAAAGTTGAATGTGAATATATTTACCATTGTTATGATGAAAAAAGCTTTGTACTGAATGAAAACAATAATTGTCTCATATTTTTAATTTAAAATATTCATTTATAATTATTTCTCATCATCATAAAAACTAAATGTGGGACAAAGTGAGTTTGAACCCGAAAATATTGTATCAAAATTAATGTTTATTATGTTAGATTTTCTTTTAAATTATTTGTATGAAAACTATTATTTACCCTATATCTCAAATTAACTCTTAAAACAAATACATATTAAATATATTTTTAAATTTTCTATTGTATAATTAAACAATGACTACGTTCCTTTCAATGATCACCATATTTAAATATTTATAATAAATTTATCTTAATAAAATCATTAATATTATTAATTTATCAACCAAACTTAAAATCATACGATCATTTATAATTGTATCTGTTCCAGTACTAGCAATAAATATTATCAGTGGCATTAGATAAAGCAAATTAAACCGTGTTATCGTCTGTCCCTCCATAAATATCTAATACATCATAAAATTGAATATTTACTGATAAACGCGAACCCCCGCGAACTTGTATGATAATTTAACTAGCCATAAAAATAAATTCCTATCATAAATAGTCTAGACTAATTATTATTAGAGCACTAAGTCATGAATTTGTTCCTTATACTTGTTAAATAATTATTTTATGTAACTAATGTTCTTTCTTAAAGTTTATAACTCTATATTCTAATAATTACATTACAAATTACAATAAAAAAATAATAATGGGTTCTTATTTAAGGGCCAATGTAGCAATTTCGCCATTTTAATATTTTTGCTTTAAACACTGCATTATACCTGCTGTTTAAAAAAATGCGTATTTGTTGGTTGAAAGACTTAGTTTTTATTGCTGTTAAAGGGCATAAACAAAGCACTTTTTAACGTATAAGGACTTGCATATACTATTTAAAAACCTAGTAGGTTTACAAAAAAGTTTATCAAGCTTAAATGACGTACATATATGTCATAGTTGCTATGCAAAGTTTCAAAAGCATCAGTTGTCGCATGTACAAGTTATATTGAAATCAAATGTAAAACGCCGAAAAATTGTCATTTAGCACGTTGGCCCTTATACATAGGAGCGAACTTATAGGTATGAAGAAAATTAAAATAAAGCAATAATTAAAATAGGAATAATGTTTCCATCAAAACAAGATAATACTATTCCTAGAAAAACAACATTCACAAAAACTATTTTATCATGAATATCATAATTATCATGAAACGTACGACTGGAGATATAAAAAATTACAAAAAATAAATTTATAAAAATCAACGACTGATATAAGCTATCAGTATATAATTTCCTGCCTCTGTTATAAATATAAAAATGACGTCAGAATCTTAGAAACAACAAAAAAATAACAACTATATATATAAAAGAAAGTTCTGTTCGATCGAAAAAGAAAGAGAATTAAATAAGTTACACTATTTGCTTAATTTCGACCTCTAGGGAGGAATATACATCGCCCGGTCATCTATACATATTATATTACTACTTCAGAAATTAACGTAGAAGAAGTCGCGAACCAAAACGAGATATTTATAAATGAAACTCAGCTTTTCGTATTATACTCATAATCTCGACGTTTCGGTTCCTTTACAGCAACCGTGATCATAGGAAGACAAGATGAAAGTGTCACTGAAACTTAAATGTAAAAAAAAATAAAAAACGCGAAGTATCCGAAAAGTTTAGTTACATTTAAATGAATACACGCGATAATCTAAAATTATCATTATATATAAGAAGAATTATCATTATACATATATCTTTAACCAAATTTGACATTTAATTTAATCCTAATATACAATTGCCACTTTATTCTGTTTATTTATATAATAAATTCTTTCTATTGCGTTTTTGCTTACGTCCATTACCTTAATGTAGCACCTGGGAAACCCCAACCATAAAAATCGTCACTGTTATATCATTTAATACCTAAACAAACGCAGCATCTTATTCTAAAACAAATATTGAGATTCGAATTATGATTACGTTCAAATATTATGAAGAAAGTAGGCGGGGATAAAAACAACTTGATAAATTATGAAGATATATTTTAATGTCATTTGTTCGCAAAAATTCTGGGTGAGTTCCTATTTAGAGTCCAGAAGTAACATTAACAGTAGTAGGGGTAAAAAAACAGGGTTTTATCCTATACAGCTCTAAAATTAAGAAATACGTATGTTACCAGAATTTAAATTATAAATGGGAAAGAAATTATTTCATCGAACTCAGTTGTATTAAACAAGATAACAGTTTAATGTTTATAAATTTATATAAAAAAACTTCCAGATAAACGAGACACTGATTTTTTAAAAGGTCAAGGAAATATGTGATGTAATACTTATGATAATTTTTTATACAAAATGCAATAGATTTCTCCAATATAGGTTTTCATATATGTATTAGTAACTTGATTGACCCAACTGAATCAGCGAATTTGTGTCAAACGTTTTAAAGTTCATAAAAATTGAAGAAAAGCATTATAGAACAGAAGTAATGATTTTGTTTTAAATATATTTGTATGAATTGAAGCTATTTTTACAGTAAAAACTAATTATCAAATTTGAACCATCACAGTTACCACAAGTTTGTGTCGTTACTACTTACGTGTCGTTTCCCGTTTCTCATTCGAACCTACGTTAATACTATAATGTGCGAAGTCTTATGACTAAAAAACTATAAATGCTCGGTAAGCAATGAGAGTATTCAAACTTGTAGTAGGCAAACCAGGCTCGCATCTAAACCAAATAGGTTACCAATACGTGTTGATAGTTACTTCTAGCCCAATCATTCTCTCATCATACATACTTCCTGAATATTTTTCTTGAACAGCTATACAATTTCATCATAAAATATTTTTTTCCTTCGGGAAACAACCCATACATTCTGAAAAAAAGCCAACCACACGACCCATACACACGAAAAAGTCATTAAACGAAAACTTACATTGTAGATGTATAATTATTTAGTTCTTTTTTCATATTAGTTTTGATCCCATACAAAAGGATGTAGACAAATTGATCCGTATTTATAAAGTAATTTATTTAAACAGCAATTTAAAATCCACGTGACGTCATTGAAAAGAAAATCAAAGTTCAGTCTTTCGATACAAAGTATCAGGAAGTACAAACATGTCAAATGATTAATACAGTAACTTAAATTAGATATCATGAAATTTATCAATATATTATTATTAACAAAGAAAGAAATCAGTGATTCGATCAGAAATTATCTATTTCTATACAACCTCGACTAATCGTTTAAAAGGACACTTCTTCTGAGGACACTACTTAAAAAATATATACTTATATGTATGTAACAAAAGATTTATCAGACCCGGAAATCGAATCCATTAAAAATATTTAAAATAATCTGGCCTTACCTGGGGTGGCTTAATTCTCTCATTTAAAGATAGGAAAAAAGAAAGAAATAAAAAAGGAAAATAATATGATTTGATCCAACTCTCAAATATCAAAAAAGCGGTTGCATTCACTGTGCAAGGCGAAATAAGTTCCAGAATAATCGTTACTCAAATCACATTAGATGAACTCAATAAAAAAAATAACCTGTATCACTTTTTGCCTGTCTGATTTTTAGTTCGAAATTTTGTTAAAAAAATAGGCAAAAACTAATTGTAGTTTGTTGAAAAAAATAATCTTTCATCTCAGTTAAATCTAGATATTTTAATATTGTGAGTGCATTTTGCGAGTCACATATATTTTGTTACATTATACATGTATTATTTAGGAGATTAACAACGTCTTCTTCTTCTTCCTAGCAATTTCCCAGCTTTAGCCAGGGTCTGCCTTACATGTTGTGAATAGTTTTGGCTAGTTGTCATTACGACCAGCCGTCTGCCTAACATCAACCCTCTTTGGGATTGCATTAATCATTAACAAAGTATCATAAGTAAATTAAAACGGCAAAACCAGCTGTTAAATTCAACTGCAATTTTTCCTTAATGTTTTTCTAACGATTTCAAAAGCAAGGAATTTCACAGTAATTTTTTTTACTAGATATCAATTTTCAAACGAGGAAAAGGAAACTTTGTCATAATTTCTCCCATGGACGTGTTAAACATCACTTTTCCTCGTTTGCTTTACAGAAGTATTTATGGAATGGCATACAAGGAAAAAAAAATATCTTGACAATCACTAAAATTGTAATAAAAAAAAATCTGTTGCAACATCACTATTTATGTATTTATTCTATACAAATCAATGATCATGGTCATCATGACTGATGACTGTAGATATTGAAAGTAAAATTTATGTATATTTGTGTTATATTTTTGAAATAAAACTTCTTTACGTAAAACTTGGGGGTAAGCTGGTTAAAGGGTTACGAAATCTTACATATTCATACATAGATGGAGCAAAAGAAGTTTTACTTCAGTTGTGTGGGTAAAGTGGTGAAATAATACGCAAAATTACATATAGATGGAGCGAAAGAAGTTTTACTTCAGTCGTGTGGTCTAAAGCAGACTGTTTTATCCTTTTTTTTATTTCCAGGCTTCGGTATATACAATATTGTTCACATGCTACTGAGCGGTATGATCTTGATGGGGGTCATTGTCCAAAGTTTACTCATGGGCTATGTGATGCCGGCTGCCCAGTGTGACTTGGGACTGTCGCTTCAACAACGAGGATGGCTAGCTGCTATACCGTTTCTAGGTAATATATGATTAATTTGAAATCAAAATAACCTTTGAATGATATTATTATCTTTAGGACATCTTTCTTTTATTTAATTGTATGATAAAACGATAAAAATATACAAATATTTTTGATAAGAGCGAACGACTTTAGGTATTTTTGGGACTGTATTACAAAAAACCCGATAACAATCGTCTGGTATTGAACATCGTACAGACAGGAAATTAAAAGTTACAAAAACATATATTAGATACTTTGATAGCTTTCGAGTCAATTTTAACTATTTCATAACTTCTTAAATTGCTTATATAGAATATTATATTATAAATAGTAAATTCAGATTTTTACCATATACATATAAAGTTAAAAATAAATACTAAAATAGAATTATAAGCTTTTTATCACGTCATTAAAGAATACAAAATTATTACCTAATATTTTTGTATCATGACGGTATAATAACAAAAAGTAGCAAACATTACACCACCCTTCAATTAAACTACTTTCAATATGTTTCGTTTTTTTATACGTCTTATATTTTACCCGAGGTTTCATTGAGAGAGGAAATTAAAGTATTCATACTCAAACATGTATATCAGAAAATCATAGTTTTATTTTTAGTGAGCGTTTAACGCGCGTTAGATAGGGCCCCTTAAACCTACACCTGGGTCGCAAGTCCCAGTCACTGTTGAAGCACCTCTCACTAACGATGGACCCGGCACCCGCACGGTGAATCCATTGAATACTAAGAGGTTTTGTCTCGTCTATTCTCGCGAAAATCTTAGATATCATTATGTGATCTATACTTTTTATATTATAAGTAAATCTTAAAGCTTGATCTTTAAATCAGAATCCTTTAATATATTTTTCTAACCATTCTTTATCTCCCAGCTATAATTCTAACGTCGTACATGTGGGGTTGGCTGGCCGACACTCGCGGTCGTCGTTTCGTGATGCTGCTCTCCATGGTGCTATCAGCATTCTTCGGCATCATATCCAGTTTCGCTCCCAACGTTCTAACCTTCGGATTACTGTCTTTTCTAGCATCAGTATTGTAAGTATTTGTGACATATTTATAAATACGTACATTAAAAGTATTGTAGTCAGCATTTAAAGGAAATTTGTCATCGAATTCAATGAAAACTTTTGTAAGTTTTAAAGTAAATGATAATACTTAGTGAGATTATAATTTGAGCGTCGAATATTTAAAGTCATAAAAATTATCTTGAGAGTTTTTGTTGATTGCAATATAAATGTAAATAAAATTGTTTTGTCATAACATTCTTAACAAAAACAAAACTAAAAGTTTCTTGAAATATTAATGACAATATTTTAATATTTAAGTGTATATTCAAAATTGTATTATATTAATCAATAATTATTTATGTAAGAAGTAGAAACAAATAACTTCAAACCAAAGAAATACTGTTCAATACCAAGGTAAAGGTTGAATTTGTGTAAATAGGTAATGACTAATGAAGAAATTGTATACTTTAGGCCGTAGACTAAATATTAATTTGAATTATTTGCTATTTAGAATTATCTATAGTAAAAAAAATCACATAGGCTTAAAGAGAACAAATTTGGACATTATTAAACTAAACTTTAGACAAAAAAGAAGTTTTGGCGAAATTTTATAACGCACATTATTTTATGTTATAAAGGTTAAAATTTTTAGGCTAACAGCACTGAAATTTAATCTATAACCCAATACATAACATGACCATTATCTCGACCTAAATATAATAAATAACACAATTAACGTCAACAATTATCTAAATAGATAATTATCGTGAATTATTCCAGCATGTCCGGCCCATCAGCTGTGGTTTACACTTATCTTGGGGAGTTCACCAACCTTCGACACAGAGATAAAATGGTAGCATTCGGATCATCATTCGTTGGCATCGGAACTGTTGTATTACCTGGTAAATATTACGACAAATACTACTAATGCTCAAACCTTCTCCATGTGAGAAAGAGGCCTTTGCTCAGCAGTGGGCTCTGATAGGCTGATGACTACATGTACTAAAAGTGTTTTGTCACTTTATTTATGAAGTATTCGTAGTCACTTATATATACTAAGTTCATAATAATGAACGAAAATATATGATATAGAATTAGAATAAACTGATTATAGTGTGACTATTCTCACTTGTGGTAAGGATACCTAAAACTGGCGACACATTTAGTGATTTTTTTGAAAGCATTCATTTGACTGAATAACTTTTGTATTACAAGGTCATTTAAAGACAGAAACCAGATTAAAATTATTGAAAATTATATTAGAATAGTCAAAATACAACTTATAAAAAATAAAACAGAATAAATATATTATAATTACTAATGGATATCCCTGCTGTGACTTGTGATATTATCGTAGTTTTTCCTTATAATTTATCATAGGTTAATCATTGTACATATTAATTAATGGCTTTTATTTTTTATATCATAATAAAGTAGTAAATACCATTGACATATTATAGTTTGCACGTGCAGGAAACTATGCAATATCTTAAAAAGGCAGTGACTGAAAAGTTGGAAACTGAAATGACATTTTATGACGTCACCAACTGCGTCCCTATTCTTAAGATGTCACTTAATCATCAAAATTATCATCACTGCTTGACCTAAATGAAAGTTCAATAAAAAACACGAATTGCTAATATAAAATGAATGTATTTTCATAAATATAATTTATGTACTATTTAAATTCCAGCCGTATCCTGGCTTATTCTGCCACTGGAATTCTCCTATCCCATTTCATTCCTGGATATCTCGTATCGTCCCTGGAGGCTGTTAGTCGTGGCGTGCTGTATTCCATTCATGATTGGTACCATCTTCCTCATCCTTGCACCAGAGAGCCCGAAATTTCTCAGCGCATCTGGAAATTCAGAAGCAGCATTGAAAGTTTTGAAGAGAATATATTCTATTAATAACAGAATGCCCGAAGACACGTTTCCAGTAAGTAAAATTTATATATTGTATACTGTTTCATAAAATTACACTTTTTATAACTCAAGGCCATCATAATGATTTGGTTGGAAATTGGTGGAGAGGTAGCTTAAAACCAGGAGAGAGACATAGTATAATTTTAAACCCGTTCAAACTAAAATAATAACGTAATAAAATCCAAGCAGTTCGCCCCGTCTGCTATACATTACTTATTCTGAAATTGAAACAGACGAAGTCGCGGACCAAAGCTAGTTATATTTATTATCGTATTTAATCTCGTAAGCACAACTTGTATACATCGCACAAGGATGTATGGAATTACAACTATGATTATAAACCAATTAATCACATTCCAAGTTAGTCATATCAATCTTCGTTCTGGTTTTATTATTGTAATTAAACTGGAATTTCTATAACTAAACCTTACAATATCTTAACCAACTCAATTATATTCCTATAGTTAGGATCTTTATCATGTTCTGATGAATTGCTTTTTATGATTTAGTTAAAGATCTATTTTCATCTTACGTATGAAACGTGATCAATATTTTCGAAATATGGTCTTCATATTCTATGGGATTGAAAATATGTGACCTCAAACTTCATTCCATTCATTTCATTCATTCATTCAATTAGACATTCATTCTTTTCCATTATTTCTTCCAGGTCAAGAGTCTGGTGTCGGAAGGTCCAAGCGGCAAGTCTTCAACTGGCCTGCACGGTGTACTAGTGTCTATGAGAGACCAGACAATGCCTCTTTTCCGAGCTCCATTACTACCCTGGACGCTACTCGCCTGTTTCGTGCAATTCGGAATATTTGCCAAGTAAGATAACTTTTATATATAAGGTAGCTGACCCGGCAAAACCTGTTTTGTCATATAAAAAAAGGGTTGCCGATAAAAGGGTAAAAATTTAGGATTGTATGTATTTTTAACGCGATATAATAAAAAAAAAATTTAAAAAAAATAGTGGTGAACATCCCTTATGACTTAGGGGTATGAAAAATAGATGTTGAACGATTGTCAGACCTACTCAATATGGTCACAAAGTTTCATGAGAATCGGTCCAGCCGATTCGGAGGAGTGCTCGGTCTAACACCGGGACACTAAAATTTTGTGTATAAGATATCGTTACCAGATTAAAAATTAAGTTTTAAAAATTGTTCTGAGAGACCATACCTTATAAAAATCATCTAGTTCTCGATATTTATACCTTTTCTTTTACTTATTTAGTCTTGTTTACTATTTTCAGCACCAATGGCTTCTACGTGTGGTTCCCAACAATACTGAACTCTCTATTGACACACGACGGTGACGAGTCAAGGATCTGTGATGTTCTTCAATCAGGACACAATTTTCCTAAAAATAACACGGAAGTTAGTAATATTTATTATAATATTATAAAAAAAATGTATGAACAGCCTTATTTCTGCTTTATAAACAAGTTTACGAGGACCTTTAATTAATGTTTTATCTTTTAATTTTGATGTAAGCTCAAAACTCACGAAATTCTATATCTTTGATTAGTTACTAACTTTTGCTCGCGACTTCGTCCGCGTCAATTTCATTCAGTATTAATAATGTAGGGCTGCCCGGACTAACTTTATTTTACCTCAGAGGCCGTAAATGATTGGACAATGGTTTTTACTACTGAGTTTTTTCCATCTATCAAACTGAATTAAATATCCTATGACCGTCTCCTTGTTCTGAGATAGCTCCCCACCAATTTTGAGCTAAATTCGTACAGATGTTCTCGAGTTATAAATAGTGTAACTAACACGACTTTAATTGTAACTATTTTTTCTTTTTGGTACATACATAAATAAAAAAAAATAAAAAAATTTCTTTTAGATATGATAATAATATAAGATGTCAATTATATTTTCCAGGTCGCCTGTGATGATACCATCAATGTGGCTACATTCGAGATGTCCATCTACATCGGCCTTGTATTTAGCTCCATGTATATCATCGTGGGCTTTCTTGTGGACTTCGTGGGGAAGAAGAGTATCTTGCTGGTGCTTCTACCTTCAACCGGCCTCTGTGGTATCGGAGCTCACCTCGCGTCCAGCAAGAAAATTGCAGTAGTACTGTTCGCAATATTCCAGATGTGTGGAGCATGTATTGGCTTAATGAACGCGGTAGCAGTGGAACTGTTTCCCACAAAAAATAGGTGATTATTCTACTTCAATATCATTTATATATTTCATTCATACGCTTCAAACTTTATGTTCAACTGACAAAAAATCGTTCGTATTATTTCACAAGGAATCACATCAAAAAAGAATAACTACTCGTATAATGATTGTCTGTCTGTTGATAGAGATTCTTTAATAAATATTGAAATAGCATACACCAGTGAAATGGATGTAAATACTGTCCTTTAATGCCAAATAAAAATTGTATCAAATGTTATTCATCTTAATCCTCCAGAGCCATGGCTATTTGCTTATCAATGATGATGGGCCGAGTGGGATCGATGGTGGGATCCAACCTCATCGGATTCTTCCTCTCAACCAACTGCGGACTAAGCTTTTATCTTTTTGGAGGAGTTTTGATAAGTAAGTTCATCTTTCCACAAACTTCAAACTGACTGACATGACTTGTAAAGACTTTTAACTTGATGATTCTAAATATAATTATTAGGTCTATGGCATTAATGAGTTTTTTTATTATCTACAGTTTGTGCCTTATGTTGCTTTGCTCTGCCGGGAAGGAGTGCTAGCGACTCCGCCAGAATCTCTAAAGCAAAGAAAACTGAACAAGCTGCAGAAACAGCTTGATGTGTTCAACGACTAATATACTTAAAGAGGCTATTATTAGGACCATTGAAATAATGAACGAATGGTGAATGGCTGAATGAATCGAGAACTTAATGAACTAATTGAGTATAAGTCTTATCTCTGTATATAAAATGTAAATATTATTTTTTTCAATGTTCTTAATGGTACGCTTATTTTGTTTATATTTTAAACATAATTTATCTTTAATCTCTACATTAAAAAATTGCAATGTTTCTTAATAAGCTGTGATGTAAATATAATTAAATTTTACCTAATTATTTATTTAAGATTAAGTTATTTTTAATTTATGACAATAATAAAATAGATTATTAAATATGAAATTTTTGTGTATTATTTGCATATAACTTTCAAAAGCTCTATTATTATAAAAGTCGTGTGTTAGGATAGGTTTTCTTAATTACGCTTGAAATGTTTTTTTTTTTAATTCAAGATTTTTAATTGACAGCCCAGACGAGGACAACTGTTGTATTGTGAATGAAGTCACGAAAAATAGAATATAGATGTCGCTATACCTATTATTTTAACACTTCATCTCATAGTCCAACTTTGAAGTTCAAAATCATTGGCAAAAACTGTTATTAATTATAATATATTGTGTTTTATAACTGTTTTACTGTCTCACTAACAAGTTTTGTTGAAGATGGCGGCCCCCCACTATCACTAACTTGTTGATTCATAATGTTACACACAGCGCATGCGCGAAAATTTGTTAAATTTCACAAGTTCTGAAAATGAAACAAACCGATTAAAATTAACCGATATTTAAAATTATTAAAATTCAGGCATGCTTAGGCGGAAACTGTTGTCTTCGCCGCCCTGCAGCACGGAAACCGAGGGTCTTAGTTTCCGGGAAAACCTGGAGGAGGGCAGGAAAATTTCTGAATTGTGGGCGGCGGTACCAGGAGCACATAGAGTGAGAGGAGCTAACGAAATGACGCTTTTAATAAGCGCGACACTACGCATGTGTCGAAATATTGATTTTCGCACCCTCTGTTCATTACATGAATTTCGAAAAGTTGGATACGGCTAATAAATTTTATATTAATTTAAGTTATTTTATAAGCTAAATATTTTATTAAGTGTACATGACTAATGTAGTAATAGTACTAATTTTAAGAGAGCTTTTATTTCATTGATTACTGCATTGCATATTGTATAATGAGAATTTCGCGAGTATTCATCTAAATGTACATAAGTATGTATTGTGTCTGAAATTGTCCCACTAAAATTTTTATGTTTCAAATTAAATACTTTTCGATCTTTTTATTTTCTATTAGAATTTTAATTGTAAGATATAAATAATAAAAAAAATACATAATTTTATGTATGTAATATAACGGAGAAGTTCATATATTTCATCCAAGCGAAGAAGTCTCCATTTTTAAAAGAGTTTTCTCTATCCGTGGCAAAATATCTACGGTAACTTTTCATTTTTATGTTCTCCTGGTACTTCGAATATGTGAAAAACCTGTTTACAATGGTTGCTAAGATACTTGCTAAGCCATAGGAATTTTCTTTGACATACAAGCATTTTTATTAAGATTATTTTTTATTAAAAACAGTAAATTCGAAAAGAAGTTAACTTAATTTCACGTAATTGTTTACTTTTGGTTAAAAATAATGAGTATCAAATATTATTTCTAAAATAATAACAATAGCTTAAAGAAAACTTGACATGAAGCAACGTCACTCTGATGACGTCTGATTGATCCGCCATTTTAGTCAGAAATACCAGGACATCAGGCATTATAAGGGGGTGTTGGAAATTTTCCTCCCTAGAAACGCTTACCCTATATTTCCGTCCTACTCACACGTATTGGAAAAATTTCAGTTATTTCAGAGCGAAGTATTTCAAGATGGAATGCGAGGAATTTATGAAATGTAAGGAATTCGTGTTTATAATTTTTTGACAGTTTTGAGTTTTCTTTTTTTTAACGTAAAGTAAAAAAAAAGCTTTGCCATCTGGTTATTGAAATAATTTTTACATTATCAGATTTACAAACAATAGTTTTAAAAGCTTTCTGATAAAAACTGTATACAGAAATGAAGTCAAATATTTCGTAAAATAAATGAATGAAGAAAACCTTCTAAGGAGGACTTCACATTCCTAGCAAATTTTCCGAGCATTCTTATTACCAGGAGAGCATCAGTTTAACAGAGACTAACACGGAGTCTGAGATGTTTTACGGGTTCTCTTGTAATATTTTTAATTACAAAATACACTTCATCCACGCTACATACATATAAATACATTTATATATTTATTTTCTCAGTTATTCGAAGTAATAAATAGAATAAATTTAATTTATAATAAATGATTCTATTTTATTAAGCACCTAAGTAAGTTGAGGGGTTGTATAAGTTTGACGTCGATGACTGTTGTGTGTGTGTGTCTGTGTGTGTGTGTGTGTGTGTGTGTGTGTGTGTGTGTGTGTGTGTGTGTGTGTGTTTCGCTGTAGCCAATTATAAAGGGTGGCAACCGGAGGTTCCAGGAAAACTACGAAACTTGATTATAAGTATATTATAATAAGAATTACATATTAAAACTTCTAGCCTATACCAAAGACTACATGATAGCCCCGATGTTAGGATAGCAATGACATTCCATAGCTTGTGTGGTATCAGGAATCTTCTGGTTCACACGGCTTGGTGTTCGTTCCGCGGAGTCAGCGGCGTCACTCGTTATAAGATATTTTATCCATACAACGATGTTGTACCGGCGATGTTCTTTTCATTTTTAATATGTAGCGCGTACGTAACAAGTTCTTAAAGAGATAGACTAATTTCGCAATTTAGTTTTTCTTTAATTAAATGTCAGTTTCCTTGCAATGACTCTTAATTATGTTTTCCTATTCAACATCCACATCCACAAAGACCATGCAATCAAGGTCAATAAGTATTACGAAATTTCTAGGAATAGGTAAACCTGGACGCGGTAGGAGTTGTAGCTAGACGTAACAGTTAAATCTCTCTACAACCTACTAAAAGACGTGGGCCTGTCCAGAACTAACGTCAATTCATTCTTGGAACGTACTTCAAAGGCAGCCCTAGTGGATTCGTTTCAATTTTTTTTAATTAGAGAGAGGAGCTTATATAATGGCGGTGAGCGTGAGCGTTAGGCAGGGGCCCCTTAAACCTACACCTGGGTCGCAAGTCCCAGTCACTGTTGAAGCTCCTCTCACTACAATGATAGACCCGGTACTCGCACGGAATTCATTGAACGCTAAGAAGTTTCGTTTCAGAAATAACATATATTGAACTTATACTTCTTTGAATTAATTCAACATCTTATTATTTAACCTAAAATGTATGTATCTATATTAGAAGGTTTCTTTGCTTGAAAACTTACAACTTATTTTTAAAATGGATATCTTCAAACGATTGATTAAGTGTCGTCAACAAATTTAGATAACAATTTATTCTTAGATATGTGACATCACACTTAAAACAATTCATAATCAAACAACATCCGAAATAAGGACTGATATTTTTAATGCATTTCTATTATATGTATATTACATAAGATGGCATGCTTATATATGTATATATGCAAATATCTAATTTATCTCCACTGTGTTCGGTGTTTTCCACTTGGAAAACCAGAAAAGTTATCGTTTTAATAAAATTACAACTAACAAAATATATAAAATTTAGAAAGTCGAATCTGCTTTTAATTATTTCTACACTTAACATAAATTGATGTTTCAAAAATACCTAATTTGTCTATAAAAGTTATGATATGAAAAAGTGTATTTATTAAAGAGTTAATTCATTATATATGAGATACAAATTAAATAGTTTTTGTATGAAGCAATTTAAAGAGTTAAATCATTCTCATTGATATAATATCGATTGATTACACTTTGGTATACGATTTAGGTTCGCTAGTTTGCTATTTATAATAGAAAATCAGACGAAAATTGTATCTTGGTTAAACAATAGTAAATATATTGTAATGATATCAAATATACGACTTTCTCGAGTTTCATTCATTTAGATGAAACTAATCTTTTTCGTATATGTAACTTTAATTCAAGTCTCGTCTGTCCATGATCACGGTTGCTGAAAAGTAGCTGAAACGTCGGGAGTAAGTAGTTTTTTACAAAAATAACGCACGCGTAGTATATCCCAGAAATATTAGTTTCATTTAACTAAATGTGTTGTAGTACTCAATTAAAATGTTCTGTCAGTTATAGAAGAAACGTGGGATATTTATACTTATAAGGGAATATTTAATTGTACATATAAGATGTATCCTTCGTACAAGGTTACAATGCGACGCTTTGCCCGTTCCAAATTCATTCAATCCGTTTCGTTCAATAAATTTAAGTTAATACTGATGTACAGATTTAGAAATAAAAAAACAATATTTCGATCCATATTAAGTGTAACGACTTACTCTTAAATTAATTTATCTCTTTAATTTCATATACGAAGCTATTTTTCGAATTACCATTTACAGCAAATATCAAAAATAAATTATAGTCTTGAATAAATGCATATTTTATACATATAATAATATGTAGGAAAACACCATTTAAACTCTCTCGAAGGTATATATATGTATATATGTTTGTTATTAATAAATCTGTTATCAAGTACATAGCACTGATTTATAGATTATTGAGTGTATTGATTTGTTTATAATACCTCATTAATGTAGGTACGGAAATTATTACATCCACAGATAGCAGCATGTTAATCTATTTCTAATACTATTTATTTTTATGAGAAAAGGGGGCAACGGAGCAGACGGCCTACTTGATGGTAGGTAGTTACCGTCGAACATGGACATCTACAACGTAGATTTGCAGATGTGTTGCCGCCCTTGATTGGGGAAAAGGGGGAGGAAAAAGTGGAAAAGGGTGGGAAAAGGAAAATGGCAACCGGCTCTCTCACTCACCGGACGAAACGCAGCCATTAAAGACTACTTCACGCCGATTTTTTGTGAGATATTGGTACTTCCTCGGTCGAGCCAGCCCATGTCTGAACTGCAGTAACTTGACCACAGCTAGGGTTTACCACCTGAAAAAAGCAATAGATTAAAATAGTATGTGGCAACTCTTTTGAAATTTATGACGCAACCAATAAGTAGGGTAAACGTTTTGTATTTTATGATTTTTTTATATAAAACCTACATATTATTGCAGACAATGTAATATTAAAATTGGACCCTTGTTTAGCGATTGGCACAACACTATTCAATGTATACATCACTACTGTACTCTGAAAGTTAAAAAGAAGTCCATAGTGCAACCTCTCAATGAATCACGTTTGCTAAATTTACTGCTATACTTTTGAATATTAATTTTATCAGATAAGAATTAAAATTAATGAATAAACATCTATTTAAGGAAAAAAAATTAAGAACATCATTCATTAATTACGTGATATCAATAGTGTTGCCAAAAAAAACCCGTCAAACATTTTGTGTTAGCACGTAGGAATTATGACGTGTTGTATCGCTGGAGATCCTTTATCTAGTGATATGAAGTACTCGGGGTTATACATTGAATCACTGAACATATATTTATAAAATGATTTATTTACATGGAAATAATATTTTTCAGATATTATTTTAATAATATATGCGTTGTAATCCGAAAAAATTAGATTCATTTAAATGAATACTCGCGAATCTTAAATATCATTATGATTACCAATTTATTGTAGTTAATATTTGTACATGTAACAATATATTGTCAAATGAAACTAATATTTTTCGGATTATACTACGCGACTTTATTTTTGAAAAAAACTACACACTCCCGACGTTTCGTCTACTTTTTAGCAGCGTCGGGAGTATGTAGTTTTTTAAAAAAGTAAAGTAGTTTTATTTACAGTGGAATGTAGAATTTTCTATTATATTAATATATATCATTCAAATTAAAATAGACTTTTTATTATAGAAACACAATATGTTTCTATTTTATTGGTGAAAGAAATAGATTACTCTTAAAGCACCGTTTGTCCTGTCAATATTATAACTTAATAAGTCAAAGATGATGCAATATTACACGAACTGATGTAAAAAACTTTTTTTGAAAAATATTAGGTTTTTTACCTCGCTTCTAATTATTAGTTAAATTGTAGATTATGGTTTAAAGGCGAGTTTAAATCTCCTTACAAGTAAGTATATATTCTTATCTAATAAGAATGTATAACGAAATACATATATTATATATTATTTAATTAACTTTAAAGAAAGGGTTCTAGCAAGTTAACGTAAAGGAAAACTAGGTCACTAAGCTTACTACAATATAGCGTGGTCACAATATTTAGAGTTAAATTTTTTTCAAACAAATTTAAATAATTCTTGACATAGGTTATTTAGTTAATACGGGAAACTAGCCGTATGTAGTCTGACAACGCAAAACTCTTACTAAGGATACTGTTTAAACATTATTCAACAAACTCTATGTACTTAGTAATATACTGAAATACTAAAGTTCAGAAGTTATACACACATATTTATATATAGCTAAAAGAATTTTGTTTTTACTCAAACATAATTTATACAAGATCTTTTGAATATACATTCAGACTTTCATTAAAAAACATAATAAACAGAAATTAAGTTAAATATTATCTAATATCACGATAAAGAAATAAAACCTCTTTTATAACACTTACCTAATGTACATTTTTACATGACCATATTTAATGGTTAAAATTTAAAAAAAAATTATAATGGGACGTGTTGATCTTAATTTGACGGCATATTTACCGCTCCTTGAAATTTTTATTATAAATTTAAAACGATGCACAATTTAAGGTCTGATTATTCTAAACAGTATCGGTAAAATGTGACAACTTTTAAAATTACCATTTCTAACATCTAAATTTGGAAAATGTCATTCATACAAATTTGGCGTAACAAAAGTTATTGGTAGTAAAGATATAAATAAAAAATAATAACTCATAATCTTAGAGAGTTTAAGTAATATAAGAATGTATGGCTACAAATATATTTGTTCAACAATGAAACGATTATAATTCACAAACATTAATGCTTACTACAAGTTAAAAGCGACAAACTACAAACTGAACGTACCCAGTTCTTCATTCAAAAAATATCCTACATTGTAGTATTAACGTAGGTTACTAATTGTGAATACTGCCTCACAAATGAAAACAATATATTGTTTATGAATTACGGTCACGAGATGGAGTTAGTGTTACATTTGAATTATCACTTAATAATTTATACGACACAGAAAAAACTTGAAAGAGTGAAGAGAAAAATGAATAATAATACAAAATACATCACTACCAATTAACATCTTGTCAGAAATAAACTAAATACATGATGCAATGTCGTCTTAAAATACGATCATAAAATGCAACTTGCTCGTATATGGACAGAACGTTAAAAAATTGCACATCAATCATTATATATTAAGTAATATGATATACATATATTATATCGCGGTTTCACGTCTTTTCATATGTATTCATGAACTGTAGAATATCTAATTGTTTATGAAACAATATCTTGTTTACCTGGACAAGATGTGACCGGAGCACAGAGTAAGTTTTGATAGAGCTACACATGATTGTTGTTCAGTGCATTATATAAATATTATATAGTTCTGTCGTGACAGTACTCTGTGCCGCGAACACGACTTGATAAAACCCATCACTATGTCTTGTCATAGATATTATATTACAAAATATAATATAAATTGTTCTACAACACTTCATTCAGTCCGTGCGATAAATCCGCAAACACCAAGTCCGCAAACAACGGATTAAAAAATAATAATTTTATACCAAAAAGTTTATATATGTGTTTATTTTTATGATTTTTTTTAATTCAAGTGTTAATTAAAATGCCAGAAGCAAATGAAGATGTTCCTAGCAAATGTGCTTACGAGGACGCTGTCAATTTGAGTGGTATGTTAAGTATACAAATATACAAATAATATTAAAAATATTTTAATTAAAAAAGTAGATTAAGTTATAATAAATAATTTTCTGTAAATATGCTTCATATATAAAGGAAATATAAAAGCTTGTTAGTAGAATTTTATTGAAAACTACTTGAATTTTACTAATATTTATTATTATTATATAACAGGTACCGGAAAATACAACGTTTGTCTCCTAATAGTGTGCTGTCTGCTCATAGTAGCTATGTATATTGATATATTCGGCTTCTCTGTTGCACTACCGATAGTTGCTTGCGACATGGGACTCTCTACATCCGAGCAAGGCTTACTCTCAGCTATGCCATTGATTGGTAAGATATTTTTATATGTACACCATAAACCAACTATAAATATATGTATATTTTGAAAGTGAGAGCAATATAATCTAAATATATACGTACGTAGCTAAAAGGTAAATACCAATATTATTCTTCTGAATATACTTAGTGAGGAAACCTGGCCTTATAGTTTTGAATTATAAGTTTGAAATCACCAACCATTCTAGAGCAAGCGTGGTGATTAATGCTCAAACCTTCTCCATGTGAGAAGCGATTTTGCTCAGAAGTGGGCTCCAGTAGACTGATCAAACCAATTACGGACCATTTTTAAGTTTTCTTTCATAAATTTTTGCACGGAAGAGCATCAATGTATGTAGTTATAAGATTTAACAATTCGATCCTCTCTGTGTTTAATTCGACTATTCATACCTCGTGGCACTGTTACTATCTCGATACTACAACCAGAATAACTAATTTATAAGTTATTTACATCACTTATTTGATACATCTATAAATAGATTTTTTTATTGTTTACTAGTAAAAATGGCTTGAAAATATTCAAGTCGGACTCTTCATACTTATTCAGTATGAAAATATTTAAATTTTTAATTAAAAATAAATTAACATTAAAATATAAGAAGCACACCCCTGAGAAGAAATATTCTTAACTGAACAAAAGTATAACCATCTATTTAAAGACGACACACAAATATATTTTCGGCATAAAGATAGAACATAGATATAAAACGAAATTAGCAAATTTACAATTACTTCTCAGATTTTCATACGTATTAAAGTAATATGAGACTTCTACAGAGATTAACATCATAAAATGAATTGTTTATTTCCATCGAACTTGTATTAACCAGATCTTTATATGTAAATTAATTATCATCAATATATAATTCTCGTGTCGCGGTGTTAAACAAAGAACTCCTCCGAAACGACTGGACTGATTTTGATAAAATCTTGTGAGCATATTGAGTAGGTCTAAGAATCGTCCAACATTTATTTTTTATACCCCTAAGTCATAAGGGTTGTTAAACCTTAATTTTTTTTTTCGGACGAAATTTTTTTTTATATTTTTATAATGTAGCTTTTTTTATATATATATATGGCAAAACAACGTTTGCCGGGTTAGGTAGTTTTATTATAATAGACATTAAATTTCAAACCTTATTTCGTCGTTTGCTGTTCTTTTTGTGGTTATAGGTTATAACATTTATGAATTAATTTATTTAAATAGAACTATTAATCCTTTATCTGAGATGAGCAGATTTCATTATAGTGTCACTTCGAGTTCCTGTAGTAATTAACATTTGTATTTCTCCACACACACACACATACACAAACACACACACACACACACACTCATTAATATGTTACCCCCTACACAATTTATATTGCAATTTCATCATAAGTAGGTATCACTTTTTGTAAGTTTACTTATTTGAAATATATATGAGAAATTTATCGTTTAACATAATAATAAGAAAAGACTAGAACATTCGATAGTCATTCGAAGTCTTTGTTTTTAACTCAGAACTGTCATTTCAATCAATTTTATAACAAATTTCTGTCACATAGCGATATTATTCATCTATTCTTTCCATATATATCATTGATTTTTTATAATCATGGCTATTTATCGACAAATAACAGTTCTGTTTTCTATTTTTCGTATTTTGTTTATATCCTGTCGTGTCCTGTGACAATGATAATGGAAATATTTGTAAAAAATGTTTTTGAAAATATCGTCTTTCACCTACAGCTCGCACCACACGTTGCTAAGCTATTTATCGACTTTGTATCTTCTATATATATAAAAATGGATTGCTGTTCCTTAGTCTCGCTAAAACTCGAGAACAGCTGAACGGATTTATCTTATCTTAGTCTTTAAATGTTCGTGGAGGTTCAGGGAAGGTATAAAAGGTGAGAAAAATTGGAATAATTGCCGGGAAAACCCTAAAAACAGCCCTTTTCTATTTCCCATACAAACGGTTTTTTTGACATTAGATTTGACAACTAACTAATATGTCAATCATTCTGTTTGATTGAAACAGGAAAATCCTGATTATTTATGGCCTCTAAGACGGAGTAGAGTATGCCTGGTCAGCTTCTTCTTCTACCTGGCAATTTCCCAGCTATAGCCAGGGTCTGCCTTACATGTTTGTGAATAGTTTTGGCTATTTGTTTTTACGACCGGCCGCTTGCCTGACATCAACCCTCTCTTTGGGAATCAACATAAATCAGTGATGTCTAAATACTCTTAGAAAGTACATATGATACGGAAAAATCACATTGGTACTTGCCCGGGCCAGGATCGAACCCGCGCCCTCGGCAACGAGAGGCGGGCCCTTTAACCACTAGGCTACCACTGCCTGGTCAGCTATACCTACATATATTACTCTTGACCAAACTAACGCGGACGAAGTCGCGGGCAAAAACTAGTAGTTAATAATAATTATGATGTTAGTATCGATTTTTTCTTATGAAAGTAGTCGTAAATGGTGATAACGGGTAGGGAAAAATAATCATCGCGTCAGCATGCTTTTTGTTCGTGATAAAACTGTTATAATTGAAGAAACTTCATCAGCATATTTAGACTTATCCTGATTAAACATCAGTCCTTTTTTTAGACGCGGGAAAATCCCAATCTCATAAGCATTGACTAAGTTGATTTATATCTACCTTTAGTTTTATTTATATCTATAGATATGTATCTACGATATTGTATTACACCTTCATACTGATATATTACTCGTCAGTAATTTTGAGAGAGCTTTGCATACCATAAAAGATAAATCAAAGAAAATCTATTACTTTTGTGTACCTGATCTATTATTTTCGTCTAAAATATAATTAATTATTATAGAGCCAATTTTTTGGAAAAATCATAAAAAGTTCTACTTTCAAAGATCGAAATGAACTTTACCAGATCTAATTACAGAATAATTTTACGTGCCAATGCTTTTTTAGCTCGTTTTCAATTACTGTAATGTTGCTACTATTTTTATTGGGCTCTATTTATGTTTACCTCAATTAAAGACTATATTTCATTAAATTTCGTTATTTCTAGGTGTAATGTTATCTTCATATGCATGGGGTCTCGCAGCAGACATTCTGGGTCGACGAAAAACTTTATTAATCGCAATGCCAATTGGAATGCTGTTGAATATCGGCGCTAGCATGGCTCCAACTTACATAGCTCTGGCTCTATTGAAGTTTTTCTCTGCTGCATTGTATGAATTTATTTATATTGTTATATAATATACTAATATACACATGTAGTCTTAATAATAATGTTTTCTTTGGCAGTACCTCTTCAGCAAACGCAGCCGCTTTTGTACTGTTAGGAGAGAGTATGCCCAGTAAATATCGTGGTCGTTCCATGTTTCTGATGGCCAGCGCTACCATGTACTGCCAATTCATTATTTGCAGTAAGAATAATCTTAATATTGTACTAAAGATTTATATATTGATATAATAATTAATCCTTAATTATTTTTCCTTTGCAGTTATTGCCTTACCAATTATTAATCTGTCGTTTTCTGTGGACATTTCTTGGCTATTACTCACGTATAGACCATGGCGATTATTGCTTCAAGCTATCAGTCTCCCCGGTATTATTGGTGTGATCGGATTATTGTTCACTCTGGAAACCCCCAAATTTCTCCTAAGTAAAAACAAAGATGACGCCGCTCTCGAGGTACTGACAAGGATTTATACGATCAATAAGGGATTGCCAAAAGATACCTATCCGGTGAGATTATTGAATGAATTGTTTAAATAATTAATGTCTATTAAAATTATATATCATCGTGGCCCTGAGGTTAGAGGCCCGCCCATCGTGTATGAGAGCGCGGGTTCGAAACCTGGCAAGTACCAATGTGATTTTTCCGAGTCATATGTACTTTCTAAGAGTGTTTAGAGACCACTGACAGACGGTGAAGGAAAACATCGTGAGGAAACCTGGACTTAAAATTTTAAATTATAAGTTTGAAATCTGCAACCCGACTTTAGCAAGCATGATGATTAACGCTCAAACCTTCTCCATGTGAGAAAAGGCTTTTCCTTAGCAGTGGGCTCTAATACGTTGATGATGATGATAAAAACTATTTGTTTTTAAATAATATTGTCGTTTTAGGCAAAATATGAAAAAAACACTTAATTTTTAATACATTTTTTTGCGTTTTAGGTTAAAACTATAATTCTAGATGAAATAACAACGCCTGAAACTAAGGGTAATGAATCGTTTTTACGTAAAATGTGGAACCAGACCGCACCTCTCTTCAAACCTCCACTTCTTAGGAACTCACTCATCATTTATTACATTTTACTTTGTGCTTATATGACGTAAGTTTTTGAAGTTTCCTTGAAAACATTTTATACATATAGAATGACATATAGACTTTGAACGAAATTTTATGAATGAAACTCCTTTTAGTGATAAGTCTGATAATGTTTATCTTGAATATTCATAATCATACTAAGTTTTTTATATGACTCGGGTATTTATTTATATATTTTAACTGTAATTCATCAAACTGCATTTTCGATTACTTAAAAGCGATGAGGATCACTAGAAGTGAGTATAAGAATACTATTCGACTTTATTTTTGTACTCCCGACGTTTCGGCTACTTTTCAGCAATCGTTTTCACGAGCAGACTAGATGTGTCCGAAAAATATTAGTTTTATTAAAATGAATAAAACTCGCAAAAATCTTAGATCTCCATATCGTCTAACATGATCTACAAAAAATAATATAAGATTTCTCTTTTTTCAGTTCAACCGGCTACACTATGTGGGTACCAACAATAACTAATGCATTTTTCGATGGTGAGGAAAGCTGGGGGAAAACGTTCTGCGAAGTTGCTAGCACTTCAGCTTCCTCCAGCAACAGCGTAAGTTCCTATTACATCAAATAAAATCCATTTTACCTTTATTTGATGTAAATAAATAAGTGCCTCTCTGTTTTACAGACAAATACAGATTGCGAAGATATAGTGAAGCCGATGACTCTGTACGCTGTCATGTGTTACTCCGGCATATCTGGAACTCTGAACATATTCCTGACATTTTTGGTCGGACCTCTCGGCAAACGACGATTGACAATGCTGGTCTTCACAGTCGCTATAGTTTGCGGAATAATCCTACTCTTCATTAGGATACCATTAATGAGCATCGCGCTGTTTTACTTCTTTCTCTATGTAGCTCTTATTTTGGGCAACGCTAATACTTATCTTGTTGAACTTAATCCAACTTATTTGAGGTGGGCATGAATGATAGGAAGCATTTTAATGTGATAATTAAAGCAAGAATAGCGTTACTAATAATTGATGTTGAATAGGGGTATGGCTACGTGCTTGTCTGTGGTTGTGGCCCGAGGGTTCGGCTTTATAAGTGTTCAGCTCATCGGAAGACTGCTTGCAGACCACTGCACTTCAACAGTAGCTGGTTACATCGGTCTCATCTCTAGTAAGTTTAAATTCTTATTTAATACCAAAAAAGGATCTATTTTATTATATATTCTTATTTCAGCTGGCCTGATAGTTTCCTTCTTCCTACCCAAAGATAAATCGACGAAGGACGATGTCAGTTTTACAACTATGAGCGAAGAAGATGGAACGAAGTTGTGAATCTGTAGATTTAGATTTAAGTATTGTAAATAGTACGTAATAATAAGTAAAAATTAGAAATAATTTACATTGGATCCTATCTTAATAACATCTAGTCTATTTTTTAAGTCTTTCATGATCCTGAAATTATTTTGTCTCTCATAATGTTTATAGAAATAAATAACAATATTATTGTATATTTTTATATTAAGTATTGTAAAATAAACAAGAAATTTAAATGTAAAAATTTTATTATTTTTTACTCCAATAAAATATATCTATCTCGAGATGGGTTAAATCTTTGTAATACAAAAAAAAAGTTAATGAAATATGTAAAATACTAATGAAGTTTCACTTTATTAATTTCTGGTTAAACTAATGATCTTTGTCTACCAATAGTTTTATATGTCATCACAATCTGGAGTAATAATAATATTCAATAGGGAGTAGGTGTTATACTTTAACTACCTTTTTTTTATCCGCATTTTGCATCACCGCATTCAGAGAGTGACTGAAATATTATCATTAAAAAAAAAGACCAGAAAGCATTCGTTCAATATATATTCCAAAAGCTTTTAGGGTATAAATGTAAATGTAACTAACGACGTCCATTAGTAGCATTTGCACGTCTTCCTCTCCAAGTTAGAACTATTGTCACATTGGCAAGCTTCCAAGACCTGTCATTAAAAGGTGCAAAATCGTTTCAGAATATGAGACATACATACATTCACGCTGGATGGAATATCATCCAGACCATTACCCTTAATCACCACAAGACTACGAAGTCGTCAGTACCTATTTATTAGTTAATATACACCCCAGTCATAAACCACGGTCAGATAAGCGAGGTGGTGGGCGATTGCTTTTCTCAAAGGTGAATTTTAGGTAACAAAAGAAACAAGCAGTGTTACTTTTTACTTTGTCGTATAGGCTAATACTCTATTAGGTTTAATCAGAAGAGGTATGTAGTGAAGACTAAAGTTTTGTCTCAGCTGTAGTGCCAGAAGGTTGAGCAGACACTAAATAACATTTAAATTCCAATATCAGTATCTTATTGGTACTGTAATTGTATTATATCGATTAGTTGAAGTTTTCGTCCTAAAAATGAAAATTAACTTGTGTTCCAACTCAATCTGAAACAAAATAACTAAAATAAATTTAAATGTTCTTTTAAATAAGAATAATTAAAATAATCTTATCCAACTGCAATGTAAAACAACTGTCTCATTAATAGTGTATTCAGTAGAGCTCATAACGTCTAGATGAAGGCACTATCGAAGCATACTGTTAAAAGCTTTTCATAAAAAACCTTCCAGTTATTTTTTTACAATTCTTTCTTGTTGTTTTATATTAAACATTTATTAAAAAATATTATACATTCGTTTAATGATACATTATTTTATGTATTATAGCAACATTGATCGCAAGTCATTTAAATGTCATTACTCCCAAGTGTCAAGTGTGTCAACGAGTAATGTCATTGCCAGTGACAGTAATTCACTTTACTGGAACCGCTAACGAGAATGTCGGATTCCACCGGTGATAATTCAAAATCTCGAGTTGTAGTTTTAGGAGGTACAATATTATATAACATTAATTATTATATAAGAATAAGTGTTATTCATTATTATTATTTTATATGTAACTTAGTTTTCCTCATTTGAAATCTATAACGGTCGTTGTGTTAGTCATCGGGTGACCTAAGTTTTTTTTTATTGTCTGATCCTGCGGTTTTGTTCAGGGTGCGGCTTCATCGGTCGGAATCTGGTGGAGTATTTAATCAGCAATGACTTAGTTAGTCACTTGCGTGTAGTGGATAAAACTCCACCACAATTGGCCTTCCTGAATCCTACACACTCGAAAGCCTTCGAGGACCCCCGCGTTGAATATAAAAGCGCAAACCTTATAAATCCAGGTGAGTCTTATTCTTAAGCTTATTTTACTATACATTCTTTAAAGATTTGACCATACAAAAATCTCATGCTTAGTATGTTATCTCTCTATAAAATTATTATATAAATAAACTTGTATAATATTGTTTATAACATAATAAGATAGATAATATTAGCACTTATCTGTTAACAGTGATAGCTATTTGGTTCCAATATTACACATACAAAAGTTCATTAATTACTTAAGAAGCCATAGTAACAATTAAGTGGAGCTCACTAAATTCGTGAAACCTTATCTTAATCACTACATTTTAAGCAGTCGGAATTACTTAAAATTCTGTTTCATATCAGTCTGTGAATACAATTTTATGTTTATGCTGCAACAACTTAGCAACTTATGCAATTAGCAATTTAATGGTAATTGCAATCAAGTCTTCAAAATCTCAAATAGATTGTGTTACAAAGACTTAGAGTAAATGTAACATATATATTTATATAACCAATTGATTATAATCATTATAAAATAATCTCAAAATATAAATAACATTTTATCTAAATCCTAAGTATATATGAATAGAGCTAACATTTGCCTCACAGGAGCTACTGTTAATAAAACAATGCCCGTTTTAAATTACAGTAATATTTTGACAGTCATTTTAATGTGAGGATTCCCAAATTATGTATATCATTGTCATGTCCTTGATAACTTATCATTATGATTCATTTCCATGCAGCAAAGTGGTTGGTTTAAATAAAAATATTTATATTTTGTTTTTGAGACTTTTAAGTTTCATAACTACACACACACATATACAGGGTGACTGGTGAATTACTATCGATATTTGAGGACGTGATTTGTGACGATCATATATGACAAAATAAAAATTAATTTAACATAAATATTAATAAACTTCTAAGTAAAGTTAACCAAAAGTTATGTAATTAATTACGCATCGTCTGAACACCCTACAGATTAGGTATACACCCACACTCACACATACGAGTGCGGCGGCGTTGTGTTGTATCAGCACGGGGCCGCACGCGTCCACACTTGGAACACTTGGAACGTGTCAACACTTTATTTATTTATACGGAAATTTTGTCAAAAATTAAGTACCTATTTTTTTTACATAATTCGAATGAGAATCATGTACCGAGTAAGCTCCTTAAATATTGATAGTAATTCACCAGTGACCCTGTATATATATTGATGGCTCCTATGTATAATGGCCAGTGTGCAAAATGTAAATTTTTCAGTAGAGGTGTTTTAAGTTTGATTTCAATGTGTCTTTTACACATGACTACTGATGCTTTTGTTTCTTTGCACAGTAACTATGATATACATGTACCGTGTATGTCATTTAAGTTTGATAAACTTTTTTGTAAATCTACTAGTTTTTTAAATAATATGTATATAGGCCCCCATATATGTTAAAAAGTGAGTTACTTATGCCCTTTTACTGCAATAAAAACTAAGTCTTTCCACCAACAAATACACATTTTTTTAAAACGGATATTGTAGAATACAGTATTATGAAGTGTTTAAAGCAAAAAATGAAAATGGCTAAATTGACCTTTATACACAGGACTCATCTCGATATATAATATGTATATTTTAGTTTTTGTTCTTCAGTTCGGTATTATTAAAATTAATATCAATGTATTATTATCCATTTATTATTGATATTATGATAGATTACGAAAATCCAATATCGATATCATAAAAACGAATGTGCCATTGTAAAATCAAATCATTTCCGAGGTGTAATGCGACGGAAAACACATTTATCTATCCCTACTCCCTACTAATATTATAAATGCGAAAGTAACTCTGTTTGTCTGTCTGTTACGCTTTCACGCCTAACCCACTGAACTGATTTTAAAGAAATTTGGTACAGACATAGAGTTAACCTTGAGGAAGAACATAGGATAGTTTTAATCCCAGACTATTGAAAGTTTCTCTTGGTAACGCGATATAACCGAACTCCACGCGGACGAAGCTGCGGGCGGAAAGCTAGTGTGGTATAAAGACAAATGATTTACATTCAACACTCGTCTAACAGAGCGTCTGAATACTTCCTTTGCTATAGTATAAATATTATTACAATATTAGTGACAACCAACGAATTTATCGCCTATCGAATAGTGATATATTTACTTAAATATATTAGTATTATTTCATGAATAATTCTCGTCTAGCCTGTAAGGTAAGTTAAAACAGTAGGAATATTTAGTAATCAATTAACTATGAAAGGAAAATGATATCTAAGACTTTCGCGAGTATCCATTTAAATGAAACGAATACTTTCGGAATAGTTCGCGTATTTCATTATTTTTATGAACTACATACTCACGACGTTTCGGTTACTTTCCAGTAACCGTGATCACGGGCAGACGAAACCAAAACGTCGGGAGTATGAAGTGTTTAAAAATAATAAAATACGTGAAGTAATCGGAAAATATTAGTTTCATTTAAATGAAAAGAAAATACATGCAGTTTTAATCCTGTGTATAAGAAAGGGTGTTATGAGTTTAAAGTCGATGTCTGTCTGGCTTTGTTTGTGTGTGTGTGTGTGTGTGTGTACACATGTAGCTCAGAAAAGGATTTCAATGTGATTTTGTACACCCGTTGAATATGATTGTAGATATTCATCCTATGTTCACGATTTGTCTTCGCTGTACTAATAACTTGACGTTTTAATAATTAGCTGTTCATTTTAGAATGAGTTGCGGTGGCCAATAAAAAAATCTCCTTAGGATTTCTTTGAACGTTCTAGAAAAATGATATCGTGATATTCCTATTATTATTATTTCACCTGTTTCTCGTTACATAACTAAATTGTATGATTTTTTCTAGAATATATTAATTGTTAAGTATTTTGTTTTCAAAATGTTCATAGTTTTTTATATTATTTTCATTGTCTCAACTAAATCCTTACCTCTTCTCATAGATCAGCTAGCAATAAATACATTTTAGCATTAATCTAGTGTTCTTTGTATACTGAAAATAAACTATAGGAAGTTACATAGTAATAATATACATTAATTATAAATATCCTTAAGGAAATTTTGTACGTAAATTAGTTGTTTCGTTTCGCAACCATCCTCCCTAGTCCCTAATAGGTTTATTACGGTAAATTACGCTCGCTTTAATCTTTCAAGCGGGGCTGCCATTAGTAGTATGGGCACATGCTCTTACGTGCTTAAAACCAACCCCTGTTACTTAATATATATAAGGAAAATACATAAAGCACTATGTAATATGCTGTTACATAAATCATGACTTAATTTCATTGTTATGTTTAAATACAGAAAACAATATTTATTTTCGTGGTAATTCCTGGATTCAGATGAAAATAAATTTATTATACACTAGCTTTCCACCCGCAGCTTCGCCCGCGTGGAGTTCGGTTATATCGCGTTTCCAAGAGAACCTTGCAAAAGTCTGGGATAAAAGCTATCCTATGTTCTTTCTCAAGGTCAACTCTATCTCTTTACCAAATTTCATTAAAATCAGCTCAGTGGTTTAGGCGTGAAAGCGTAACAAACAGACAGACAGAGATACTTTCGCATTTATAATATTAGTAGGGATAATGATATTATTTCAACGGTAGGTGTACCAAAATAATAAAAATATTAGTTGATTTTTTACATTTACAGGGTGACTGGTGAATTACTATCAATATTTTAGTAGAATACTCGGTACATGATTCTTATTCAAATTATGTAAAAAAAAATAGGTACTTAATTTTTGACCAAATTTCCGTATCTTCTATATATATATAAAAATGGATTGCTGTTCCTTAGTCTCGCTAAAACTCGAGAACAGCTGAACGGATTTATCTTATCATAGTCTTGAAATGTTCGTGGAGGTTCAGGGAAGGTATAAAAGCTGAAAAAAATTGATTAATTATTGGGAAAACCATAAAAACAGCCCTTTTCTATTTCCCATACAAACGTTTTTTGTGACATTAGATTTGACAACTAACTAATATGTCAATCATTCTGTCGCACTTCAAAACACGGAGATTTATGGCTTTAATAGGTAAACTCCAAAAATATAAATAAAAAAACGTAATAGATATTTCTTGATTATAGGGCGATACGAAGTTCGCCGGGTCTTCTAGTAAATAAATAAAGTGTGGACACGTTCCAAGTGTGGACGCGTGCGGCGGCGTGCTGATACAACACCACGCCGCCGACGTGTGTGTGTGTGTGTGTGTGTATACCTAATCTGTAGGGTCTCCACGCGATGCGTAATTAATTACATAACTTTTGGTTAACTTTACTTAGAAGTTTATTAATATTTATGTTATATTAATTTTTATTTTGTCATATGTGATCGTCAAATATCACGTCCTCAAGTATCGATAGTAATTCACCAGTCACCCTGTATAAAGTAAAAGACAAATAGTACATATTTTATGAGTTACGACAATCAACAATCACACTTAATTCATTTTTCTCAAGTGTGACTTCATTTACAATGCAACTGTTATACCTGATCTCGCTTGAATTGCACAGAATTCCAAGATAAATTATAGCTCATATCTCATTAATTATTGTAAAATTAAGTAGTTTTTGCGTGGTAGCCCAACAAAAAATTCATCGATCCTCAAAATTTTTCGCATTTATAACAAGAATTAGGTACAATCAAGACTAAGAGAATTCGCTTTACAGAAAATTCCAAGGGAATTTACAGTCCATATCCTATTAATTACTGTAAAGTTAAATAGTTTTTGCTTGATAGCCCAACAATCAATTCATAATTCCTCATAATCTTTCGCATTTATAACGAAAATTATATCAAAGTATAAGAGAATCCCAAGATAAATTACAGTCCATATCCTATCAATTACTCTAAATTAGTTTTTGCGTGATAGCCCACCAAAAATTTGATAGATCCTCATAATCTTTCGCATTTATAACAAGAATTACAGCAAAAACTAAGAGAATTCGCTTCTAAACTTGCAGTATCATGCGCCAGTGCCCTCGAACCTTCAGAACAGCCCTGGTCTTTGGTGGTGAACTGCGCGGGCGAGACTCGTTTTGGTCAGACGGAAGCCGTGTACGCCGAGGGTATACACACGCTGAGTGTAACAGTCGCCAAGCAATGTGCTCTCATGAAACTACGGCTCATTGAAATATCCAGTGGATGCATGTACAGCAGTGACAAGGTATTGTATCGTTTTTATTATAAAACACTAACCTATTTTATTACTATATTTTTTTAAGTTAATTTGAATTCAATTCAAATAGAATATATGGAATAAAACAGTCAATACATGCTGTATTCGGAGTATCTTTCCACAATAAACGTAGTTTTAAAAAAATATATATATACATATGTGGGATCGCGTCTGATAAGGATAATTTGTTGTTAGTGTCCAGAAACACATCCTGAAACAAAACTTGATAACATTCCATGACTTGCTTCACAAATTCCTTGCATAAGAAAGGTCCTATCTTTTTTCAATCTTCATCACTTCTATAGTATATACATTATCATATAATGAGTTTCTACTAAGACACTAAAGAGGTCCATTTAAAGGAAATTCTGAAAGGAAATACAGTAGGACCCCGATTATCCGGACCTCGGTTATCCGAATTCGCGATTATCCGGACTGCCAATCGCGACGAGTTTATTCTAACACTAGCTTTTGCCGCGACTTCGTCCGCGTGGAATAGTGACTTCCCTCAGATTTTTGGTTCTTCCCACATAGTTCCCGTTCTTGCGGGGTTTTCGGAATGGTCAAGTTCCCGTAGAATTTTCAGGATAAAACCTATGTTTGTTTTTATTCACAATGAAGTACTCTTAACCAACAACATATTTATTTGTTTATTTGAATAAAGATTAATATTATTATGTTGATACAACTAAAACCAATTATTTCGACCAAATTAGACACCATAAAAACGGTTTTTGTGAGTTAATCTTAAAAGATAGACATATACTGTCGCGGACTGTTTTTTAGGTCATTAAAAGAGCTATTATTCTTTAATACATATTTTTTGTGCATCTTGAACCGTTTTCACGGCGCACGCAACGGAAGGCTTCAAAGATGAAATAATTTCTCCCGTTTTTTACACATTTACCACCTATATCTTTGCTCCTTTTGGTCGTAGCGTGATGTTATATAGCCCACAGCCTTCCTCGATAACTGGACTATCCAACACAAAAAGAATTATTCGAACCAGTAGTTTCGGAGATTAGCGCTTTCAAACAAACAAACAAACAAACAAACTATTCAGCTTTATAATATTAGTATAGATTAACATGTCAGAACTTGCATAACGCCACGCCACTCGTTCCGTCCGTGATTTTCGTTGATTTTCGCTCATATGTATTTGTTGTTTTAAATAAACACCTAACATTACATATGTATGGTACAGACTACATATGTACATATGCAAAAAGCCCGTTTTTCTTCATATATTGGATTATCCGGACTTTCAATTATCCGGACGCCTACCGACAACAATTAGTCCGGATAATCGAGGTCCTACTGTATACTGAAGTAACTTTTATGATTTTAGCCCCAGAAAGAAGATTGTCCCGTAGAACCATGGACAGTAGAGGGTAGGATGAAGGCCCGAGTTGAAGAGGATTTGAAAAATATGGATCTAGACTACACCATTATTAGACCAGCTATAGTATACGGTGTAGGAGATAGAAGGAGTCTCAGTGAGTATAAGCATTATATAAAGATAATAACAATATTAAACACACATAATGATTACTTCTTATATACTCCATATATTTATGTGATAAAATATTTTATAGAATTGTTTACATCAACTGGTCAATACTTTATTTATTATGACCCAAATAATATTCAAGTTTTCTTACATGATTGGTTATTAAGATATGGCTTCTTGTAGTTCTTGGAGTCCATCCATTTATTTGTAACCTTATATATAAAATTCTCGTGTCGCGGTGTTCGACAGAGAACTCCTCCGAAACAGCTGGACTGATTTTAATGAAATTTTGTGAGCATATTGAAAAGGTCTGAGAATCGGCCAACATCTATTTTTCATGCCCCTAAGTCATGAGGGTTGTTCACCCTTATTTTTTTTTCGGACCAAATTTTTTGTTTTTTATCACCAACCCCTATTTTTTTATATAGCAAAACAACGCTTGCCGGGCTAGCTTGTATGCTTAATAAATTAGGATTATATGTCTTATTCCTATCTATTATTATTTCATTTTCTTTGTTTTAATAAATAATTAATTAAATTAGTTAATTTCTATATTAATATTTCACTATCAATAAACTCTCAGTTGATATATATGTATATACCTACCAACCGAATATACATAATTTAAATATGTCGGAGAAGATGCCAAAACGTGGTTTTTAAAATGAGTGACGTCAGCATAACTGACGTCACCAGCGCGGTTTGTTCTCGAATGTCGTCCGCCCTTGAGGTTATCGAAGGTAACCTCACAGCCCGTTGGATGATGTCTCACTTCCAAGAGGTTCGATCCCCGCGACGGCTCCAGCACGACTATTCTGTAATCAGTAACTCGCCTCTATTTATAATGACTAACAGCCATTGTTATGACTTCACTCGGACAGGTTGTTACGCGAACGACACCTGATAATTTATCTACCCTCAATTATTGATTATTAAAATGGTAACTGCGCCGACACGGCCATTCTGACAGTTGGTGCGCGCTCTGCACCATCCTGCATTCTTGGTTAAGATTCCCTGGTCACCTGAGAATGAAATAAAAACAAAAACTGATCGTTATGAGCTAGCTCAAGGGTAGCACATGATTAGTTCAAAGATGTAACACTCTCCAGATCTACGGTGTATACATGTCTCCTCACGGTTCCACAAGGCGTCCCTTCGTTATCTCATGGTTCTCTTACGGATACATCAAGGACCTGTGGTTAGCTCAAGGATAGCACGTAATTAGCTCAGAGGTATCACTCTTTGGTGCATACATGTCTCCTCACGGCTTCACAAGGCATCCCTACAGAATCTCATGGTTCTCATATGGATACATCATGGACACGAAGTTAGCTTGAGGGTAACACATGATGAGCTCAGAGGTAACACTCCAGATCTGTGGTGTACACTTGACTTCTGATGGTTCCACAAAGGATTTTAATTTTTAGGATGTTGCTGTGGTCTGGGCGGTCTTGTACGCCGTGGTCCACAGAGGCTCTAAGGGATTGAGGTAGGTCGATGCTGTGGTCTAGGACTTTTTGTCCGTGGTCCACAGGGGCTCTGAAACATAGAAGAAAAATTCCATTATTATCAGATGGACGAGCAGAAGTGAACTATCCCACTTCTGATGTCGGAGAAGATGCCAAAACGTGGTTTTTAAAATGAGTGACGTCAGCATAACTGACGTCACCAGCGCGGTTTGTTCTCGAATGTCGTCCGCCCTTGAGGTTATCGAAGGTAACCTCACAGCCCGTTGGATGATGTCTCACTTCCAAGAGGTTCGATCCCCGCGACGGCTCCAGCACGACTATTCTGTAATCAGTAACTCGCCTCTATTTATAATGACTAACAGCCATTGTTATGACTTCACTCGGACAGGTTGTTACGCGAACGACACCTGATAATTTATCTACCCTCAATTATTGATTATTAAAATGGTAACTGCGCCGACAAATACAATCACTATATACTTCCAGCACCTCGTCTTCTCTATGGTGGTATATACAAACACTTGGGAGAGACAATGAAGCTACTATGGACAGCGGACCTCAAGATGAATACTGTCCATGTTCGAGACCTTTGCCGGGCCGTGTGGACCCTGGCTAAGAGAAACGACGCGAACAGACAGACATACAACCTGGTGGATGACGCTAATAGCTCTCAAGGCAGTCTCGCTGAGATTGTGTCCGAGATATTCAATATAAACCATGATTACTATGGAACTGCTATATCAACGTTGGCTAAGGTACGTAATGAGGTCTGAGACTTGGGTGAGTATTCATTTAAATGATATTAATATTGTTCAGATTACTGGGGATATTTTATTATTTTAAACGCCATACTGCCGACGTTTCGGTTACTTTTCAGCAACCGTAATCGCGAATAGAAATAGATGTGCAATTTCAAAAACGTCGGTAGTATATAGTTTAATAATAATAAAATACGAGAAGTAATCAGAATAATACTAGTTTCATTTAAGGTATTATTTGTATTAATTAGGTGGTTTAATAAAAATTTGCCTGACTGTCATATGTTATATATAAAATTTTCTTCTTTGTAATATTTAAATAAGATTAGGTCTTCCCACTTAACTGCCACTACTTTTCCTATAATTACCGATTATACATATAAAGTATGGATACATTATAAGTAATGATCAAAAAAGAGAGACACAATACAAACTCTTACAAACTCAATTTTAAATTCAGATATTTTTCACTGTTGCTCTTTAAAAATCATATTATACACTAACAACACTTCATGTTACAAATATAAGTTACTATCTAGTTATTTATCTTTCTATCTATCTATACTACTAGATAACTTATATAAGCTACTATCTAAATTATATCTATGGCTAATTTCAGAACGACATAGCTTCAGTAGCTGAAGAGGCGAACGACAAACATCTGACCGCGTGGGCGGATATATGTAGGAAGTATTCATTGGAGCATAGTCCACTTGAACCTAGCGCTGGCGCTGAACTCTTACTGAACAAACAACTGTGTCTTGATGGAAGTAAGATTAAAGAAATCATGACTATGGATGTTCCCGCGCCCACGGCGTCTGCATTACTTGAGGTAATACTTACCCTTAGTGTTGTCACACTATATACAGAGAATTTTCATGATAAATCATATATCTAGAACCTAGACGATAAATTACTTGATATATACTAATGAATATATAGAAACACTAAATTAGTGATGTCACACTACATACTAAGAGTTTTCAGTATTCATTCATAATTGAAATTGATAAACTCCATGAGAAGTTTTATTAATGAATACATGGAAACACTAAATGTTCTACTAATTTAGTTTGTCTTTAAGATACTGCTATTGGCTGTATAGTCTTGCCTATTTATTTATTCTTTAACGCAAAATTAAGGAGAAAAAGTTCAGTATTAAAGCATTCGCAATAGTCATTCTCAAAGGAAATAACAGTTCTACAAAACAATAGATGGTAAAAAAAGGAATATTGTAAAACTTAACTATATTAATTCATAGATGTGTCATGAATTTTTTACTTTATTTTTATGTGAAATCACTTTTGTGGTAATGAAATGTGTGAATAAATACAGCTGTGTGTACATTGAAGATATTATTTATGTATATAGAACTATGTGTGTGAATAGTTTATCTCAATAACTTATCCTGGAATTATATTACCAACCTTTTTTCTAAATATTTGTAAAAAAAAACTTAAAAGAAACTTTCGAATATTAATGTAATTTCTTGAAATATATTTAATTATTTCAGGTGCTACAAGATTATGCCTCAATGAATCTGTTCCCAAAGGAGCTTCTGATGTGACCGAACTATATGACATCCGCATTATAAAAAGCTCTGATTTACTGCTTTTGTTTCCATACAGAAAAACAATGAAGTTAATGGCAACATTGAAACTTAAATTGTCTTATTTACATTTATATATATTTTGGTAAACAACAAGTAAAATCTAGTTGGTCAATTATGCCCATTCAAACGTTTTAACATGTAAGAGGTGTATAGAGATGTTGTCCAGGGTTTAAAATATAAGTCAGATCTCCACCTGTGATAAAAATCTTTAGGTCTTAATATCCTTAACAAATTTTTACAGTAGATTTTAACTGAAGACTTGATCTACCGAATAATCTAATGCTTTTAAAAAACAGCAATACCTCTTCATTCCACAATAAAAGAACATTCTCTTAATAAATATCCTCTTATATACTTGAGGGTCTATAAAGTACTTAATTTTGATAAGAATCTAGTACTTAATTTTTGATATGAAGTTGTTTTTGACCAAATCGTTCACAATAATATTGTACCATTTATAAAAAAATAAGATCTGTCCTTACATAATATGTATTATAATAAAATCAAAGCAATTTTCAATAATATTTGAAATTATGTTTATTTCTTAAAGAAAATTATTTTTAAGTGTAGTACTTATAAAACAAGTCCCAAGAAGACAAGTCACGCTAGCACCAATATTTTTAATTTATAATTAAAAAAATTTAAACAACGAAATTAATGTTTGATTAAAATCATGTCAAAATTAATATGTTTTGGTAAACTAATTTTATGATTACCAGTTCACTGATTTTATATTATTTTAGCGATGCTCAATTTTTAAGCTTGTATTAATTTGCTTATAAAAATGCTTATAAATGTTGAGAAACTAAGTTTCTTATGTATTGCTCAGTACATTATTCAATGCATTTATATTGTGATGGACCCGACTGTCATATTATGTTACGATATGCAGAATATAAATAAAGTTTATAAATCTATATTTATTTATTTTTTCCTGCCCTTATCCCGCTTTATGTAGGGTCGGCACAACATGTACTTCTCTTCCACAAAACATGTTGTAAATAGTTTTGACTAATAATTTTTACAACCGGCAACCTCCCTGATATCAACCCTCTTTGGGAATGCATTAATCAGTGATGTCTAAATACTCTTAAAAAGTACATATGACTCGGAAAAAATCACATTGGTACTTGCCCGGGCCAGGATTGAACCCGCGCCCTTTTACATGAGAGACGGGCCTTTTAACCACTAGGCCACCACTGACTATAAATCTATACTGATATTATAAAGCTGAAGAGTTTGTTTGTTTGAAAGCGCTAATCTCCGAAACTACTGGTTCGAATTGAATAATTCTTTTTGTGTTGGATAGTCCAGTTATCGAGGAAGGCTGTGGGCTATATAACATCACGCTACGACCAATAGGAGCAAAGATATAGTGGTAAATGTGTGAAAAACGGGAGAAATTATTTCATCTTTGAAGCCTTCCGTTGCGTGCGCCGTGAAAACGGTTCAAGATACACAAAAAATATGTATTAAAGAATAATAGCTCTTTTAATGATCTAAAAAACAGTCCGCGACAGTATATATCTATCTTTTAAGATTAACTCACAAAAACCGTTTTTATGGTACCTAATTTGGTCGAAATAATTTGTTTAAGTTATATCAACATAATAATATTAACCTTTATTCAAATAAACAAATAAATATGTTGTTGGTTAAGAGTACTTCATTGTGAATAATAAAAACAGGTTTTATCCTGAAAATTCTACGGGAAGTCGACAATTCCGAAAACCCAGCAAGAACGGACACTATGTGGGAAGAACCAAAAATTTGCCGGAAGCCACTATTCCACGCGGACGTAGTCGCGGCAAAAGCTAGTCTATATATAAAAAAGAAAGTCCTGTTAGTTACTCCACTTATAACTCAAGAACGGCTGAATAGATTTAGATGAAAATTGACAGGGAGGTAGTTTAGAGCCAGGAGAATTACATAGGATACTTTTTATCCCGTTCGGCAGCATTCCCGTGTGGATTGACATGAAACGTCAGTCACTATAAAACGTGGTATAACAAAAAATAATCAGACCTGGAATAACAAAACGCAAATGACAGCTATGTAATGACGTATGGATTACAATTTAATATTTGTAAGAAATCTATAGGTAGGTTATTATTAAAAAGAATTGCTGTTCTTTAGTCTCACTAAAACTCGAGAACGGCTGAACGGTTTTATCTTATCTTAGTCTAGAAATGTTCGTGGAGGTTCAGGGAAGGTATAAGAGCTGAAAAAATTTATTCATTTCAGGGGAAAACCCAAAAAACAGCCTTTTCTATCTCCCATACAAATGGTTTTTTTTTGACATTAGACAACTATGAACTAACTAATATGTCAATCATTCTGTCACACTTCAAAACACGGAGATTTAAGGCTTAAAGGTAAACTAAAAAAAATTAAATTTAAAAAACGTAACAGATATTTCTTGATAATAGAGCGATACGAAGTTCGCCGGGTCTTCTAGTATATTTACTAAAATCCTTATTATTTCATAATGTGTATTCTATGTTTTTTAACCCTAACAAAAGATGAGTGTTATAATTTTGACCACTATTGTATGTGTATATACTACTTTTAATATTCCTGAACAAAATCAGTTACACAGTTTTAAATTATAATTGTCAGCTTTTTTTAAAAGACGCGACAGGAATTTTAGCTTTTCTTTATTGGGTGAAGAATTTTTTAAATTTTAATATATTCCGCTTGTTTCTGGTTATGGATTTGGTTTTATATTCTGAGCATGATTTATATAATGTTTTTCTAGATATTCTGCAAAATCAGTCCCTGAGAGAGGTTGCACGCATAACAAAAAATCGCTTAAATGTGCTTCTTTAACAATGCATGACCTTATGCACTTACATACAAAATTTTACTCATATAGTAAGAAGATGGATCAAGATGCTATGATATTGAAATTATGTTCTATTATTCCTGTAAAGAGTCGGGCAACAAAATATAAAGGCAAAAAACAAACTACTATTAAGTATTGTGTTGTGATCAACAATAAGAAGGTGCCAATATGTCAAAAATATTTTTTAAGTATTTTTGGTGTGACTAATTACACAGAGTGTCTTACGTGATGCAAAGGTACTTTTACACTGGTGATGTTGTCATTACGGAACATCGAGGCGGTAGTCGTAAAGAAAGTACATTTGGACCGCTGAAGGAATCTTTACATAAATTCATTCAAAAACTTGTATGTGTGGAGTTACACTAATATCGTAAGGCTAAAACGGCTGAAAGATACTATTTGCCATCTGAATTAAATATTAATAGATTGTTTAAAAATTATAAAGATAGTGAATTCGCTAATAATTTAGTAAAAAAATCATATTTTCGCCACGTTTTTAATAATTTTTATAATATTGGCTTTGATTCACCTAGAACAGATGTTTGCTCAAAGTGTTTAGAATTGAATGAAAAATAAAGGCGGAAAAAGGACCGTCTAAAAAAAACATTTTGATTACAGAAAAAAGAGTGCATTCATTAAGAGCAAAAGCTTTTTTCGAAAAATTAAGAGAATCCTGCGATGGGCTGAGGATAATCCTTTGATTGCCAAAAAAACCTGCCTGTACCAAAACTTCCTGACCAAACATCATATTATAGTAGACAGTTATATTATTATAACTTTACAATGGTAGAAGGATCTTCTCTGGGACCTTTGGCCAAAGAACGTGTTTTTGCTTATTATTGTACTGAGAATGAATATTCTAAAGACTCTAACTCAGTGGCCTCCGCTGTTTATCACCGACTTACAAACATGGACAAAGAGGGTCTAACAGAAATTCGATTAGTAGCTGATGGATGTGGAGGGCAAAATAAAAATTGCATTTTGAACATGCTCCAAATGGTTATTATAAAATCAATCTATTAAAAGTATTGAAATAGTGTTTCCAGTAACCGGGCATTCGTTTACCTGCTGACGGGCAATTTGGTGTCATAGAAAAGAAATTAAGAAAATTAGAAGTTATAATTGATCCCAAAGAAATAAGTGAGTTGATTGGCGAAACATCAACGCTAATTAAATTTGGATCTGACTGTCCTATATATGACTGGAGAAAGGCGGTCAAAAATGTTGTAAAGCCAACGACATCGTGGCCAATTGCTTTTATGGAATGTAAAAGATTTATTTTAAGAAGATCTAAAAAATCATTAAATGTTCTTGTCAGAGGCTAAACTTTCTATAAAATTGATATCGCTAAAAGCATTAATATATGCAAACGTCAAAAAAATACTGCAATGATGTGTCCAGAAATTATGCCTAATATTGTACCTGTCAAAAAAAATAAAATAAAAGATGTTGATAAACTTTGGAGCGAATTGAAAAGAGATTGAATCCCTTAATTTTTATAAAAATGTACTTCTAACTCAAGAACAAGTGACGGCTTTGCCTGAAGTCGAAAATTATTGTGAAGGACCGTTAGAAGGCGATAGTAGCTTACGTATTTAAAGATATTTGGGTTGGTTCAAGCTAATGACCAGATATCTTATAAGTTAGATACTTACTTGTAAGTTATAAAAATTGACATTTTGCAATAACTTTTTGTTTGTACCATTTTGTGTTGTTTCATTATCACCACTTGATTTATACAAATAAAATCCTTAAAACAAATTTATAACATTTTTTTATATCCTTTTTTGACAACCCTGAACGAGTTAATTTTTTGGTAAGTTTCATAAATGGCAATCTCGACATAATTTGGTATGAAATACGGCATTCTCAGATTTTTTGGTTTCAAATCTGGCATTCTGCAAAATTCTTTTCTAAATTTCTTCAAATTGTTATTTTATAGTACACAATGAGAGTATAATATTAAGCGCATCAATACTTACATTACTTAAAAAAACATTACGTAATATTATTTTTGAATCGGACGACACAAACCGAAAATGTTCAATTCTCTGATTTCAGTCTAAGTGTAGATTTCCGATTTTGATTCTATACGACTCATATTATGTTGATTTCAAACAACTGCGTAATTCATAATATTTTGAACATTATTAAACATGTAAGTTTAATTAAATGATTAAATTATACATTTAACCTTTAACACACATTTAAAGAATTTATTTAAGATTTTTTTCACTTTAGCATAACGTGTTTTTCAATATTTGGTGATATAACACATTGTTCAATATGAAATTCCTGTCTTAAATATTTAAGCTAAAGAAATAAAATTCAATAGATGTCTGTTTACTTGATTGTAGAACAAGACACGTTAAAAGATAATATACTCATGTAATCATTTGGATTTTTTTGTTATTAACGGAACAGACATTTCATACTGAAACTAGCTTTCCGCCCGCAGCTTCGCCCGCGTGGAGTTCGGTTATATCGCGTTTCCAAGAGAAAATTTCAAAAGTCTGGGGTAAAAACTATCCTGTCCTTTCTCAAGGTCAACTCTATGTGTGTACCAAATTTCATTAAAATCAGTTCAGTGGTTTAAGCGTGAAAGCGTAACGGACAGACAGAGTTACTTTCGCATTTATAATATTAGTAGGGATACATATGTAAATCCTAATTTAATTATACTGTCAGGGTTCATATTATAGAGTATTCATGTGAACTAGGTAAAAAATAAAAATAATAAATTGAAAACATTTAATTCAACAATAGGAATCACAAATAATATTGCACCCTATACAGTATATAATAAACATAGCATCTTTAAGCAAAGTACATTGACCTTTAACCGAAAATATGAGGCGGTCATCAAACAAGGTTATAACATACACAAATTTGGACAAATAATAACAATTAATTCTTAAATGAAGAAAAATTCTAAAGTTATTTATCGTATGGGATAGTGCAAAACCGCTTAGCTGCCATTAAATAATTCCGCGTACCTACATTGGAAGCTGATTATCAGAAGAAAGTTTGAGCTGAAATATTTTCTATATAAACGACTTTTAAGGTATTTTTTTCACAATTAGTAATTATTTAATTATTTAGTTTACTAATTGTGAAAAAAATACCTTAGCAGTTGTTAATTAAGAAATATTTTATAAATATTTCAGTTTAAACTTTCTTCTGACAATCTGCTTCCAATGTAGATACGCGGATTTGCACTATCCCCGACGATATACATATAATGACAAATATACAGGGTGACTGGTGAATTACTATCGATATTTGAGGACGTGATATTTGACGATCATATATGACAAAATAAAAATTAATATAACATAAATATTAATCAACTTCTAAGTAAAGTTAACCAAAAGTTATGTAATTAATTACGCATCGTGTGAACACCCTACAGATTAGGTATACACTGACACTCACACATACGCGTGCCGTGACGTAGTGTTGTATCAGCACGTCGCCGCACGCGTCCACACTTGAACATTTGGAACGTGTCAACACTTTACTTATTTATACGGAAATTTTGTCAAAAATTAAGTGCGTATTTTTTTTACATAATTCGAATGAGAATCATGTACCGAGTATTCTCCTTAAATATTGATAGTAATTCACCAGTCACCCTGTATATGTAGTTATCTAAATCAATTATTACAATAATATAATATTAAATACTTTATATGGCTCAAATATGAATTTTTATATACTGACCATATATAGACATTAGTGTGGAAGTAAAATACAGTCAGTCATCAACATCATAACATTTCACATGTATATAAACTAATATATTAATATGTCAGTCCGTGTGTTCGTTAGCTGCCGTGTGTCGCGACACAGATCGCGTGTGTCGAGCTCGTGTGTCGCGTGTGTCATCCGCGTGTGTCGCTGACGTCACAGAAATCGGTCAGCGGCACTATCACCACCTGGATCTGAGTATCAAAACCATTTATATTAACATTATAACAAATATATATAGTTTATATGTATTTTTACATCTTTCACTAATTCTCCCCTCCCCAATCAACTAATTAGTTCTATCTCTACTCCTCCTACCTTCTTATAAATAAAATTCTCGTGTATGTTTGTTCCCGTACTCTTCCGAAACGGCTTGACCGATTCTCATCAAATTTCGTGAGCATATTGACTAGGTCTGAGAATCGGCTAACATCCATTTTTCATTCCCCTAAGTGATACGGGTTGTTCACATTCAATTTTTAAATTTTTTATTTTCGGACGAAAATTTTTGTTTTTGTTTTTAATAATGTACCATAATATAATACATACAAACAACCCAATTTTTATACTTTTTTATCACCAACCCCTATTTTTTTATATCAAAACATTGTTTGCCGGGTCAGCTAGTAATAATATAAATCTCTCTCAACTTTTACTAATCCATCTCACTTCCCCCTTGTAGTATACATGCATTGTATAGATACATATCTATACAATAGATTTAATACACTGTCTCACGTACCCCACTGGAAGGGGTGGCATGCGCTCGGCAGTCTAATAACTAGCGTGAAGCAGAACAGGGACGTGAGTCGCTCTAGGCGGGGTAGTAGTGAGACAGTGTCTAGTTATACTTACATGTAGGACCAGGGATCTTACACCCTCTCTATACAAATCTATTCAGTTACCCTCCACTTACCCTCAATTGGTCAGCGGCGGGTCCCAGCAGGTGAGTCTTCTGAGAGACCTCACAGTTGTCGGAACACTTCGGACACCGCTGGCTGTTAAATACAATTAATACAATTTAATTATTAAAAATGACGTGAAAAATGGTAAGTTGAAAAAGTGTTATTAATGTATGTCGGTTTTATTATGAAGAATGCAATCTTTGTTTTATGTATAATACGGTCATGATATATCGGTAAATGTAGAGATATAGTTTAGTTCTAGTTTTAAAGCCATCATCAGTAAAACTATAAGGAAAAATTATTACATATAGGACAAACCATAAAATAAATCTATATTAAAATAATCAAGAAAATACTATTGTCCCTGTTACTTTTTCAAGGGTAAATAAAACTTGGACAAGTTTTGGAATGACTCGAAGGTTATAGAGAAATTATTATCCAAGAAATCCAAAAGTTGATATAAGGATTAGAGTCTTACCCGCCAGTCTTAGGCGTGTTGGGAGGCGCGGCGGGTCGGTACAGGGGACTGTTCAATTCATCGAAGTCCAACGCACCGTCTATGTTAAGAACCCTAAAAACATGTTTAAATATTACAAATACGAAAACAATAGATTTTATTTTATACTAGTTTTTGCCCGCGACTTCGTCCGCGTTAGTTTCGTCATTAGTAATATATGTATAGCTGACCAGGCGAACTCTATTCCATCTTAGAGGCCATAAATAATCAGGTTTTTCCTGTTTCAATCAAACAGAATGATTGACATATTAGTTAGTTGTCAAATCTAATGTCAAAAAAAGCGTTTGTATGGGAAATAGAAAAGGGCTGGTTTTAGGGTTTTCCCGGCAATTATTCCAATTTTTCTCACCTTTTATACCTTCCCTGAACCTCCACGAACATTTCAAGACTAAGATAAGACAAATCCGTTCAGCTGTTCTCGAGTTTTAGCGAGACTAAGGAACAGCAATCCATTTTTATATATATAGAAGATAAACGCTGCTAAGTATTTATTTAAATTCGTATATGTTGAATATATAATTTTATTTACCATAAATAATAAGTATAAATCGTTAATTGGTCTAAGGACAGCACTCACAAGAAATAATGTTGTTATCTGTATTTCAAAATGTATGTGTTTCAGAAAATCACAATTTCATTTAATATATTAAGAATCCTATACAAATATTAATAGTTATCAGTATATTATTATTACGAATTCGATTAAAAATATATTGTTTATAATTATATAAGGGTAGGTATATGTGTGTGTGTGTGCCTGTGCGTTTGTGTGTGTGTGTCTGTGTGTGTGTCACCTGTTCTGTGCTGAGAACCTGTGCACCCTCTCCACCACGTTGGCGACGTGCTCCACTCCGTTCTGGACGCCCCACACCAGAATACCTATCTGACGAGGCACGAACATCATATACTATACTTAAGGCTGAAGCAAATATGTTAAAACTTTTGAAAACTTTTTCCTATGTACTTATTAATTTTTAAATCTTACACATTGGTATGGGATATATTTCTAACAAATCACTTTAATATCCACATTATTTGTAAAATAATTTGGCAAGTTCATGTATACAATAGGGAATGCAATCCCGGATCCCGAATCCCGGGACTATCGGGATTCTTGTTGTTTGAAATAGCGTCCGGGATTTCATTCCCTAGTATAGAGAGCGAAGTGTGTTTCTATCAATCCTACTAAGATTATAATTGCGAAAGTTTGTGAGTGTGTGTGTACGTTTGTAACTTTTTCACGCTCAAACGGTTGAAGCGATTTTGATAAATTTTTGTATACAGATAGCTGACATCCAGGAGTGACACATACATCCCGGAAATCCGCGGGTAACACCGCGGGGCGCAGCTAGTATAGTATAATATAGTAGATCTACCTTCACCCTAACGTCGGGGTCGTGCGAGGCTCGCTCGGGGACGTTCTGACACGTGATGGAGATACGAACTGTACGGAGCACTACCTCGGGTACCTGGGGATATACAGGGTGTTCACAATATGAATGAAGCTATCTGAAGAATTATACAGCATGTTCACAATACGAATGAAGTTAGATTAAATCAAATACGATTCTCTCCTTTCTTTTAGTTATTGGCATTTCCAAATATGATTCAAGAGTTCATTGATATAAAATGTAGTATTGGAATCGAGAGAAATAAATAATTATTAATGACACGTTAACATCAAACGAGCTCAGGTCTCATTTAAAGTTAAACAATTACCGTATCCTACGGACACTTTATTTTTTTTTACGACAAAACTAATGAACATATGAAACACAGAAAAAATTGTAGCTTACAAGTATGTATGGTTATATCAAATTATACATAAATACAATTTCTGTATGGCAACATCCCTACTAATATTATAAACGCGAAAGTAATTTTGTCTGTATGTTACGCTTTCACGCCTAAACCACTAAACTGTTTTCAATGAAATTTGGTACAGACATAGAGTTGACATTGAGAAAGAACATAGGATAGTTTTTATCGCAGACTTTTGAAAGGTTCTCTTGGTAACGCGATATAACCGAACTCCACGCGGGCGAAGCTGCGGGCGGAAAGCTAGTGTGGTATAAAGACACATGATTTGCATTCAACACTCCTCTAACAGAGCGTCTGAATACTTCCTTGTCTATAGTATAAATATTATTACAATTTACAATATTAGTGACAACCAACGAATTTATCGCCTATCGAATAGTGATATATTTACTTAAATATATAAATTATTATTATTTCATGAATAATTTTCGTCTTGCTTGTAAGGTAAGTTAAAACAGAAGATATATTTAGAGATTAGTAGCTAGTATACAATAATCTACTAACATCATAGTTGCCAGCCCACATAATGAGCATGCTTTTCTTGAACCACACTCCCTTAGGGTAGAGGTCCACGGTCCATTCTGTCAGTTTGTCTGTCACATCAGCAATGGTCGGTCTGGTTGAGAAGATGAAGGTCCTTGTGTGATAGCAGGGAAGCGAGTGGAAATTATCCACCGCTAGTATGGAGCCCCAGATGTCCTCGGTGTATAGACGAGGTGTGAATAACATACGACCAGCTTCGGTTTGTTGGATCTCTGATATACGTTCGTATTGACCTGATGGAAGATAAATATATATGTATATATATATTAAAAGGTGAGAGAGACTCTAACGACATACAAGCAGTTGTCAGAAGACATCAGGACTCTTTATTGTTAGTACGCGCGTTATACGCTCATACCGACCTGATGGGAAGAAACATTTAATTTCAACCAAACCTTTAAATTAACGAACGCACCCGTAGTGATGTTAAAGCGATTAGCGATGACATTTGTTTTGTTCACTTTTACGCGGGAAAATATTTTGTCAACACGACTTGGATTTTTGTAAATTGAATTTAACTAATGTAAGGTGTTTTAGTTTAAGATAATAATTAATGTGTTCTAGTTAAGGTTTTATTGTTATTTAAAAATACTGGCTTTATAAGAAAACTATATTTTTATAATGATTTTGTTAGAATCCTAAATGTATATAGAAACAAATTGAAATATAATCACTAGGGTTTCAGTCAATTTGAATATTAATTCTTAACTATGATATTGGGATAGTCATCTCAATTTTTAATTAACAAATCATGAATAAAATCTTTCAGTTCTTTTCATATGATAACTTTGATTCAGTAAAACATTTGGCTTTAATTTATACCTGACAAATTTATTAATTTTACATACATATAAATAAATAAATAAATAATTATTACAATATAAAGATTTCTCACCTGATTGGTAGCTCATAGCAATCGCCATTCTCTCCATGAAAAACTCCTTGTGTTCTTGAGTCAGCGGACACAGTAATAACTTGGCCAATTGATTCGGACACATCATTGGAAACCTGAAAAATATCATCATTTACATAATAATATTGATTAACTGTAATATTATTGATAAAATAATAAATATTTCCTTAACAATTTTGATATATATTGCATAAAAATAAAAAAGGTTGTAAATTAATAGTTTTTATATAATTAACATAAGAGAAAGAAGAATCTAGCTTTAGAACAAAATCACAATGTAAATTAATTTTTGATTATATTATATATACTTATATTAATATATGATCATCTTCTTCTACCTGGCAATTTCCCAGCTTATACATATGTTGTGAATAGTTTTGGCTAATTGTTTTTACAACCGGCCGCCTGCTTGACATCAACCCTCTTTGGGAATGCATTAATCAGTGATGTCTAAATACTCTTAGAAAGTACATATGACTCGGAAAAACATTGGTACTTGCCAGGACCGAACCTGCGCCCTCAAGCATAAGAGGCGGGCCTTTTAACCACTAGACCACCACTGACTAACTTATATTAATATAAAATGATCATATATGTATGTATTGTCGTTATATAATATCTCACCTGACATGTGAGAAAACCGTTATAATGAGTGAATCAAAGTGTAACTTGACATCTTGTTCCGATACATCTGTAGCCTGCAGGCGCTCCTTCTGTTTGTTCAACCAACGGACCACCAACCTGAAAATATATTACATGTCCATGTTTACATTATGTATAAAGCAAAATTTATTTCAATATATAATGTTTTTCAACATGGTAATATTTGAAATTTTTGCAGAGGTTAAATCTGACAAATTAAATTACTTACAGATAGATTAACATACAAAAAATTGAAACATACTTTTGAACAAAGCTTTTTTCAATAAATATTAAGTGATGTATATAGTAAATTAAATTTATTTGATACCAAATACAATATAGAGTTTATAAGCAAAACCTACTCTACCGTTTGCAGTTGTTATACCATTTCAGTTAGAGTAACTATTTTCAAACAGATTGTTAATATTGCTTAAGATAATTGAGTACATACATATTTATAATGTAAATTATAAATATATGTACAAATATTTTAGGTTAATTAGAGGAATATGAATATCGATAATAACTTGCTATCTTAACTATGACTATACAATTCGTTAGGGATTGCACTGCACTGCACTTGCACTAGCAAATCCACGTAACTACCATTGGACAGTTCCGCATATCTACATTAGAAGAAGTTTATCAGAGAGAAGTTTAAGCTGAAATAATTGCTATATCAACGACTTTTAAAGTAATTTTTTCACAATTAGTGATTATTTAGTGTTTATTTTATAACTACACTAGAAGACCCGGCGAACTTCGTATCGCTCTATAATCAAGAAATATCTGTTACATTTTTTATTTATATTTTTGGAGTTTACCTTTAAGCTATAAATGTCCGTATTTTGAAGTGCGACAGAATGATTGACATGTTAGCTAGTTGACAAAAAAAAAGTTTGTATGGGGAATAGAACAGGGCTGTTTGTAGGGTATTCCCGGAAATGAATCAAATTTTTTTCGGCTTTTAAACCTTCCCTGAACCTCCACGAACATTTCAAGACTAAGATAAGATAAATCCGTTCCGCCGTTCTTGAGTTTTAGTGAGATTAACGAATAGCAATTCATTTTTATTCATTTCTTACAAATATCAAATTGTCATCCATACGTCAATTACATAGCTGCACTTGCGTTTTGTTATTCCAAGTCTGATTCTTTTTCGTTATTCCACGTTTTATAGTGACTGACGTTTCATGTCAAGTCCCACTGGAATGCTGTCGAACGGGATAAAAAGTCCTATTGCATTTTCCTGGCTCTAAACTATCTCCCTGCCAATTTTCAGCTAAATCGGTTCAGCCGTTCTTGAGTTATAAGTGGAGTAACTAACACGTCTTTCTTTTATATATATAGATTGTAAAAAAATTACCCTAAAAGTCGTTAATTTAGAAAATATTTTAGCTGAAACTTTCCTCTGATAATCTGCTTCCAATGGTAGCTAGGCGGATTGGCACTGTCCCCGATGATATATATATATATCCTGATATATGTTAATCTAGTACCCACTGGTAGAGGGCCATCTCGTTATGCAGTACCAAGTCGCTTTGGTCCATCAACAGCAGCAGAGAGTCATCTTCAAGCTCACCAAGCTCACGCTCCACCACCCACTCGACGTTCCATTTCACGAAACGAACACACGCCTGGAAAATATATACATATACAGGGTGACTGGTGAATTACTATCGATATTTGAGGACGTGATATTTGACGATCATATATGACTAAATAAAAATTAATATAACATAAATATTAAAAAACTTCTAAGTAAAGTTAACCAAAAGTTAGGTAATTAATTACGCATCGTGTGGACACCCTACAGATTAGGTATACACACGCGTGCGGCGGCGTAGTGTTGTATCAGCACGCCGCCGCACGCGTCCACACTTGGAACACTTGGAACGTGTCCACACTTTATTTATTTATACGGAAATTTGGTCAAAAATTAAGTACCTATTTTTTTTACATAATTCGAATGAGAATCATGTACCGAGTATTCTCCTTAAATATTGATAGTAATTCACCAGTCACCCTGTATATGGCATTTATAATTTAGATACAAGATGCTATTCTATTGGAAGATAATGTAACAACGATAGGTTTATAAATGAATTGAGATTAACTCAATCTAAATATTATTTTATTTATATAACAATAATATGACAAATTACGATTCTAAATATAATTCAGACTCCACAAAGTCAAGACCCTAAAAGTTACATTCTCCAACACCTGGACAATTGTGACAGAAGTATTCAACATATGACCGGACTTGCCCTTGTATAGACAAAGAAACAATGAAGCGGTGAGGTTCTGCCATATTTAGGCTAAGACACCAAGTTTCCTTGGCACTACCTTATCTTTTGACTGAAAGAACCGCAATAATTGAAGCTTAGCCACTTCGACGGTCAGTAACTGAAGGCGTTGTTGGCTAAACAATGAGTAAAAAGATATACTTGGATTTTAGGAGCTCCAAGTGAAAAGATTTATATCACCCCATTTGGTAATTGCTTGAAGGACTAATTAGCTATCTCTATCATAGCCTCTCTTCCCAACACTATTTTATTCTGGTTAGCCCAAAAATATGTCGATAACAATCCCCAAGTATGATCAAAATACGTTGATCCCTGCATTGACTGACATTGCTCAAACCAACTGCTATTAATAACAACACATCTGTGATCAACTAAGGATCTCCTTAGCTGAGACTGGATTTCTTTTATTCAGTGGGTCCAAGCAATTGACCGTATATGGCTTCCTTTATCAGTTAGGAAAGGTTAAGAGACAAGGAAAAATTATTATGCGCTCTCTATTTACTTAGTCACTAAACTTATAAGAAAACAGCCAATCTAACTGGCAATGAATTCCTTGAGAAGATTAGTCGTGATGAAAGGTTCTGAACCCACATTAGCAACCTCATTGCTAAGTTTAAAGTTTTAAAGATCCTTTCCAATAAGCCAACGTTTCTACGTGGGCATTATCTCATTTGATGATTTTGTGGATTTTTAAGTTTTATCATATGTTTATAAAGACACCATTCTTGAAATAGTAATAAAGCTATTAAGTAGCACTATGTTCAATAACCCAGAATGGTACTCTATAAGAACGGGCGATGGTTCATAGTAAATCCAACTAATTTCGGTTACAAATTGTCGATCCGTACTTCATAAAAGCTAGGACTAGGCTTCATCTAGACCTGATCTTAATCAACTGCATTATGTTTAGTAACAGGATCAGACTTGCTAACATTAAAATTCCCTAACTCCATATAAAGACCATACAATTGGCAGTGAAGAGTGTTTCCATAGAAAGAGTGGGTGCTACTATTGATAAGTGGCCTACGTTTAAGGACCAAATTTCAGCCAATAAAGACCATGCTGAATAAGCTTTATAACAATTTACTAAACTATAAATGTATACATATAATAAAACATTATATTTCTAGGTAACAATTAAATGTGTACTTTACCTTAGCAACCTCATTGTGTCCGCATGCCATAGTGTATTGCATCCACGATATAAGCCGGCCGCGTCGTGCGGCTTGAGCTATGTGCTGGGACATGTACTCTAAGCAAAGATTCACGAGGTCCTATATAATAATATAGAATTAGAAAAAAATCCTAATTAGAGAATTACATAATGAAAAAAAGCCTAAAATTACTGTCAAAAAATTTAATGAAAGAATGTTAAAAACAGTGCTGGGATCAGAGAGATGTTATTATCATAACTAATATTCCATTGAACGTAAGAACAGAGTAATCATGGTCAATTTGATTTGTTTACAAGATTGTCAATTCCTATTGAAATGGACTACAAATACTTTACTTACTTACTTAACAACCATTTCACTGCATTGTTTTTTTTAATTATTATTATATAGTATTGCTATAATAAAAATTCTTACCTTAACATTATATTTATCAGCTAGCGACAGTACTGGCAACACAGATGTGTATGATATCTTAATTTGTCCCGTATAGAAGTACTTCAAGAAGTGTGGAAAGACAGCCACCGCTGATGGTGTCTCTTGAAGAACTATACGACTCTCACGCCACTCACTCCATTCACGATTCATTAACATTATCTGTAATTAAGCATTTAATGTATATAACATGTAATTACTGGCAACCCTAAATTCCCACCATTTTAATAAAACTAAAAAAAATTTCAAACTAATTTGACACATGATCAATATATTACAAATGTAAATGTAAATGTAAATGTATTGTAAGGCATTATGGCTATCAACAAGATATCACACAATTAATTATAACAAAAATTACTACAGGGTTTATTTCATTGGTTATAATGTTTGTATTATTAAGTATATTTATAAAATAAAAAAAACTTTTTTCCTAAAACAAAACATACATACTCTTACTATTATAAAATGAATCCAATCAATACAATAGTAATAAAAAAATCATAAAATCCATTTACACATAGAAGAAAATATGTCAATAAATTAAATTTAAATAGCAAAATTCAAAAAACTCATAGAATAAATCTAAGACCTCACTTTAATAATTACAAACATTACAATCACAATGGACATTATTATATTTAAATTATAATTGGACTAAGTGGTAAAACTATCAAAAAGATAAATTTTTTCCAACTATTGGTGTGGCAAGTGATTCATACCATCAATAACAACCAGAAAAGACAATTTATATACCTTTATCAACAAAAACAACGGGATTTCTATAGCATAATCTTGCTTTGAAGACACATCATTCATGAGGGATAACTCATTAAGCAAGATGTACAAAAAACCAATTTTATTATGCTCTAGAAAATAGGGTCTTAATTTTAAGGTCAGATTAAGTTTAAATAATTATTAAATAAAATTGTTTAAGCCCTTCACATTCAAATATACATATTCAAGAGGAAAGGTATACTGCTTGACAATTAAGTTGTCATAGTCATATAAAAACATCAAACCTGGAACACTTCACTACTAGCACACAGAATGAGCCTATGAGCTGGGTAGCTGACACCAGCCACCTCCAGGATAAGGTCACTCATCAACTGTTCAGCATACAGTGTGGCAATCTTGAGCAAAACACTTTTTGAGTTGTCCACCTAAAATCATATTCAATATGGATGATAATGTGACATTTATTTTACTTTAATACTTAAATATTAAATATATATGTAGTAATAAAGTGAACTTAATTCGTATTCAATGATTTTTCAGTGTCATAGTTGTTTAATATAAATTTTAGAAATAGAGTATTTCATAAGCAAAATGTTTATTTACTTCAAGTTGATCATTGTCAGTATCTTCATCTTTGCTCTGAACCAAGGATGTAGAAGCAGATTCCACTGTTAAATAATCCATTGTACTCATATTACTCTGTTAAGCAAGCATAATATTAAGAAACGAAGGAATTTAGTATAAAATTATGCAACTTGTATTATCACAATTTCATATAAAAAGTCAAGCTGTATGTGACATTTTTACGACTAATACTAGTATCCAATTCGTTTATTGGAAGAAAAACGTTCATAACTTAGACTTAATTTTTTATTTTGCAATAACAAATTACGATAGTCAACACATAAATAGGTACTATATATGTATATTGTATAGCTACACTATCAGTTGATATGTCAAACTTGACAATAGATATAGATAAAGAAATAAAAATCTAATATCACGTAACAGTTAACTTAACCGTTTAACGATACTTTATTCTTTTATGTTTGAGACAATTTTCACACAGTTACTTTTACAATAAACGATAATAAAAAATAAGAAAATCGAACTTATATAACAAACTCTAAGTATTTTAAATTTCGTTGCAATAGTCTGTCAGTTTGTTTACTATTGTCACAATAAATTCAATTGTGCCGAACTTTAATATTCCTGAAATCTTATTGTTAAAAATTATATAATAAAGATTTGATTAGCGTCATAATACCAGTAGTTTAGTTATTAGATAAGTGAATACTATAATAATGGGTCTTAAAAAGAAGAAAAACGTTATAATCCTAACATCGTGTATAGCATCTTGTTTTATATTATATCAATTGTATTTCTTTCTCACCATATCATCTGCTGATATTGGTCACAAAGTCGTACCAGTTCTAGATTACGATCGTGTTAAAAACTACATTCAAACTCGTACGAAACGAGATAAATACATAAACATCCACGGCATTATACGAGGTGTGTATTTCAAAAACGTGAAAGAATACCGTCCGGATTCCAACAATGAGTTCTCCTGTCTCACATCGCACGAGAAAATACCTATCGAACAATTAAACGATGACTTTTGTGATTGTGAGGATGGATCAGATGAGCCGAGTACAACGGCTTGCCCTAACGGCATATTTTACTGTGATACCCAGTTCAGCAAGGGAAGTGATGTGTTCAGCGTTCCGTCGAACAAAGTTAACGATGGCATCTGTGACTGCTGCGATGGCTCCGATGAGTTTGAACATCCCGATGGTACCAAGCTACTCAGTCAAAACATCCACAATCGGAGATTCTATGTGGATAAATGTATTTCCAGATGTTTCAGAACTTAGTTATTGTTAGATGTGAATTCTTAATGGTTGTATAATTTACTCTATGAGAACCAAAAACAAATACATTAAGTTTTTACTTTATGTCTAGGTACTTAAATATTAAATGTAAATATACTATGTGATTTAATTTGAAATATTTGTAATAGGAAAAACATTGCCAGTCTTGTTTACATGTTAGAAAAACTTTATATTTAATTAATTCTTATACTGGTTTTTTAGGTGAATGATATTTATGGTGTTTTTTTTTTAAATCAGCTGTTTTTTCAATACTCGGTACAATTTATTAATTGAATATTACTTCATGAAGGTTCTTTATCTTCTCCAAATCAGTATCTTGCTCAATTCATACAGCCAAGATCTTTAATTTTATATCTATAAGAGAATAAGCTGCGAGGAATAAGTATTTAATTATGTAAGAATTGAAGTTATTAAATAAGTAGGTACTTAGACAACCATGGATTTTCTCCAATAAGAAAAATATTATAATTTCTGTTTTGTAAAATTAATTTCATTAATATAGATAATGAAATGATGTGAAAGGTTCCATTAATTTATTATTTTTTATCTATACTCAACAAAATGTTGCACTATTTATTCAAAACACTGCCCATCTGTACGATTCTTTTATAAGATACTTCTTGCTTAAGTTAATTTTCTGTAAATTTCATGATATTTCAATTAAATTGAAACATACAACCAAGTATTTAGGTGTAAATTGGAAAAAAGATTTGTAAGTTTTTCTGTTTTTATGAATCCACTTCTTTAAAAACATGTGAAGACTGAATATTTATTATTTAACTTGTAAATAAAAATGTGTTGCAAATTTTACGATCTTTTATTATTCTAATTAAACAATGATACAAAATTTATATTAATAAAACTTTTTTTTTTGTAATATCAAATAACAGAATTTTCCTAAACACAAAGAAAGTATGTGCAATTTAAGATTTCTAAGAGTATTTAGACATCACTGATTAATGCATTCCCAAAGAGGGTTGATGTCAAGCAGGCGGCCGGTCGTAAAAACAATTAACCAAAATTATTCACAACATGTAAGGCAGACCCTGGCTAAATCTTTTAAATGGCTAGGAAGTAGAAGACATGAAAGTATGTGAAATTAATGTATATAAAATTATATTTCATTTTTTTTGTCTCAGTCTGTTTGTGCTGCCTAATTTCTGAAACCACTGACCTATTTTGAAAACAATTACACTGACAGATGTTTGATGAGATAAGAATGTAGTTGGGCTACTTGTGTTATAGAAATTTTATTAATTTTTAATGGTATCAATAATTTAAAATAACGGTCGCAACGTTAATGAACTAAAATATACTTCATTAATTATTTTTTTACTATAATAATAATAATTAATCGAAAATATATTTTCAAAAATATAAGAGATTCTTCGAATATATATTCGACCGAATAAGAATATTCTTTCTTTCTATACCGAGTCTATAATTCGGCGAAATTGTTCAATTAATTTGGGCTTCGACAAGACTTTACAACTGGACCGAATAGTTAGTTTTATAAGTACCTACCAACGACTTCTCGAACGATATATCACTTACCACCAGCACAATACCTTGATACCACCAGCACAATAAATCTTCATAGTTGAAAAGGACGTCAGTGGCAAATTTGTAATTAGCTAATGAGAGTAATACAAGTTATTGAATATATCAAAGGTGGTAGAGCCTAGCTGTAGCCAAGTTACTGCAGCTCGAATATGGGCTGGCTCGACCGGAGAAGTACCACCCTCTCATAGAAGATCGGCGTGAAGTAGCCTTTAGTTTAGTAAAGTAGTAAAGTAGCCTTTCCTGCCCATGTAGTAGGCCGTCTCCTCGTTTGCCACCTTTGACACATAAAATAAAAATAAATAAAATTATACTACTATTTATATATTCACCCGAATATGAACATAGAATATTCAACCGTATATTGGACCCATCTCCAAACTAGGTATATCATGATCTTATAGGATAGATGAGGTAGTAAATTAGATTGTCCACATAAGTTATGAGTATGTTTTTCCATGTATACTTCAAAAACAATATTATCATGTTGACCTGGCTGTCCAAGAATAGAGCTTATGGCCGCATCCAGTATCAAAAGCAAAAATCTAAGTAAATTTACTGCAAACATATCGTAATTTAAAGCTTCTAAAGGCCGCCGCCCTACTTCAGTCTGAATGAGGACAACCTACTTCTACTTACTACTACAGCTCTTGAAGTAGTGTTCAATGTATCACTATTAATTGTCTTATATAGAGTATGAATATACCTACTATAAACAACCAGTTTAAGCAAAATCTATTGAAATTACATATATTTTTACTGGAAATATACATAGTGTCCCATAGTTTCCTACCATGTCGAAAACTACCTATGTCTTCGCGTCAGAACTCCCATAGTCCATTGCAGTGTAAACAAGCAGAAAACGTAGCAGCCTCAATTCGTCTTTAGTCTAGAATAATGTTTATCTTAATTGCTATTTTTTGAGATGGTGCTTAAAATTAAAATTATTCTATCGCAAACAGTTTTTATCAGTTTAAATGGTATATTTCTCGGATATTTTTTTTTAAACAACATATATCTGTTTTTGTTTAACTATTACAGAGGAGAACACCTCAGATAAAAGAAAAAATATTTCCTCTCTTTTCAGCTAAGCAAGGTTTAAGATTCCTCATGTTATTTCGAAACGTTCCTCGAAGAACGCAAAAAAGGAAGGAGGTTCGGACAAATAAAGCTGTAACGGTTGATACCTAAATTAGATATACATAATGAAATATGTATAAACAATATAAGAAAAATCATATATACATAGTAATTCTAAAACATACAAATGAAATTATTATCATAATTTATATCACATGAATAATTTTATTTTTTAATATAATACACACTTGTATATTTTTAAATATAAATCAACATATCACCATGAACGTTAATTTATTTGAAAATAAGTATTTCACATAAATATTAAGAATATATGTAAATGTTTATTGTAATAGAAAACTGCAATTCGCACATTTTTTCGTATTGTTTTTTTAGGTCAGATTATCCGTTTGTTTCATCCAGAATATTCCTGTCATTCAGACTCATTCACTTCACATTTGCAACTTCAGAGTTCACCCCGCATTCGAATTCTGACAGCACCCGGTGCGGTCGTTCGAGTTCTCGTTTTTTCGAGAAAATTGCAGTTGTGAATAGGCGACTCCTATTATTCGTTTCTATTACATACGAGAGTATTTAAAAATCTAAGATGACTGTGGACGAGGGAGTTGATATCACTAAAGCCCAAGATGGTGGTGTACTGAAAAGAATTATTAAAGAAGGCAAAGGCACTGAAACTCCGAACGTGGGATGCCAGGTTATCGTGCATTATACTGGAACACTTCTAGATGGAAGCAAGTTTGATTCCAGCAAGGACAGAAATGAACCCTTTGAATTTCAACTCGGCAAAGGTATTTCACCATTTTAATTGAAATTCTGCATAATTTGACGGGAGAATTAATTTCGGCTCTAATCGATAATTTGGAATTTTTTTCTCAATAAAATTTAATTCTCAAAAAATAAAATCGCGATGGACCCGCACGGTGAACCCACTTAATGCTGAAAGGTTTCGTCTCAGTACATATATTTATTAATAAGAAATTTACACAATGAAGACAATACATATTTCTAATGAGAAAAAATTTTGGTCCTAGACATTATCATATGCAATTTGAATTTACATATTCTGGACTTAGTGTGTGAGAAGTATAGTTTAAAAATCAGAATATTATTAGGACATTTTGAGCAGTCCTTTAATTTATCACAATATTATTGGGTTGTCATTTTACCAAATATCATTCAGTACTATAATTATAAGCTTTAATAAGTTTTTCATACAAAAAACTATAGAAATAATATGAAAAATAAAATTTCATCTTATCTTGAGATCATAGTTGCTGTAATGCATTGCGATGTTAGTAGTCTAGATCAGGGGTGTCCAAATTTGATGGGACCTAGGCCCAATAGAAATGACCAAATACATTGGTGGGCCACAAAATATTTATAAAAATACTGGTAATAATAATATCGTTATGATTAAAAGTATTTGTTCATTCATGTATTTAAATGAAGAAGATAATGGAAATTCTACAGGCCACAATAATCGAAACACATGCGGCCCGCGAGCCATGGTTTTGCCAGCCCTGGTCTAGATGAATGCCCACAGTTTCACGGGCAACTCAATAAGGGGCCTCGGATCTTATTAATAATATGCATTATACTTGACGAAAAACTAACAAATATCAATACTAAGATCTAATATAAAATTATTTTTAACAGATTTAAAATGTTGAATTAATACTATTAAAAAATAAACCATGCATAAAAGTAACCAAAATGGTAATTTTAGTACAAGTTGATCAGAAACACAAGTAAAATCCAAAAAAAGCATTCCCAATACTCTTTATCAATATTTGAGGCTTTATAAACCGTTATATATTACTTATACTTGCTAAGTTGTTATACAATATGATGTCAAGTATAATGTAGGTAGATCACTTTATTTATAAGGCTCAGTCATTTAGTTTTGCTTACTCAACATATAGTCGTGGTGGCCTAGTGGTTAAAGGCCTGCGTCTCATCCAAACACCACTGACATACAGTGAAGGAAAACATGGTGAGGAAACCTGGACTTATAATTTCACAATTATAAGTTTGAAATCACCAACCCGTCTTGAGCAAGCATGGTGATTAATGCTCAAACCTTCTCCATGTGAGAAGAGGCTATGCTCAGCAGTGAGCTCTGATAGGCTGTTGACGATGACTCAAAATACTACAAATAATATGTGATTTTATTAGATTTAATATACACAAATCATTTAATCTCAATTTATTTGAAATTATGAAATTTATATCACAATTATTTAACAACTATACAGATATATAATATTCATAAATCCTTTGTATGTAGATATAGTCCTGTGAAATGTACAATTGGTTTTGACCTTAATATACAGTTGTATTTTAATGAATAAAGTATTAATATTCATATATTAATATAAAATTACTGATAAATCTGTGTGTGTGTGATTGAATGTTTGTGTGTGCACCTATGAGTGTGTGCTTTCATACACTTCTTTAAAATACTACACAACCAATATATATAATATCCTTAAAGATTAACTCATAGCGATGTTACAAATGTTATATTCGAATTTATTTTGAACTTAAGTAATTGACACAAAAACTTGTAAATTTACTTTAAATTTAATGTTAATATTTAGTAATTTTTTTGTTGCCAAAGGGGAAACTTATTTTTATTGAATTAGTACATATATATATGTGGTTAATGTTTATAAAACCACTTCCCGACCACAATCATATGAATACTTATCGTCTTGTTTCCTGATAACAGATATACATATGTTATATAATATGAGCCGTGTGTTTTGATTCAATACTAGCTTTGGTTTTGTGGATCCATTTATGTTGCTGTTTATTTTAGTCCATCAACTTGAATAAAAAAAACTACCTCTATACTAAAGAGTTTTTATATTATTATTTTTCAGTACATAACTTTGGTCTTAATGAATAGAATAAAACATTGAGTTAAAACTTTGTGGTTATTACAGAATAAGTCCAATTCATAAAAAAATATATATTATTTATAAAATTCAAACAAAATTATTATCCTACGTTTTATTTAAATCAAATACATATATAGAAACGTGGGAAATGTTAAATAAGAGACGAGATTACAAAAAGATTTAAATGAAACCAATACTTTCGGAGTACTATGTTCCTTGATTATTTTTATAACTACATACCTACTCCCAACGTTTCGGTTACTTTGCTGCAACCGTGATCATTAAGACGAGATGACTCATATAAATGAATAATCGTGAAAGTCTTAGATCTCATTACAACAAAATTTTTTGTTATCATAGATATGGTGATAAAAGGATGGGAAGAAGGCGTTGCTACTATGAAAATGGGTGAGGTCGCGATGTTGATCTGTCAGCCGGATTATGCTTATGGCGAGCAGGGCAGCCCACCCAAGATACCACCTAACGCAACACTACAGTTTGAAGTAAGTTACATGTTACACATCACAACCTGTGTTGCAGAGTGTACATATAATATGTTGAATTAATTCTTACAAGTTATGTAGGATATAAATTGAAAATCAAATATGGGTTTGGCTCTTTGTAAATATTTCGAAAAGTATTTAGTTCATTTTGCTTATAAAGGATTGAACTTGGTAACTTAGACTATCATATTTTTTTATTGATTAAATTACAATTTCAGCAATAAACAAGCCTTATTATAAAGCTATAGTGGTAATATTCAAAAATTTACACTCAGTGTAATAGCATCTTATTTAATAGAAACTTATTGTAATAATATATGTAATAATATTTAATTAATAATTAACAGATTGAGGTCCTCGATTGGAAGCTGGAAGACTTGAGTCCCAACAAGAATAAGGGTATCTTGAGATATGTGGTGGAACAAGGAACGGGGAAAGACTGCCCTAATGATGGCTCAGCTGTTACTGGTAAGAGAATCATATATATTACTAGCTCTACGCCCGCAGCTTCGCCCGCGTGGAGTTCGGTTATATCGCGTTTCCAAGAAAACCTTTTAAAAGTCTGGGATAAAAACTATCCTATGTTCTTTCTCGAGGTCAACTCTGTCTGTACCAAATTTCATTAAAATCAGTTCAGTGGTTTAGGCGTCAAAGCGTAACAGACAGACAGACAGAGTTACTTTCGCATTTATAATATTAGTAGGGATTAATGTGTTTAATATTAGGTCATAAGTCATAACATATAAAGGTCCCGTTTTGTAAGGAATATTTTTATGATAAATAATATGAAATGTAATAAGGACCTAATATGGTTTTAATGAACTTAAATAGATATATCATAAATGCAATGAAATTTCCATATAAAATATAAATATTAATATAACTTTTGATTATACTTTTTAATATTAGCTAAACATTTTGGTTTTCATACATTTTTACTTTGCCGGATCAATTGAGAATTTGAGAGTATTATTTTGATGAAGAGAATTATTTATAATTTGTAATATGAATGTGTTTATAAAGAGATATGTAATGGAAGAAATATTTAATAATACAATATATTACAGTGGAATTGGAAGGAAAGCTGACAGATGGGACTGTGTTTGACAACCGAACAGTCTCCTTTGTACTAGGAGAGGGCGCTGAGAGTAACATCTGCCACGGACTAGAACGGGCTATAGAGAAATTCAATCTCAACGAAAAGTCCAGGTTGACTATACAACCGAAGTATGCCTTCACATCAGAAGGGAATTCAGAAATGGGAGTTCCCCCGAACTCTGTAGTGGAGTATACTGTGAAACTGGTCAGCTTTGAAAAGGCCAAGGAACCGTGGGCAATGAGTGCTGATGAGAGAGTACAACAAGCGAAGATATGTAAGGAGAAAGGAACAAACTATTTCAAAGATAATAAATACCAGCTGGCCATCAAGAAGTATAAGAAAGTTGTTGCTCTATTAGAAGGTGGGTTACAGAAAAAGTTTGGATTACTTTGTAAAGATATAATCAAAGGATTCTAAAGATTCATATAACAGGCATAATGAAAGGTTTCTAAAGATTCATATAGAGCTATATCCTAGTTATAATAATTAAAAGTGACTTAATAGTGATTGTCTTATTTAACATTTTGTTTTCTACTAAAACATTCTTCATTCAAAATGTTTTCCTAACATTTCTTTTTGAATTCATAATTTTCATTATATAATTTAAATAGCGTATTTTTTTTGTATACTATTGTATAGAATTGTAAAAATAATTAAAATGTTTCAGACATGGTCGACGACATCACCCAGATGTCCGAATATCGTAACGCTGGTAAAAGATTATTACTGGCTGTTCATCTTAATTTGGCGCTAGTGTATCTGAAGGTATCTGCCTTCTACCCCGCCAACGACCACGCTAACAAGGCCCTCAAATTCGACCCCAAGAACGTCAAAGGTCTGTTCAGAAGGGGTCAAGCTCTACTGGCCATTGAAGAAGCGGAGAAAGCGCTCAAAGACTTTGAAAAGGTCGTAGAAGCTGAGCCTGAAAATAAGGTATTAAGAAAATTACAAAAATATATAGTTATGGAACACATAATATATCTGATATTTATATTTATACTAGCTGCGCCCCGCGGATTTCCGGGATGTAAAGTAGCCTATGTGTTATTCCTGGACGTCAGCTTCCTGTATACAAAATTTTATCAAAATCGGTTCAGCCGTTTGAGCGTGAAGAAGTAACAAACATACCCACACACTCACAAACTTTCGCAATTATAATATTAGTAGGGATTAAGCTCAGAATATAGAGGAAGACATGTCATTCGAACTGGAAGTGTAGTTATTGGAATAGTAATTGACGTTTTAAAAGACATTAAAAACATAAAAATACTTTTACGTATGGAATTTAAATAATTTTAAGAATGTTAGTTGTTCAGAATGTCTTAAAAATTAGAGTGTAGATCTAATCTAACTTCTAAGGATTTTCGAGGGGAGAGATTCCTACGAAAATCAACATATATAACAGTAAATATCAATTGTATAAAATCTTTATATAAATTTCCAGGCTGCTGCAAACCAAATTAAAGTGTGCAAGTCGATGATCGCGAAACAGAAGCAGAAGGAGAAGCAGCTGTACGCGAACATGTTCGACAAGTTCGCCAAACATGACTCGGAGGTAACAGGTTCGATATACGGCTGTTAATATGTGTTATTGGTGTACGGATAACGGATGTCACCGTATACGGTATACAAGATAACCGTATTTGTTAACATTTAGTGAATTTTGTTACGGGTTTCAAATTAACTATTTATCAATATATGTACAGTTGACATTTTTTTATAACATAGTCTGTTAAGTAGAGGTAAAAAATATAAAATTGTAAATAGCTGTGCCCGCCATACTTGCGATAAATTGCTGGCTGTCTTACTAATAACGTATATTCACTGTGCCATCTATCGAAAATATTCAGAATAATATTGAACCAAAAAATTTGAGTGTTTTTAAATTTCTGCGGATAATTTGTGTCTTGAAAGGCACTGCGTCATTATAACTGTAATGTCGATTCCAAAGACACTATTCATTTTGGCTGGTATATTCAATAAAAATTTCAACTATTCTATTTTAATCACTTTTTGTGATAAATATTAATTTAAAAAAATAATTAATGATTTAAATCTGCTAATGTGTGTTTAAATAATATAAATGCGACTACATATTCTGTCTAAAACCACAAAATATCTGCGCATATCCAAGAAACGTCTATTTTGTTATATTAGCCTCAGATGTGTAGTGATATTATAATAATGTTACTATAATACTTTTTACTAGTTGAATTCCTAAAAACTATATGTAACTAGCTGCGCCCCGCGGTGTTACCCGTGGATTTTCGGGATGTAAAGTAGCCTATATGTTATTCCTGGACGTCAGCTTCCTGTATACAAAATTTTATCAAAATCGGTTCAGCCGTTTGAGCGTGAAGAAGTAACAAACATACACACACACACTAATTTTCGCAATTATAATATTAGTAGGATGATCTACAAATCTACCTAGATATTATTACACAGTTAACTTTGCTTGAGAATCATAAAGACTGAAAGCAATGAAATTTAAAAAAAATATCACATTAAATAATGCATAAATTAGAAACCTTTTGCCACTTAGTGTAGTTTATATATAACTACTAGCTTTCCGCCCGCAGTTTCGCCTGCGTGGAGTTCGGTTATATCGCGTTTACAAGAGAACCTTTCAAAAGTCTGGGATAAAAACTATCCCATGTTCTTTCTCAAGGTCAACTCCATCGCACCAAATTTCATTAAAATCAGTTCAGTGGTTAAGGCGTGAACGCGTAACAAACAGACAGACAGACAGAGTTACTTTCGCATTTATAATATTGGTAGAGATAATAAGTTGACCTAACACTGAAATCTAGTAAAAGATTTCATGTTATTATATTAATGATAATAAAATATTAGTAGGGATATAATAAAATATTATTTCTAGTTGGTACATATGTTTGTTTGTATTATAGGTGGAGAGGCTGCGAGCTAAAGCCGCTGCCGACGCTTACAGCGGCCCGGTGGGGGAATGGGCTGGGGAGGGGGGCGAAGGAGAGTGGACAGAGAGGGAGAGAGAGAGAAAACCAACACACTTTGAGAGGGAGAACCCCAACATATTGATGTTAGACGGAGACGGAAGATTCCAGAACATGTGAATCATCAAATAGAGGAGTAGTCGATGGAAATATGTTTAATAATTACAACTCGTGTATATAATAAGCCTCACAATTATGTACGGTCCAAATATAAGTACAAATCAACTATTACCTTCTTGAGATACAGTGTAAACTCCATGTAACGTCACTAAAATCATTTGACTTTGGTTGGTTTAGCTTGTCTACCATATAATGATACACTATATAGCATCACACCCACCTTCTATAACGACAACAATTAAGTAGTAAAAAGTACCTTTTAAGTTGCTAAAATTAGTAAAAACTGCGTAGCTGTGTACGTTCTTTTGTCTCTTTGTTATCCTAGCCCGCAATAAACTCGACTGTCGGAATCATGCATACCGAACTTTCTAAGAAATTCGTTCTTTTGTTTACAAATTGGGATAGCTTACACGTGTCGACGGTTTTTGACTATAAGTAGGTGTCTTGAATTACCTATACGTTATCATATTATCAGTTGCTCACAAAATCTCAAACTGTAAACATGGCTAGTAAAATAACAAAATGCACAGTCCCTTCAGTGTCGTTATGTCGAGTTTACACTGTATGTTGTTATGGACACTGATATTTGTAGTCAGTGGTGGCCTAGTGGTTAAAAGGCCCACCTCTCATGCATGAGAGCGCGGGTTCGATCCTGGCAAGTACCGATGTAATTTTTCCGAGTCATATGTACTTTCTAAGAGTATTTAGACATCACTGACTAATGTTGATTCACAAAAGAGGGTTGATGTCAGGTAGGCGGCCGGTCGTAAAAACAATTAGCCAAAACTATTCACAACATGTAAGACATATCCTTGCTAAAGCTGGGAAATTGCCGGGTAGGAAAAGGAGGACACTGATATTTGATCATATAGTAAAGTTTTTAATTCATTCAAACATTTATTAATGAGAAAATTATATTGTACTTAGTGACCGTACTAATCCGTTAACTGAGAAACTAATCTCTACTGGCTTAATATGTAACTAATGAAATATCCACGAGTTGTAATAATTATAATATATTTTCATCAACATCTATCTGTTTGTCCGTCTTATTCCTTGTACATAGTCTATATACATTTTAATCTTAACAGTAGGTGGTAGGAAATCAGTCAATATATAAATCTGTGTCTCATATATTGTATAACTAATGTCTAGACAAGTTTTAACTTTGAAAAATTTCAAGCGTTTTGATGAAATTACTTGTACTTATTATATAAATTGTCTTAAAACCTGTGATCTTTAGAACACTTACTGATATAAAATATAAGTTGTAAATCTTTAATGTTTAAATTATTTTCTTTTCAATGTGTCTCATAAAATGTTAAGCTGGTCGCATAGTGTTGCCAGATAATGAACTAAAGTCCTCAGTGTTGCCAACTTATATTGAAATAGTTTTCATTCCAAAGCTTATTAAATAACTTAAATGTGTTTCATTATAAAGATCTCTGTATCATATTAATTTGTGATGTCAGTGCAGTTTTGTTTTGCCTAGTATATGTTTGCTTGTAATGCATTTGGATCTTATTGTATTTTTATGGTCGGTTCATGAATTTGTATGAAGTCGATCTTAAACTGAATGTTCATGTCCGTTTATAAATCTATTCCATATATTGTAAACCTAGTTAGGATTCTCCTTACAATAAACATCTAAGTGTTCAATTATTTTATAATTTCCAAACATCCTCTATAGTCTATAAAAGCAAAGGGTTCATAGTCCGGTCAAATTAGACATTCGAGGTTACAAAAATTCCCACCAAGCTGAAAATCGGTAAGATTGTTTGAAATATCATTAAAAACAGAATTTGATAGTTCCCCATCTTTCCCCTGCAAGGAAAAAAATTTATTCTAGGTCAAAGGTAAACAAAATGAGTTTTTCGCGATTTTCAGCAAAACGGTAAGTTTATCATAAAAATATCTCAGACAAAAATTGTAGATCATAAAATTATCTACAAAGAATTAGTTAATACTTTTTGTTCTACGAGCCACCGTTTTTGAGATATAACGATTCAAAAAGTTGTAATCGTCATAATATGCATGAGTACGCTACGTATATGTATATGTATACTCGTACATCTCTATAGTTGTAATAGAGCAAGAGCCAGGGCCCGCCAGGCCTTCTTCTTCGCCAAGCTGAAAGTTTTTCATCGTAATAATCTTAGAAATCACGCTGTCCATTGCCAGGCCCTTAGTCGGGTGGCAACCCATACCAGGCACCCCTAAATTATAAGTAATTTTATTTGTACTTTCGTTATAGCACATATATAAGCTGATTTTTATATATGTTACTGAGGAAAGTATTAAATTATATTTGCTCAGTAGTCAGGCAGTTTCGATGGTTCTTTTACCTGACCAGACACACTGAAAATCTTCCGTAAGCGCGAGCGCGAGGGACATATCATCGATGAAGTACCAATACCCCCTAAGTGTCGAGAATCTAATTTTACACCAGAAGAAAAAAACTGTTTAAATTAAAGATTTTATTTATTTTGATCAACCTTGATAGTAAAATAGTTTCTAATACATTACCTTTTTATAAGTTACGAATGGATATGTTCATGTTTACATTTTATAGGCATTTAGGGGCTATCCATAAAGTACGTCACACGTAAAGGGGGTGGGAGGGGGTCGACAAAGTGTGACATGGTGTGACAAGGGGTGGGAGGGGTCCTAAGTTTCGTGACATCACATTTCAAAATCTAGAGGTACTAATCGCCTAATTTGAAATATTAATTAAACTAAAAAATATGTCCAACTCTATCTTTAGGGCAATACGGTTTAAATTGTTTTGTTGACAAGTTCATAGCCGCTTCTGACACGTGCCGATCGTATTCATATTAATTAGTTTATTTTTTTGTTATTGTTTCAAATATTTGATACTATGTTGATTTCATAAAAAAGTACTTAATTTAAACGGAAATAAAACTAATTTCCGAACTGCTGTTTTAATTTAATAATTTTTCGATATTAAATTGCAAAACATGTGACGTCACACTAGGGAGGGGGGGGTCTCAGAAATGTGACCACCTGTGACAAGGACGGGGGAGGGCTCAAAAACTCATGAAATTAGTGTGACGTACTTTATGGATGGCCCCTTAGTTACTTAGGACAAATTTTTCTCGTTAAATGTTTTTTCAAATGTAAACATATAGACGGTAGGCTCGTCGATTTCTGAACAATACTTTTTGTATGTGTTATATATGTAGATCAGTCATGGAGCGAAAAGATGGTTCTAAATACAATTTGTTTCTGCAGTTAGAACATATTTCCATAAAATATTTACTTCCCATAATAAATAATATATATTTTTTTTAAATTGTGATTCTAATTTGAATAAATATTGAAATGAAATTTAGAAATTTTTAAAACAGTTTTGATTAAACTGTTAGATTTTTGATGTAATATCTTATTGAAAAGCCTATTTTTCTGCATAATTTGTCTAAAATTAATATTTCTTTCTTCAATAATTTTATGTAACGATTTTTTTTTTGTTTAATTTAAAAAATACTTCACACAGAATACATTGCTAATTGACAGCTGATGCGCAGTAGAAGCTCGTAATAGACCCAGTGCACTATCTCACTCGCACTCGCTCAGATATATGTTCCTCGCGCTCGCGCGTATAATTTAGGGGTGCCTGGTAGGGATTGCCACCTGACTAAGTAGTGCCTGGCAATGGACAGCGTGATTTCGAAGATTACTACGATGAAAATATATCAAAACTGGATTTTTTATTATGAGGAAAGTGAAAGACAATTTTATACACCTTTAGAACCTGTTATCTGCAAAAGCCACCGCGACAGAAGTTTAATAGGTGGGGATCGTTACTACCTGTATTGGGTACATCTATAGAAAAACTTTCAGCTTTTATAAATTAACGAAGGCCTGGCGGGCCCTGGCTCTTGGACTATAATACAGTGTAAACTCTATATAACGACACTGAAGGGACCTTGCATTTTAGTGCGTTATAGAGAGTTGCCGTTAAATAGAAAGAAGAAAAATCTGAATTAGAAAGACAAAGTTTATTTCAGACTAGTGTTAGTACTTATGTACATAAAAAATAATGTTATAGTTTGAGATTTTGTGAGCAACTTTTTATGTTAACGTATAGGTAATACAAGACTCGTACTTATGGTCAAAAACCGTCGAAACGTTTAAGCAATTTGTAATTGTAAACAAAAGAACGAATTTCATAGAAAGTTCGGTATGCATGATAGGGACAGTCGAGTTTATTGCGGGCTAGGATAACAAAGCGACAAAGGAACGTACACAGCTGCACAGTTTTTACTAATTTTAGCAACTTCAAAGGTACTTTTTATTACTTAATTGTTGTCGTTATTGAGAGTGGGTGTGCCGCTATGTAGAGTGTATCATTGTATGCTAGACAAGCTAAACCAACCAAAGTCAAATGATTTCGACGCTTTAGAGAGTGTGTCGTTAAATCGAGTGTCGTTATATAGAGTTTACACTGTATATGTAAAATATTTTTACACTTTACTTCCACCTGAGCCTGAAAAACTGAACTCGATTTTTTGCAACTGCAAAAATTGCTTTTGCTTTTCAGTTTTGCTGAAAATCGCGAAAAACTCATTTTGTTTACCTTTGACCTTGAATAAATTTTTTTCCTTACAGGGGAAAGATGGGGAACTTTCAAATTTTGTTTTTAATGATATTTCAAACAATCTTACCGATTTTCAGCTTGGTGGGAATTTATGTAACCTTACTGTTATTATTTGGTCTAATTTGACCGGGCTATCATAATAAAAACCAAAGTAACTATTCAGATTTTCTTTATTATGTTGTATTTTTATTTCCGATACAATTCATATTGGAGTGTAATATCTACTTAACTGAACATGCTTACATTATCGTTCTCTTGAAATAGCACAGTTATTTTAAAACTATTTATCCTAAACTCTATCTGTTTTAAATAACATACAAAAATATTAACAAAAACTATAATTACTGTATTTATGGAGGCATGCGTTTGCAGAGGTAGATCGGTACATTTATTTAACAATACTGTAAAGCCGGATCACGGGCGGTCGTTACAGATATAAAAAGCTTAAAATAAGTAAAAAAAACATACATATATTGACACCATAACAATAAGCGCGGGAGGATATAAAAATTAAAACAATTAAAATTCATCATATAGCCATGGGACGTAAGACAATATAAAATTAAAAACGCGGATCATGCTTTACAGTATCTGAACTTACAAGCGATACAACTATCTTTAAAACAATCCATTCAGGAGTCAAATACATCAAAGGTCAGCAATTTTATTTACAATTTCAAAAGCTTCTCGCGTCAAACACATCCGAACGTTAAAAATCCAACGCGCTCGGCAAATAATATATTCGACCAGCAAATATAAACTACTTTATGTATCCTCGAAGCTAAAAGAAACACTACATCGAACGCGACATAAAATACACTTACTCGCCGTGAGTAGGCCGCGGTCCCCGGCCCTAGCGAGGAGGAACTCTTACAAACAATTTTATATTAAACACCAACATCGACACAGAAAATAAGACGCTAGAGACGATCTAAATGCAACAACCTTGAAGCGCTAAACGAATTTCTCATACGAAGTCCCATTTTTTAAATCTAATACATCGGTTATGTTCGACAGTTAGATTGACAGAGTCACAAAACTCAATAGCTTACTCAATGACAGTTAATATATATTTTTTCAAACTATCTGTTACACATGACGGGTATTGAGGTAGTATTGTTTGACCATCGTTATCAGCGGGTGTTAACTCTTAACTATCGAGATATTTATATAACACATCCGTAAAATAGAACCACAATACCCTGTGCTCGACTTTAACCTAAAAAACCTATAGCTAGGGACATATAAAGATCGCAAAGGTCACAATTACGACATTTTATTTCATATCAAAAATAATTCTTACATATACAGTATATATCATAGAATAGAAATAATTTAAGATTCAAATACTCATAGTACTCAATCTTTTAATAAAATTGTAAATGTAAGTAGATAAGAGTAAAAACTTTTATATTATGTATCGAACTGTCATTAATATGGCGACGTCAATCTCAATATTGTTACCTTTGCGACGAAATATTATATAGTGTAATAATTTTAATGATTATAGAAGTTTTGAATAAGTACTGTTACACTGAACGACGAGATTTATTAAGACTATGTAACACCACCAATTATTATATACTATTACTGTCGTGACGGAACAAAAAGCACTGCGACACGAAAAAATAATTACATACAGCTTTCAGAACGCGGGAACTACATTTTTAAATTTTAATTAGTCGCAGTGTATTTTGCATCAGAGCTAGCGCGAGACAGTTACACTGCGCTGTAGTTAAGACTAATAATAATAATAATATATCGGAACGAATCAGTGAAATTACATCACGAGTTTATTTACAAGCATCATCCAACGTAACCTGACACAACACTAAATTTAGATGGATAACTACAGCGCAGATACGTTAAGTGAACGATTCTATACAGCGAGAGGATCCAGGGGATCCAATATAGCAGAATTTTCAGCTGAACAGCCAATTATTTCACATAACTAGCATTAATGATAGCCAATATTTTTGTAATCTCCCATTGCAATCGGTTTCCATACCTGATGCCGTACAAGCCGGGTCCGGAGCTAATATGCTGTTAATTCTGGTTCACATCTGACTTATCCCGGATTAACCTCCAATACATTAAGTTCAACGAACTTATAAATACTTTCCAGTCTTTGGATACGTTTATCACTAAGACCCCATCTCCGAAAAATATTCTTGTAAATATTTCATCTCTCGCAACTATATTCCGGAGATAATTTTTTATCATATATTTTTTTCTCGTGTTTACACTACTATGCAGTTATCTGCCAGGTTGAGTTCGTTTTGTATCGACCTCATATGGACCCGCTAAAACACTACACTTTCCACAGTAGATATGTGTATTCAACGCGTCTACCGTCCATATGGGTTACGACTGTAAATTGTCCTATTTCCTAGTCCTAAGACTATCATGAATAATGAAACCGTACATACAAACACCAATGTAATGTATATCTCTACTTAGTATGTCGTTCATAGGTGACGTCACTGAACTATGACGTCATCGCCCACGTGATCGCCGTCAGCGATGACGTCATCGCCCACCGTCAAGGTAAGGAGACCGCTGTTATAAATAATGTTTTTTGTACTCGTTATACTACGCTCGCTACACTTACATCTAAATATACATAAAATATCACAGCACTATCGATTCACTTACACTAATATCAGGAACGCTTTGCGTCCATGACCCTCCGAACGAAATAATAATAATTATAATAATAAAAAAAAGGAATCGAAATCGAAATGCACGAATACGTCACCGGCGGCCGCGATTGGACAACGAAACAACTATATATAAGAACATATATGTATATAAAACCTTGATTTATATAGTATAAGATCATTGATTTATATATATAATGGATTTATATAGTATAAGGAAAACAGTATTTGTATTCAAAGTTAACATTGCGCAGCCGGCCGGTGAGCGAGAAATGAAGCTTAATTGAAATGCAAATTACAAAGTGCCGCAAAGAATAAACAAAGGTACGTTATATTTACACATGTTGACCAAGACTTAGGCTATATACTTTGGAAATCATTCGAAAATATTCCGTCGTAGTTTACATCCCCGGACAATTAGGAACAGATTTAAATAACTATTGAAAACTACTTGTAAATATATGTGTATATGTACTGTGTAAAATATTCTTGTATATAGTATATGTCGCGGTATAGTCTTGTATATAGTCCGGGGATGTGACCTACGATTGATTCTGCATACAATACAAGATACATATTAAAGCCTTTTTAATTATAAAATAAATCGAAGAGACTTAACTCATTCACTCGACTCCATACAAATAATTTCATACAAAACAACACGAACGGTGCCAGGAAACATTCCAGGTGTAAGCGAACATGAGAGCCTTAACTAAATGAGGTAGTGTAACTATGAATTATGTTAACATTAAATGCTTGGTGGGATATATGTTAAAAGTGTATACTATATCAACATTAAAATACATCATATTGTAAAGTGAGGTACATACTCGTTACTGACTGAGGTAGCTGCGGGTAAGTTACAAAAATATGTAAAAAAAAACGTTCAAAATATATCTGTGTTCATTATGGACAGTCGGTTGGACTCGACCATTTCTCCGTAACCGTAGGAGTAGTCCTGGTACACCTTGGTGATTATCGGTTCCCATTTTGGAGGGGCGTAGGCTTCGGCGAAGTTGTCGGTGTAGTCGGCCAACTGGTCGACTAACGAGTCGGCCAACTGATCGTAGGCCGGCGGCGGCTGGCTGTTGATGAGCAGCGGGTCGATGTGAGGCAACATGTGGTCGTCCAGGTCGATGACCCCGCTGAACTCCGGCCCGTACTCGGCGGGGAAGGCGCTGGCTGCCGATGACTCGGAACTCTCTGGAATATTAGATAATATTTGTTTAATAATAATAATAATTTATTTCAGACGATATTGTAGATCCATATTGTGTTAGTACAAATTAAACTTAATAAATAAATTGGTTAATAAATTTACAAAAGAAAAGCAATTTTATTTATGATTAACTAATTAACTAATTTTAAAACAAGACATATATTTTACTTGTCTACGAGGAGTCGTATCCAGTGTGCTAAAATTGGTGAATCAAGTTTAAGATCGCACATATTATATAATCCCTACTAATATTATAAATGCGAAAGTAACTCTGGCTATCTGTCTGTCTGTTACGCTTTCACGCCTAAACCACTGAACTGATTTTCATGAAATTTGGCACAGAGATAGAATTGACCTTGAGAAAGAACATAGGATAGTTTTTATCCCAGACTTTTGAAAGGTTCCCTTGGAAACGCGATATAACCGAACTCCACGAGGGCGAAGCCGGCGGAAAGCTAGTGTTAATATAATTTTAATAGTTGTGTACTCACCGCCACTGTACACCGTATTAGTGGCCAATACGTTGACAAACTTCGTGATGTTTCCGATGCCCTCGTCGTTAGTGTTCTCGAATATTTCCAACTCCTTTTCTATCACTGTGTGGTCGATACTGTCCTCCATGGCGCTGTCGTTCGGTTCGTAGTAAATATATGTATCCAATTTCGATTCCTTGTCACCATTTGGTTCCACGTTTAACTTGGGATGTGTGTGCTTATCTTCTTGAGACGCGTCTGTTTTCACTACATTTATATCAACATGATATTCATCTACGTTTTCATCGTCAATATTTTCATCTTCGTTGTCCAAATCTTGTTTCTTATAATTTTTTCCATCGCTGTTGTGCATTCGACGCAAGTGTTTATGCCAGTTGGGATAGCTCGCGAAGGTTTTCGAGCAGACGGGACACTTGTAAGGCTTCGAGCCCGTATGTATGTTAAGATGTTGCTGCAGTTGGCCAATTTTCACGAAACTCTTGTCGCAGTAGGTGCAACTGTGTGTTTTGTTCTCGGAGTGCGACTTGAAATGTTCGATCAGACGATTCTTGGCGTTGTAGACCTTCCCGCACACTTTGCATATGTGCAGAACAGTTTCAAAGTGTTGTGAGATATGTTTCTGTATGAGATGTTTCTCGCTGTAGTTTTTGTTGCAGACGGGACACACGTAGAGCTTCTTCTTATGAACGTCGAGATGTCGTTCGCAGGAGGGTAGGCCAGTAAACAGCAGGCCACATTGGCGACACCAGTTGCGGTTTGATTGGTGCTCACGTTGGTGGAATACCAATTCTTTTGGTGTGGAAAATCTGGAATTTTAATTAACATTAATATTTTTAAATTACTCTTCAGGTTATGACCGTTATTTCGTCTCTGTGGACTTGGAGATGAATTTCGCAGATAAATCATTACACAATTATAGTTACAAACTATGTGGCTGTGTTAAACGTCTAAAACCAAAAAACAACTCACAATGTATGTTTGCATAAATAATATCATAAATGTTATTCTAATATCTAAGTTGCGTCACTACAAAGTTTCATCAACATCCTCTCAGTAGTTTTTGTAAGTTCAACCACCATTCTGACAAAACTAAAATTTCTAATATTAGTAGGATATTAATAATGTTATATTAATGTAATTTCCTTACACTTCCTGACAGCCCTCCTCTGGACATATTACACAGTGTACACCGTGTATATCCCTCAAATGTTCCCTGAGCCTCATCTCTGTTACATATCGGTGTCCACACTGATAGCAAGTGAACGGCTTGCCCTTACATTCGGCGTCGGTCTGGCAGGCGGCCGTGTGAGTCACCAGTAGCGAGAGGCGGTTGAATGTCTTGAGGCATATGTCACAACTGTAATAAATATTTCATAGTTATATTCTCAAAATTCAGTGGTGGCATAGTGGTTAAAAGACCTGCCTCTCATGCACGAGGGCGCGAGTTCGATCCTGGCAAGTACCAATGTGATTTTTCCGAATCAAGTACTTTCTAAGAGTATTTAGACATCACTGATTAATGCATTCCCAAAGAGGGTTGATGTGATGCAGGTGGCCGGTCGTTAAAATAATTTGCCAAAACGATTCACAACAAGTAAGGCAAACCCTGGCTAAAGCTGGGAAATTGCCAGGTAGAAGAAGAAGATTCTGTTTATATTTGGGGATAGTGCAAATCCGCGTAACTAGCATTGGATCATTCCTTGTATTTACTTTGAAAGCAGATTATCAGAAGAAAGTTTAAGCTGAAATACTTTGTAAATTAACGACTTTTAAGGTAATTTTTTCACAATTATTAATTATTTATTATCAATTGTGAAAAAATTACCTTAAAAGTCTTTAATTTAGAAAATATTTCACCTTAAACTTTCCTCTGATAATCTGCTTCTAATGTAGATAAACAGAATTATCCAACCGTACTTATGCAGTTTTCAACTATCCCTGACATTATTAATATTTATCTAGTCAGTGATAGTTACTCTTACTATTTAAATATGCTATATTGTTAAGAGAATTTCATTACATTACTTAATGAGTAAAAATATATGGATATTAAATTTGCACTAACCAAAATCTTCCTTTGGTGAAGTGATTGTAAGCATGATGACTAAATACTGAATACTTTTCAAACTGCTTTGCACACACAATACAGCTGTATATGATATCTTTGTCTCCGTGGTCACATGAGAAGTGAGCATCAAACTCCATACGGTTTTTGTATGTCTCGGTGCAATAACTACATGAAATCCCACCCAATCTCTCAACTGAATTTTCCTCTTTGTCCAAACTTTTTTGTATTTCAAAAGTACTTGTATTGATCACATGTCCGAAATGTTTTTTCAAATGCTCGCTGGAGTTTTCTTTATTTGATATATTTTCATTACATATGGGGCAGAAGTATATGAATGCTGAATGTATGTCTATATGATTCTTGCAATCTTCTAGAGTGTCTAACTCCTCGCCGCAAGCTTTACATTCATAGGGCGGGCTGTCGTTGTCATTGTGAATAATTTCATGCAATTTCAATTCTTTTTTTGATGTAAATCTGAAAATAATAACATTTATTACTAACAAATCTTTAATTATTACAAATATAAATCAATAATGATACTTACTCTTTCTTGCAAGTGTTGCATCTGAATCTATGCATTACCATGACATGTTCCCGAAGTGAAGCAAACTTTGAAAATAATTTTGAACAGTGTTCGCATCTGGAAAATAAAATATATATTATTAATACATTATCACATATTTTTCTAACATCTAAAATTGTTAGAAAAGTTATAATTTTTAGTTGTATACTCACTTAAATCTCTCTTTGATGACATGACTTGTGTAACAATGACCACGAAAGCTCGGATAGCCTGAGATTTCTTTCCTACACACCACGCACGTGTAAACTATGTCCTTGCTGCCAGTCTCGTGTTTAGTGTAATGCTGGTCGTAGTCCTTCTTATTTGCGTATATCAAGTTACATATGTTACAGTAGATTCCGCCGACTAAATCGATTGTAGTAGGTTTTGGGCTCATGATGGAGCTGGGTCTATTGGGTTGTGTGTGCGAAGCCATCATAGCCTTAATTATGTGCAATCCATTTATTGAGCATCTATGTCTGTCAAATGGGTGTTTGTGCTGCTATTGAATACATTTCCTTAATTGTGTTCCGCAACCTACATGTTTAGAATTTTCGTTACTTCCCTGAAATTGTAATCATAATGGGCCATTTTTTATTATATAATATAAATGTGAACTTGAAAAATATATTACGAATAAGCTATCCATAAATCTATGAAAAAAAAATGCAAGTAATACATAAATTCCATCGAAAATAGTTTTGCTGTGTCAACATTATCACGAGTGGGGTCAAAGGATTATCGTTTGTTTTCTTTAGAAATATCAATTGATATACTAGAGAATTAGTTTTTTATTCACACAAATTTGATATCATTATTAAATAATAATTTTCTTTATGTTAGAAATTAGCGAAACTGTAGTATATATCAATCACTGACGACCTTGACTATACTACTGTTTCGAAAGAAAATATATTAAAGCATCGTAATATATATGATAGAAAAGGCGCCGGAAAAGCGTGTTATCTTCAGTTTTTTAATTTATGAACAATAATATTAACAATCTTTTGCAAAACATTTCGAAGGAATTTATTTGGAAGAACAAGTACTAGATGAACGGATTTGCTTAAATGAAGAACTTAATTTGTACTTACAAAATCTGGCAAAAACTTATAAATCTATATCGGACAAGTGTCCAACGTTACATTTTACATTACAACAGCCGAAATAAAACATAAACGATAAAAAATGGAACGCCGGACGACAAACAACGCCAAGAAAACGTGTGAATTTTGGATTTGACATCTGTGGGCAAATTGTTGTAGAAAAAAAATCAATATCTTTTTGGACGCTCCTGATTACTTTTATTTTATTTTATTCAAACCATTTACTAAGCTAAGAACTTAAATTTAGAAAATAAACGTTTCTTTATATTATATACTTGGTATAATCATAATAATTTTTAATTTCGTATACAATTTGATATAAATGTTCACATTACATTCATAAATAAAAATATCATCTTGAAATTAGAATGTAAACTGGCTATTAAAATTTTATTTGTTGCGAATTCACAATTTTATTAAAAAAAAGTAATGAATAAGAAAGTAATGAAAGTGCTATTTTCTAAATTTGAAAAAAAAAATACTTCTTCATTGTTTTTTATACGAAACTAGTCACTAAAAAACACATTTTATTAAATTTTATAATGAAACAAAAATGTTTTTAGAATACATGGTCATACCACTTATAATGACAAAATTGATAATTTTAATACTTGACATTGACTTAAAAATATAAACATTACCTACCTATTTAATCGTTGTTTATTTAAAGATATTAGAAATAAACATATAACTATTCTTTATTCAATTCAATCTAAGAAATATCTAATTTAAATTGTGTTTAATTTACATCAAAATTATAACTTCTATAAAAAATATCTTTAAACGGTAAGTGAACATTAAATACATTTTAAGTAAAATAACAGGTATAATTTATGAAGTTCATAAATATTTTCGGTATTTACTCGTTAATTATTGAGTATATTTTAAAAACATTCCGGGTAATCTATAAAAATTATAGTGATGTCTTTTTATTTAAAAGTAAGATGTAAATTAATAGTTAATATAATTATCTTCGCACCATCACATATGAAGTAACAAATATAAATGTAATGTTTGTAATCAAGAGTACTTTTGGCCTCTCGCCAGGCCGGTTACAAAAATAGTTTTGCCACAAACGCCATCGTCGTCTATACGTAAACTCCGTCAAATTATAATATCGATAATATTTATTTTGAAATGGAAAGATCTCATAATTTACACTCGAGTTTCCACGGATCCTTCAGGAGCAAGGAATCGTCGTCGACAACAGGCAGCGATCCTCGTGAAAAAATAAAAGACTGCCTCAGGAAGTTTATAGCATTTATGTTTACACAAGTGGGTGTTGGCGCGCTGGTGGTTTGCTATGCGATCTTAGGTGCTGCGAGTTTCATGCATATAGAGAAAGACAGTCCTGATATGCAACTAGTGAAAGTCATCAAGTGGCGTCAGAGCTGTGTCGAGCAACTGTGGGGCATCACTAACAAGTATAATGTCTTGAATTACACAGCATGGATGGCAAGTAGCAATAGTGTATTGAAAGACTTTCAGAACAACATCACATCAGCGGTACATCTAGGATATAATGGCAGATCTTCGGAGGATATATGGTCGTTCCCAGCAGCTCTAATGTATTCCTTGTCCGTTTTCACAATGATTGGTTATGGTAATGTCGTGCCGAAAACACTGTGGGGAAAGATTGGTACTATTGCATATGCTTGTTTTGGAATACCGATTTACGTCCTTTATTTTTGCAATATGGGTAAAGTTTTAGCGCAATCTTTTAAATGGTTATACATAACTGCTTATGAATGCAGCCGGAGGGAAGACCCTTTGTTAGAAGATGGAGAATTGCAGCCAATTAAAAGAAAAATCACAGTTCCATCTACTGCATGTTTGTGGGTGATTTCATTCTATATATTGACCGGGACAATCATGTTTGGTGCTTGGGAGAAATGGAATTATCTGGATTCTACATACTTCTGTGTGATAAGTCTCTGCAAGATTGGTTTCGGAGATTTCGTGCCTGGGGCTAATATTGCTGATTCTGCCGAGGGATCTCATCTGAAGCTAGTTATAAACTTTATTTATGTCCTACTCGGTATGGGATTGGTAGCAATGTGTTATAATCTAATGTGTGAAGATGTACGGGTCAAAGTAAGAGAGCTTAGACAAGATCTGAAGAACTGTTTGGATGATATAACTTTGAAAATTACGGTTTGCATGAACGACACCAAATATTACCACCAGAAACAGACCAGACATATCAAATGATACACAAATATTAGTTTAGAGTAGGTTTTTTTGTATACTTGTATGTTACAAGTCTTTTTAAAATACAATGGTCTGTATTTTAAACCTTGCACTTCAGTTTTGCATTTTGTTTTTTTCTCCAGCTGAGTTCTGGGAGTTACAGATCAGTATTTGTAAAATATTTACTAATAATCTTAATAGAGAATAAATTTATTTTAATATGTTGCTTATTATTAATATATGAAATAACAATTTCTGAATGAATACTTTTTCGAATATACTTTTTTGAGAATATTTTCTTGTACTAAAAGAGTAATAGAATTATGTTTATTATATTCCATTTATAGAAGGGCTTATTTATAGTTTTAAGCTGGAAATGCTATTTTTATACTTATTAACAATCAATTTGTGACATATCTTTTGCTTTTAATTAATGTAATTAAAGTTATGTGCTATTATGTTTTTTTCTTATATATCTGTTTTCAACCCCTAACGCAAAAAGAGGAACGTTATAAGTTCAGCAGAATGTCTGTATGTATGTTCTCTATTACCCTCAAACGGATTCTGATGTTTTTTTTTTTTACTTGAATGCCAACTTCCTTGTGGTAATTCTTACTTATATAATGTAAGGCGTTTTTTGGCATTACTTGATTAAGTGCCTCATAAGTGCCAGCATAACTGTTTAATGACTATTAATTTATTAAGGTGTTTCTTAAAATTTAATATAATTATTATTTATTACATTTAAACTACAGAACAGATTCGTATGATGTCTTATATTGATTGAGATTTTAAATAATTTATCATTAGATTAAAACTTATAAGCAGGATACCAAGCGCAGATACTGTCATGATTTAAAATCGCAAATATAAATACAAGATCATGAAACGAATTAACTTATAAGAAAATATTTAATACGTTGATGAAGAATCTGGTTATTCAATATTAATTTCCTATAAAATTAACGCTATGATGTTTTATATGAGCTGAACTGTTGAATATGGTTCATTCAATCATTTTTTGATCGTCTGTAGCAATGTATGCCGAGGAGTGAACACGATGCTGCCTGTTCGTCTCCGACGTGTGTCTGGGTACGAGGGTCGTGTGAATGATGTTATATTTCGACCAGCGATCAGTGATGCAGCTCGTGGTAGGGAAACACTGGTGTTCTTTGGAGGAGATGTACAGGTGAGGATTTGTTACGACCAGAACAATTAGGACTTGACTGTTTTTCTGTATTCCCTTTAATCATCATCATCATCAGCCTATCAGAGCCCACCGCTTAGCAAAGGCCTCTTCTCACATGGAAAAGTTTGAGCATTAATCTGAACTTATAATTTGAAATTATAAGTCCATATTTTCTCGCGATGTTTTCCTTCACCGTCTGTCAGTGGTGTCTAAATAGTAATATTTTAAGGACATTTAGCAGTTTATTTAAATATCACTTGCCATTTTCGAGAAACGATTTAACATAGTATATAAACAAATCAAATCAAACTTTAATATTATAACACATTGGCTATTTTATTGTGTAATAAAAATGATATCAATGGTTTTATTTTTGTCAATATCTTAGGACTATCCAGAAGCGATGCAGGCTCACCGTGATAACAGACACTACGTGAAGTGGAATCTGGAGAGTACTGCCCGTATGCTCGGGGAAAACTTCGTCGACAAACACATTGTGGTTGTGAGACCTTCAAGGTGATTGATAATATATTTAATCAGAACTAGATACTGCTTGACTTTTTCACACTTATATTAAGTGAAATAGAAGTACCTAGTTTAAGCCTATTTTCTGCGACGTCCACCGAATTGTAAGTTTCTACTGCCAAATATACATTTGTTGCTATTGAGTAGTTTCAACATTTTAATTTTTATATTCTACAAATATATACTTAATTACTTACCATAAATCAAAATACGAGATGGAACTATTTTGTGTTGAATCTGTATAATTTATGTGTCAGGTTGGACCTATAAAGTAAAAGCTTGATTTTTTGATAATATACCATTTGTCGTTTATATATTATTCACGATGTATATCAGTGATAATCATCTTCAGGATAGAGTTCAAGAGCTTCAGTTGTTACGACAACTTCGTTCCCAGTAACAACGCCGGTGTGCCAGACCACACGCCCACACACCACGCTCTCATACATTTAGAGAGGTGAGTGGTTATTATCAAATAATACTAACAGTAGTTGAAGTAAAACTAATATTTTTGCATTACTATGCGTATTTTATTATTTTAAAAACTACATACTCCCGAAATTTTGGTTACTTTGCAGCAACCGTGATCACGGGCAGACGAGATGTGATCCGAAAAATATTAGTTTCATTTAATTGAATTATAAGTGGTTGAGGCAGTTATTATACTGTTATAGAATATACTATTTTTAATTCAATATAATTAACATTTTTAGTATATTATTTTAAAATGAATCTTATTTTCTGCAATTCATAAGGCCTTTACCCTGAAGATATTTTTTTATGAATGCGGACGAAATCGAGGGCCTCAGTTATTCTGAACTTTATATAATGAATATAATTAATTATTCTTGTTACAGATTGCTGAAAAACGTAAGCATCAGAATGAAAACAATGTCTGAGAGAGAACTGTTGGATGTTTTGAGAGACGTGTCGGCAGAGGGCGGGCTTGAAGGATGTCGCGTGAGGAATATTTATATACATACATATATTAATATCCCTACTTAATATTATAAATGCGAAAGTAACTCTGTCTGTCTGTAACGCTTTCACGCCGAAACCACTGAACTGATTTTAATGAAATTCGGTACAGACAGAGACAAAGAACAGGATAGTTTTTATCCCAGACTTTTGAAAAGTTCTCTTGGAAACGCGATATAACCGAACTCCACGCGGGCGGAAAGCTAGTATAAATACGAGTCTATTAATTATATATTGATATTTAAGATTTTCGCTTCTAAATGTTTGAATGAAACCAAATTTTTATGATAACTACTCGTATTTTACAATGTTATATTTATATCTCACTTATACGATATCATAGTTGCTGTATATATAATATTTATATATATTATTTAAGTCACATGTGTATTCGTTGTGTTTCAGCCAGCCGAGCGCCAGGAGCCGAGCTCGTGAGTAGGTCCCCTCCTACATGTTGTTACATACACATCATTCGGTAACGATTTATACAAACTTGATGGAAATATATTTATGTAATTATCGAGCTGTTTTTAGGTTTATTTTTTATTTACATTATTATTATTTTTATCATGTACACATGCATTAATAAAAAATTCACTTCACTCTATTGATTAATGTTTTGTGACGTTATTCATAATAATAATCGTCTATTTTTTATATTTTCTTTCAGAGCTAGAGATCCTTTGTGGTGGAGAGAATCCCTCGCCCTAGATGAGGGTTCTATTTCGTTGGTCGGGTTCAGTAAGGGTTGTGTTGTACTGAACCAGATAATATATGAGTTCCATTACACACAGACACTCACACCCGGAGATGAACATATGATGAGGTATGATTAATTTGAGTTCAAATACAACGATACCGTATGCTTAGTTAAAATATACAAGTTTGCTTAACGTTAAACATAGACAGAAATATATATATGACGGCGCGTTTATTTTGCATTAGTTTAATAATAAGTAATTCAGTATTTGTTTCATAAAAATTATGAGTCGCCAGTTCAAAATATAGTAGTGATAGTCACTGAATGTGAGGACGGCGATTATGATATGGACAGCCGTCAAACAAAGTGCACAAGCCTAAACTATTGGCTCATAATCTATTTTCATCATATTTGAATGTGATTTTAAATACAATTGTAAAGAAATCTAGTAATTAGATATTGGAGGGTATAAGTGTGCCTTTATTTATATGTTTCAATCGTTACAACGTCCATGATGGATATAAAAAGCCAAGATCGCCATGAGGTATCCTTCTTACGCTCCTACATATATATATAATTTATAAATATTGTATCTTCATCAAATCTTAAATAGTAATTCAAATCAATAATAGATCTGATGTTCTGAAGCCACTTAGTGACGTCACAAGTGGTAAACTTGTGAATTTTAATCTACTCTCTATAGTAATGTAGTTTAATATGAATACATCATCAGGTTGTCGGGTCGTATCAGTGACATGTACTGGTTAGACGGAGGTCACGCTGGTGGTAAAAATACGTGGCTGACGGCGCGCTCACTACTGGAGACTATCGCTACTAGAGGTAACACTTGATATGTACACTACTAACTACAAATAGTAATATATAGTGGTACCAACTCTGAAATAAGTACAGGGATGAAGTGGTACCAACAGTTGGATAGAAACAAGGATGGAAACTTCATGTGGCTGAATTATTATTCTACTAATATTATAATTGCGAAAGTTTGTGAGTGAGTGTGTATGTTTGTTACTTCTTCACGCTAAAACAGCTGAAACGATTTTGATAAAATATTGTATACAGGAAGCTGACGTCCAGGAATAACACATAAGCTACTTTACATGCCGGAGATCCGCGGGTTACATGCCGGAACACCGCGGGGCGCAGCTAGTATATAATATGTATTACTCATATTGTTTATACACAATATACTTCAATATATCTTTGTATATAAGAACCTTTTCCATGTGAGAAGAGGGCTTTGCTAACAGTGGGTTCTGATAGGCCGATGATATTAACAATAGTCCATTGTACTCTTCATTTGTAAAGTGTTTTTACAAATGAATAAATGAAATAAATAAATAAATATATAGCCATTGTATGTTACAGGTGTAAATATCTACATCCACGTCAGCCCCTACCAGATCAAAGATGAGAGTCGGCCGTGGATCGGCAGAGAGGAGAAGATATTCAGTAGTCTGCTCAAGAAACTCGGTGCTAAGGTATTAGGCCTCGGCCTCGAATTTTGCGGGCAGCGGAGCGGCGGCGGCGGCGGCACGGCAACGCATACCTGTTCTCCAAACTAGCGGGCAGCGGGCACCGCTGTATTCGAGGGTCGGTCCATTTGATTATATGCGTAAGATCCTGCCGCTCCCGCCGCCGCTCGCTTAGGCTTAGACTAAGAGACTAGACGAAAAATGAGGTATTTCGATTTTTCTACAAATAAAAACATTGCAAATTTTCTAACATGCCATTTTTACATATATAACGAATATTGTCTTAGTTATTATAAAGAAATAGTAAAGTATCTTATTGCATACGCAAAAAGAACAAATTGATTTTACCTCCTTCCACTGTCCCTGGATGATTTGGTCTATATTTGTCTTCAACACATGGGTGAATAAATTGATAGCTTTTTTAAGAACAACTTCTTTAACAAAGGATAGAATATTGTACAAAGTAGCCACACCTTGAGAATAGTATTATGAATCGCCTTTGCACGAATGAAGACCAATAAATACGCGTAGCAGATTTAAAGACAAACTGTATGTTCCAGCTCAACGATTATTTATCTTTGTATCATAACAATGTTTACTGCATGGCCATACGCATTTACAACCCAGAAATTGTAAAGAATTGTTCTAAATTTATTTAAGAATTTTTGTTTTAAATTACTGATAGATAAAATATATTATAGTATAAATGAATTTCTTAACAACAAATGTTATATTATAAATAATATAATTATATTTGGATTAACTGACAAATAACTATTTATTCATAATTATGTTATTGAAAATTATTTATTTTAATTGTTAACTATAAACTTTATATTTGTAATTGTAGTAAATTCATTAGTAGTATTATTAGTTTATTCAAAAATATTTGCACGCCAAATCTGCAGAATATGTTGAACCGTGGTAAATGTATGAAACCTTTGTTAACCGATATTCGAAGAAAAAAACTATTATTATTAAGGCCATATTTAAAACAACCAACCGAGTGATATCAATCAAACTTCTAAACACTAAGTATCTGTGTAGGTTCACCGCTATACTCACACTCCTCCCGGGCCGCAGTCGCTTCACATGCATTTCTCAGTGTTGGGGAACTTCAAGCACATCCAGGACTCGAACCCGGGACAAAGCGCCGACTCCGACGAAGATACATCCAATTGAACAAACACATAGTTATATAATTACTTTGGCAGAAATGTTATTCAAAGATAATGTTTAACTTGTTGAAATTATACTTTTAAGAAATAAAAATATAGTATTATTTGTGTGCTTTACTTTTGTTCACCACTAAGACATTACTATATAGTAGCTTTTTTGTAGCCTCTTTTTATTAAAATAATGTGTAAGTTATTCATCGCTTTCTGAACTGAAAGTTATAATACATATTATCAAATAGCATAAAATCTTTCTATACAGAATGTTAATTATTAGACTTCCTTATGCTTACACATGAAAAATATGTAGTGTGTTTAGTTTCAAATTAACAGATTTTGTCTAAACCATATAAAAGTATGCGCGATACAAATATCAAAAGTAATTGTTTTTTAAAATTTTATTTATTATTGAGTTCATGAAATCTTTTTATAGCTAAATTGTTTATGTTTCATACTACAAACTGTGAAATACACTGAATAAATAATGTACCTACATGTACGTAAGTGACATAAAATGTGGTACAATAATTTCTAGAGCATTTTTCATTCACTTGTTTCTTGCTATATCTAAAATGTAGGAGAATGATTAGTTGTAACTTGTCAGTTAGGTATAAATAAAACTAATGTAGGCGGTAAATTCATTTATTACCATAGAACGACGCAACTTAACACTAATAATATAATAAATCTATCTAGACTGGCTTGTCGGTACAACCGCTACTGGTACAACCAAGAGAAATAACTACGTCTATACTACGGATGCTATAGTATGGAATTACTCGGAAGCTTCAGCTATTAAGTAAATCATATTAATATTACCTATACTATATATTAGTTGGAATATTCAAACATAATTTGACAGTCGTATGTTCTAAATATATTTGTATTATGTGTGAAGAAGCCAGTTCATTTCGGACTGACTGTAATATTTTATGCGAAGCCGTTCAATGTTCTCAAAAGCCAAAACTATCCTCCTTACCTACCTTTAACTGACTAGACGTAAAAAAATTACGACATAACACACTATGCCCAAAATTTTACTCCGAAGCTATGTGACCTTGCTTGTATAGTTATAATATGAATAATTATGAAAAATATACATGTGAATGGTAACCTTAATAACTAGAATATAGAATTATTTACAGGGTTAGGTTATAGCGATCCAATACCATAGATTGTATAGTAGAAAAGCTCATGTTTTCACACCACAAATCCTATGATGCCATGGTACACTGACGACTGAGAGCTTGTTTGACGATTATATTAATTCTGTATAAAAAATTGTGACGCTTCATCAACGCGGATTCAGCTTAAAACTATATTATATAAAAATAGTTATGAAATATATTTACGTCCCTTTAGTAAATAAATGCAACACATACGAAAACTATAAATAAAGCAATATAGTTTGTATATCTATACAGTGGGTCCAAGTTTGTAATCAAATAAAAAAACAAATCACAAACTACTTTACGATAAGAAAAAACTTAAAAAAACTTAAAAAAGTAGCAAAAAAATATTTTGATTATTTTTTATTGGGTTAATTGAATATTTTTATAATAAAAATCAATATATAAATCATCTAATATGATGAAAAACTCAAATTATTTGAGGGACGGTCCGTTATTAGTTTGGTATATAATTAAGTTCATGACGTCACCTGTCCGCTGCCCTTTCTTAAGAATCCTTTGTTGGTTGGTTTCTTGTTGACGTTTGTTTGACTGGTGGTCCTTGTTTGACCGGTCGTCTTCGGCCTCAAGCTGGGTATCTGTGACACTCGTATGCCGATAGCTGATTTCTGTTTGGTCGCGGTGGACACCGGGCTGAGTTTCGGTTGACCTTCGAACGTGGAACTCCTTATCAGTTTCGGTGTTTCGGGCTTGTCACTATCGATCCAAACTCTCTTATCAGCCTTGGCTGGTAATTTCTTCGTCTGCTCCACTTTCTTCCATAGATTCGCGATTTTGCTTTCCACGTCCTTTGTTTTAGAGGACGCTATGGAATTCACGCTCGAAGTGCTTCCTTGTCGGGAGCCGCGCGCTAGTACTATAGTTTTGCCGCTGTCATTGCTCTGTAAGCTGTGGTTGGATGCTGAGTTTTTCATTATAGGTTCTGAAGTACGTTTTGCTGAATTTTGTTTGGTATTTGGTTTGGTAGTGGAAGTACGGGTTCGATTAAACTGTGGCAACCTCGATGGTGAGGTGTTGGCTAGCGTTTTTGTGGGTGAAGTGGCGGTGCCGGGCCGAGTTCCAATGGACTTTTTACTCGGGACAGGCAGATCTTTAGCGGGTACTGAACTTTCTTCTTTGGTGAATGTGCCCTGTCTGACTAGAGGTGCGGGTTTGCTGGAAGACGGCGCGCTTGATGGTTTTTGAGCTACTTTGGATGGGGATTTATTGAGGGCAGTCTTTTTGGGAGAAGTAGTTGGGACTACTTTAGAAGTTACCGAAGTTTTGGCTGGCGCTTTCACTCCTGCTGTTTTACTGGTGGTCGGTTTCTGTGTAGTGGCAGACTTTGGAGGGACTTTAACAGCTGTTGGCGTAGATTGTTTCTTGGGACTTGGAACGTTTCGTCTGTAAGGTGATACATACATGGCCTTTTTCCTACCCCTGACTACTTTAGGAGCTTCGTGTTCCTTGTCACCTGACTCGTTTGAATCTAAACTTTCATCTCTTCTCTCTGGCTTAATTATTTTAGGTTTCGGTCTCGTCGTTGGTGTTTCCGAATCTGACTCCGATAATGCTTTCCCTTCAGATGTGCTGTCACCTTCGAAGCTGGCAAAGTCGCTGCTGCTCGGGTTTTGTAAGTTACGTCGGTAGGAGGCGGTCATTTCTATATTTTTAAGATTATTAACCACGCACATGTCAACCGACGCCGGACTTTCGATGACGGGGAGATAGTTCCTGAAACTTTTTGTGTAAGTTTTCATTTTAGTTGAATTTAATTCGAAGTCGTCTTCGTTATGTCCGCTGTCGATGTCTCTGAATACGTCATCGCTGTGTCGGTCGTCCAAGAGTTGTTGATGATTTAATTCATTCGAGGACAGGCTGTCGTAACCGGTTGTAGTTTCAACGTTTTCAAAATTAGCGTCTTTAGTGACAAATGTTGGTGAGGGCGGAATGTCCTCGCTGAGAGTCCTAGTTCTGAATCTCTCTGCATCTTCGATTCGTTTCTGTTTGAGAGTCTTTTTTGCAGCCAATCGTTGTTTCAGACTCTCGATTTGAGGATTCAGCTGTTCTCTTTCCTGAGAGGAATCTTGAGAAAGTATATTATGAATGTTAACGGTCTGAGTTTGATACCTAGCTCTGTCCTCTTGTCTTCGTTGTTTAGCACTCAGTCGACGTTTGGATTTTGATTCTGAATTCGCTGTTACGTATTCATCTGATTTATCGCTTTCAGATTTCGTCCAAGTTACAAATTCCTCAGATTCTACTTTCAGTACAACATCGTCACTGGATACGGTGTCCGTGATCGTGTAAGTCTGATATCTGTGCTTTGCCGCACTTCGTTTTTCTTTTGGGGTCAAATATTTAGGATCACGTTGTCTTTTTGGTGTAGATTCGACGCTGCTGATATCTGATGGTAAGGGCGTGCAAGTTTCTGAGCCGGATGGTATATCAGTTATGACGTTCAGAGTGTTCGATGTACAATCATCGTACACCTGGTGAGCAGTCGTCTGGTCTGCTTCCAAAGTAGATTCTGCTATTTCATCGAACAGTGAAGGCGGATTCACTTTGTCCAAGTCGTGGAAGACGTGTGTAAATGTAGAACACAGTGGGAAGTCCTGAACTGGTTGTTTGTAATCGAATATCAAAGGTGTTTTGCTCTCTTTAGTCTCGGCCACTTCAGACACAATACTCGACACTGAAATCATGCTTCCATCCATATCGAGATTTTCCATTTCCGACGGGGGTTTTACATTATCTAATAAGCTAAGAGGGATACTATCTAAATGTTCAGAGCTTCCTTGATGCATCGAGTTGCTGAGCGCTCGTTTCATCATGAGAGCAACAGGCAGTGATTTCTTTCTACTTTTTTGTGACTTTTTCGAAGTTTGTGCTGTCTCATCCCAGTGGCCGGACGCACTGAGCGAGAGTAGACTACCTAAATTCGATGGAGGTTTAACATTATCTAAATCCAGCGACGTCAAAGACGTAACGCTATTTTCCATTGCGTATTGGGAACTCTTTAATTGTGCGGCAAGTCTAGCAGCTTCCTTTTCAATAGCTAACGCCATAATAGAATCAAATTTAGGTTCCCCTTCATCCACCAGTGACGTGAAGCTAGGCTCGGGTATATTTTCAATCAGGACTTTATCGTCCAAATGAACATCGTCAATCTCTGGTACATTTCCATCCAGTTTGTCGGTTAAATCCGGTTTTGAGAACAAATTAGGGGCTTCGCTTTTTTCTAGCAAGTCTGGGAGAGCCATAGCCGTGTCAACGATCTCACTCTTCATTGAGGATACCAAATGTACGGAGCCACTAATCGTTGGGAAGGTGACGTCATCCGGGCACGTGTTTTCATTCCAGGTATCATTATTCTTGGATTCAAATTCCAAGTTCATCGGTCCCTCTATATATTTTATATCCGTCCACTCGGGTTTGTGTTTATTCTTCCTCGTCAATGTTCCTGAATCATATTCCTTGTGTTTTTCGTCTTCACTCCAGGAACCATCCAAGACATCGGCGTATGATTCATTGGATCGGTTTAACTCATCTCTATCAGATTCCACCGTCGTGTTGCATGACGCCGGCGCCAAGCACTCATTGGATTTATCCATTTCTATACAGTCCGAGTCTAGAGTGGTGTTCCCCGAGTCGATAGTAGGCATTTCGTTAGATCGGTCGAAGATGGATATGGGCGTGTCGTTGATGGTGATCTGTATGTCATCCAAGGTGTGTATGGCGGAATCATCAGAGCCAGTGTTGTCTCGCGCGGTGCGTGCGTCGTCTGCGGCCGCGGGACCCGCAGACGGCGCCTCGACGTTTTTTGACTGATTTGATTGAGAGCTCTGATTAGCTGGTTGTGTTTCGCCGGCGCCTCGCGCTATAACTTCTTCCAATATCGCCCTGTCCTTTGAATATTCCTCGCCGACCATTTTATCCAAGGCTCCCTGATGTTTGGTGTCCCGGCGACGTCTTCTATGTGATTCTCTCACTTCCAGTCGGTCGTCACTCCTAACCCGTAGTTTAGGTTCCTCCTTCTTCTTCGGCAGAGGCTTTGACATTCCCATTCGTACTGATCGTTCGAACACTTCTTTGTCCGTGGAACCGAATGAATCGTTGCTGAGTGAACTGAGTGAGTTGCTTCTATCTAGCCGGCGTGGTTCGTCGCTCCTGGTGGGTAGGCTTGTTGGTCCGTCGTCGTAGTACCGTGGGTGACCTCTGAATCTCGACTGATGAGTTCCAGAACCTTCTCCGTGATATGAATACGACGACCTCGCTACATTTAAGTTAGCAAACTCCTGTTCTAGCTTCTTAACTTTGTTGCTAGGTTTAATGTTATAAGCCCCAGACGCGATGTTCTTCTCAAACTCCGGGTCTCGTACCTTGTGGCCCCTGTTGGTTATCTTATCGCTTCTATCGAGCGACCTGTTGTGTCTGTTGTATTTCGGTTCCGTCCTTCTCTCTGCTGAGTGTGCCTTACCTTTGCAGTTATCGAGACTGTATTGCGCTCTAGGGTTGACACTCGAGAGCCCAGCTTTAACAGTCTCTTCGAATATTTCCCTATCGGTAGAACCAAACGAGTCTAAACTGAGTGAACTTAGAGAATCGTTTCTCACTAAGTTTTGTGTGACCGGTAACTTTGGTTTTGGAGTCCGTTGAGATTTTTCGGTCTGTCTTCGACCTGCAAAGAAAAATAAGAACATTTATTGCAAATTTTATAACGTCATATGCAGATTACACTAATTTCATTAAAATACCGATCTAAATTTCGTCAAGTAGATATACAATATCATAGTTTCTTGGCATTTCTTAAAGGTTTTAGGAACATATTTTACATGCAGATTTGACAGTTTATTTGAATTGGATGAAATATACGTATAAAGAACCGCTTGATTCGTTAATATATAGTACATGTTTACATTGGGTGTGATTAAATGAGAATTGAGTTAATATTTTACATTATGATAAGAATAAAATATTATAAATGTTACCAAAATCATCAGGCGGTGGCGGGCGAGGTGGTGCGGGGCTGCGACGCTCCTTGGGCGGTAACGGCGGCGGACTGGAAATGAGATGGTTTGTATGAACACAACGTAAGCCTGGTCTACACACGTGTAGGTTATTAACAAGATAAAAAGATGATATTTGATATATTATTAAGATTAACAGGGAGTAAAATAATTCCTTTATAGCACATCACCATTTTTATTAGGAAAAAAAAAGAATAATACGTGAATAATTACGAGGAAAATTAAGTCTGGCCTATACACGACTCAACTTTAAAATATATAAAATAGAATATAGTTAAAAATTATCGATTCTTCAATTAAGAAAATGAATTATTCATATCACATCATAACTTTCATCCCAAAAAAATATAAATGATAAGTAGAAATGTTTGCATTATGAACATATTAGATTTTTTTTACCAATGAACAGATCTTTAGGTTACTTTTACTTATATAACAATTTATATATTTTTAGTAAATATATCTGGTTAGGAAATAAGATACAATTATTAAATATAAATAATAAAAACATACCTTTCACGAACGCTTCTGAAGTCGTTAGACATCATCACGGTCTCAGTTGAAGACCTCAAGTGTGCGGGGAGAGACCTCTGTAACAGAAAACAAGGATTATATATTATGTACAACTCAATTAAGATGAAAATTTACAATAGTATCTATATCATACATATAATAATTTTTATAGGGTGCAATTATGATTGTATAGCAGGTATAGTGCGTTTGATTTAAGCTGAGCTTTGCATTTGTGTGCGTGTACACGGATAGTGTAGGTGTGATGTCAAATTTTTGAATACTGCGTTCTTTTCTAGTTTTCAACCTGTTTATTCTGCTTTTACTTCGCCCCGCACCTTCCGCACTTCACCCTTTGTAATGGTAGCAAATTCAAATGTTGAAAACGCAATGTCAAGTGACAAAAAATTTGTATCGTTTTTTCAAAATTTTTATTACTTAGTAATTTTTTTCCCATAATATTTCCATTTAGCCTTTTACATGTTTCGCTTATTTTATTTTTAAATCTAGAATAACTCTCGCACTTATTTTATGTATCTATTTCAATATTATAAAATTGAATTCTAAAAGTTTTTTGTCTATCTCTACTTTTATTTTCACTCACACGAATGCAAAGCTCAGATTAAGTCTAACGGACTATAGTATATTGTTAATAATGTGTTGTACTAACATAAACATCGTTCCTCACTGTGTAGGACGCGGAACCGTCTGACGGAGGTCCCTTGTGTTTCACCACCTGTAAATAAGAAGTAAATACTTGTGTTACGCAAGCATAATTAGATAATAAGTTTACGGTATAACAATGGTGTAAAGTACGGAATGCTGACTCTGTGCCATCAGTGGGAATGCAGAATGGGATTTAACATATTCAGTCTGGAGTCACCCGCTGACTTACAGACACCTCTTCAGGATGTATTTAATTATAGAATGGGTCTTAAGTCAATCGCTGACTTAGACCCCGCTCTAGCTAGTAGTTAAATTTAAGTCTTGATTGTAAAATTCAATATATTTTATAAGTAAAACGAATTTTTCTTGCATCCTTCACTGCCACCAAACGTAATTCTTGTGTAAATATCTTTATATTCCTTTCATGACACTATATTATTATTTAAAGAGTTATGACAAATGATCTCGAAATTAAATTATAAAAGATAATGTACATAAAAAACATATTAGAAGCAACTTTGATATGTATACATTTAGATTGTTGCAATGTTTTTACTTAATAATTTGCTGTTTCATGAGTCATTCTTATACTAGCAGTCTGTCAGATTTGTTAAGTTTTAATATTCTCCAAGAATGGGGACGACACAAATGTGTTCTTCTTATATATATACTAGAAGACCCGGCGAACTTCGTATCGCCCTATAATCAAGAGATATCTGTTACGTTTTTTTATTTATATTTTTGGAGTTCACCTATTAAAGCTATAAATCTCCGTTTTCTGAAGTTCAACAGAATGATTGACATATTAGTTAGTTGCCAAATCTAATGTAAAAAAAACGTTTGTATGGGAAATAGAAAAGGGCTGTTTTTAGGGTTTTCCCCGGAAATGAATCATTTTTTTTTTTAGCTTTTAAACCTTCCCTAAACCTCCACGAACATTTCAAGACTAAGATAAGATAAATCCGTTCAGCCGATCTCGAGTTTTAGTGAGACTAACGAACAGCAGATCAGTTATATATTATATAATATGTATATTTCCTAATGTGTGTGTGTTTACCTGTTGTATGCCCCTCTCTATACAAGCTTGGAGTATACCGTCGCTTTGAGGGTCGCTATCCGAATCGCCATCTGATTTTAAGAAAATTATTATAGTATTTATTATTAGTTTTTAACTCACTAAGAATAATAATGTAATACCTTTAACGATATCGCTGCCGGAATCTTTAGCTATCTGCTGTGGACTGCAAAAAAATGCAAAGTATTATAAATAAAAGACGAAGATTAGTATTGGAAATATATGTGGAACTTATTCAAAGGCACAGCTAATATACTCATATGAATGGTACGAACATCTAATAAATAAGTTCTTGCTAGAGTCTGATTTGAAAACTATATTTAAGATTTATTTTTAGTTTTTTCATGTATTCAAACGGTTTAGAAAAAAAAATTGATTAATAAAAATATTTTTATATTAAATATATATTTTTCCATCTTGGATTAATGAAAAGAAACTGAACTATGTATTACTCATTTTAATTTCTTTTGACTTTCTTATCTTAAACAACTTCCTGTTTAGTTATAATTACTAGCTATTTACATCTGTAACGATGGCGGTAGTTTCATTTAATGTTAATATCAATAGATAAACAATTCTCTCGTTATATATGTTAGTATTAAATTATGCTGTATATAATAAAAAACATTATTTAATAAGATATTAATCCATCCAACTATTACATTTTAAATATATAGATAATTTCAGTATATTATATATTGTGTGTATGTCGTGTGTTGCCCATACCTTTCTTCTAGATGTTCCGAGTCAGTGGGTTCGTGTCCCGGCGGCGTCACGTTGTGTTCGACATAAGATTCCTTGTTCAGTTCTTCACATAATAGAGGCAGCTGCAATGAATTGAATATATGTTATTTAATGATAATGATCTTTTAAATATATGATTGTATTTACCAAAACTACTCAAATATGAGGAAGAAAATTCCTATCTAAATTACATTGGAGCAGTTACATTGGAACATACTTATATATTTATTTATATATTTTATACGTCTGCCTGACTTTGTTACTAGTTTAATAATATCGAACAATAATTTACAGTTAGGGTTTATATAAATGAGTAGAATTTTTTATAATTTACAAATGTTTGTCGTTTATTGATCAGACATTTGGTATCTCTAGCTACAGGGATTTTTTTAATCAACAAACTATGTTTAGAAATGTGATGAATTGAGAATTATCATAAATAGGATCTCATGACTTTGATAGAACTTAGATAGCTTAATGACGATTGATTCCACCATATGTTTTACTACAGGAGTTAACTCATATACGAGCTGCAGTCTGTTGTAGCCTGACCAGGAGCGTGCATTATTAAACGACATACAGAAAGTATCTTGTTTTTTCAGTGCTTGCTTTGATACTGTCATGTTAGACTATATATGAATGAAAAAATGCTAATTCTCTGTTTGTCGTTTCACTTTACAAACCCATGTTAAGAATACTTATTACAAGCTCTATCTAACAGTAATAGTAGTTATGTAGAGAGGAGCTTGGACGGTGGAGTTGAGCGTTTAACGCGTTAGATAGAGGTCCCTTAAACCTACAGCTGGGTCGCAAGTCCCAGTCACTGTTGAAGCTCCTCTCACTACAACGATAGACCCGGCACCCGCACCGTGAATATATTGAATGATGAGAGATTTCGTCTCTACAAGTTTTATCTAAGAGTAGGATATTAGTAGTATGTGTATGTACCCTCGGCTCGTCGTTAATAGTGAGGCTAGAGAGGCTTGTGTTGGCTGAGAAGTGTGCCGGAGTGTTTTCCACCACGAACTGTGCGGGCCGCTCCTCGAACACAGACGACACTAGCTCCACTGAAATATATCATGATAAACATATTAATATATGATTCATATTAATATAAACACTTTTGTATAGTCAAAGAAAAAACATAGAATATCAGTAAGTAAGGTATGAATAAGGAAGACTTAGCCTTATATTAAGAGGGTTTTCAAATCTGTATGTGTGACATACATACATATATAAGTACGAAAAGATCTATGATCATCTCGTTATTATGATTACTCATTAGAAAAATCACACCATATATGTTAAATTTAATGTTATTCATATATTTAACTGTATTATTCATGACTTCCGAACAATCTGAGATTAGTGTTACTTAATACAAATTAGGGTAATATCAGTGTTTATTTTATATCTACCAATAACGATGCTATGGTCATGTTGTTTATATCTTAGTTATTCACAAACAAGTTACTGAGCCGATATTAATGTTACTTTAACATAATGTAGCTGATATATAGAACAGTCGAATGAATTTGTGAAGCATATAATGTATGTGTGTTTGTGTACCGTGATGTATGGGAGGAATCCTTGGAGATAATTGTGCTCGTGGAGAGAGAGGCACGGATTGTCCCGGGGAATCCGGGATCTCACTAGGGGAGATGCATCCAGAAGTTAACCGGCTGCGGAATAAAGATATATTAGTAATTATATCACAGTGATTAAAATATATGGATAATATTTTTATGTAATATCGTTTAGAAACGTGTAGAATGACTAATTTTACAATAACAATCAAGTGCGATTTGATATCGAACACGAAGGAACAAGACGTTAATTATCTTTAAAAAAAAATCATGATGTTTTTTTGAGGTCCCTTAACTTTTTATTCTACATATTATGTTCTTTAATATGTTTTATTTATTTTTTTCAGAATATCAACTGCCTATCAGGATGTTTCTTGTCACAGCCTGACGACGAGCACGAATAGTGAATTCTTAGTAAAAACTTTCACATATATGAACCCTATTTTTTTACTGGTATAATAAATTTCATATATGTATATTGTTAATTGTTACCTGATTTCGGACACCACTGACCCCTGGTCGTCTTGTTGCGAGCATTCAGGCAGGGATCCAAGTGAACTTGACCGACTGAACATAAGAGGAGTGTCCTCTATGAAGCGAGGAGGAGTGGAGGATTCAATTGACACGGCCTCCGTGGCGAATGTCACCGCTTTAGAACCTGGGAGGAAAAAATATATAAGTTAATATTACTTACAACGTATGAAATTAGTATATTAAACCTTGATACGACATATTCGTGTTTTCTTGGTCAACTTTATATTCTAAGTTTATATTCTTTGTTTCAGTGTTTATGTTAAGAATATTTTTTTCAAACAAGTAATTGGTTTGTCTTCAGGATATAATATTTTGTTGTTAAACGAATACGTGAATTATTATATCTCTTCTTGGGTTATAACTAAGAACAATAGGTAACCCTACTATATTTTTTTGATATTGAAATTCATTATTATGTATATATCTTTAATATGTTCTGAGTTGTGTTCTTATACACTACATTGTATAAAGTTGCTTCTATTTAAAGTCTTACCTTCTTTATCTTTCCCTGAGCTACTAGTGCTCTGTTCCTGCGGGCTCGGGTCAACATTGATGGATGCCTGAGCGTTCTTCTTCGCCAGGCTGTCTTCTTGCGTGGGTTCTCCCAGACTACTGAGTGAACTGACTCTTGAGAAGTACCCCGGTGTTCCCTCGTCGCAGTAGTTCACAGGTTTTTCGGGACTTATCATTCCCGAGCTGAATTTAGTATCGAAGACGCTTCGTTTCTCTGCTATAGGTTCGGAGCTTGCTTGTGGCGGGGTGATAGTGATCTCATCGTTATTGTGTGGCGGGTCTTCTATAGAGCACGTATCCTTTTCGTCGGAATGAGTCATGGCTTCTGGATGTTCTTTTACGCTGGAAGTCTTGGGTTTCCCGTCTTTGCCGATGATGCGGAGGTCGGACATGGAGGTCGCTGTGGAGAAAATGATCGGCGTTTCATACGGCGTGCCCTCGGTCGCGAAATGCTTTATAGTGTCTTCATGGACAGAGGGCGCTGGTGGTTCTGATATATCCGAGCCGGTTTCCGACTGGTGTTCCGCGTAACGTAGCGAGTAGTCAGTAGGTTGATCCAGATCGGTCTCCTGATAATCACCGAATGTATTCGGATTATCTTTCTTATTATATTTTTTGGATTCAGACTTTGATTTATCTACAGGCTCGGTGTCAGTCTTCGTTTCAGAGTATTTCCTACTAAAATCGATAGGTTGGTCGCAAGAATCCTGGTCGACGTCATAACCGGATTCTGTGTAGTTGGTTCTCATGTCGGTTGAACTCCTCGGAGGCGGTATGGGTGGTTGGTTGTATGGTAGATACGAAGGATCTTTTGTTAATGTCTGAGATTTGAATGTGTCACTTCCTGTGTCCATTTTCATTAAGTCTTTATTCCTTGGCGTCGGTACAGGTACTTTGCCGGTACGCGCGCTTCTTTCGAATACGGAATCTGAATGAGTACTGGTGACCGAGTCCTTGCTGTCGGATCTATTGACATTGTTAGAGCTGCTACCGGTGGAACGAGTGACCAGCGCTCCCTTTAAAAGAGTGTTACTGCAGCTCAAGTAACTCGCTAGATGTGCGCTATGACTTAAAGATATCTGGGAGGAGAGCGTCCCCATGAGCGGTGAGCTGGACGTCATCCTATGCCTTTCTAGATTCATTGCTATTTGTCTTTCGGTGGCTGTAAAAAGATTCTTTTCCTCTCTGTTACTAGTAGTCGGAGAGGTCGCCGGTTCTATGTTGTCACAGGTTTCTGCAAGGTTTTGGTCTAGTTCTTGCTCCAGTGCCTTTTGTTTCCTAGCTACGAGGGTCGGTAGAGCGGGCAAGTTCATACTTCTCGCGGTAGTGTCCAGGGATATTATATGTGTCTTTCCGGGTTTAGAATTCAGTAAATTTTTCAAGGCAGCACTGGATCCCATAGCTATCATTTTGTGTTTCGAGTGAATGAGACTTCTGAGCATCGGTACCGCTCCATGGTCCCACAGGAACTGTTGATCTTGAGGACATCTGGCTGATAAGTTCCAGAGAGTTCCGCACGAGTTGCTGACAACAGTTAGACTTGGAGACTTGAGGTGTTGCAGCAAGACACTTAAACAATTTCTCTCGCGGAGAATTTGCCTGTAATCTTCTCGAACCGCGATGTGACTGGACACATTCCGCATGATACCACCCGCATTCTCCACGATGGCTAACGTCTTTGTCGGTGAATTGTAACTCAGCATGTCTACTAAGAAACCCAAAGCTCCATCTACAGAACACAAAGCCACTTTGTTCATCGAACAATGAGCTGTTAGATTCCAGAGCGCGGAGAGAACTGACTTGAGTGTAGCTTCCTTTTGGCACGTCATAGCGGCTTTTGTCAATCCCTTCACGGCACCAACTTCTCTTAGTACTTGTTTACTATTCGTGTCAGCCCTCCAAGATAAATTTCTAAGCACTGCAGCCGTGACCTATAATGATAGATAAAACAAATAAGTTTTTGACAAGTTGTATATATCAATAGTTGTTTATATCAATTTTATATAAAGTAAATTGTAATACCTGTCTCATGTCATCGTTAGGAGACTCCAGTTGTTCAACCAGCGCCAACATGAAGTCTTTAAATGAGCATAATAATGACTTATTATTTCCGTCCCCAAATGTCAAATTTGTAAGTGTCATACCAGCATACTTCCTCATCGTTAGACATGTATTATCGTCAGTTCTGCTTCCGTGCGCCGCTTGGTCCCCACTAACAAGCGCTGCTAACGCTTGCAAACCTCCTAATTGACAAACTACGTGGCGATGCTCTTCATCGAAGGACAATTTCATCAAGGCAGCAACACTCTGGCTAGGATGTTTAGTGGCATCATCTTCTACTGCCTCTTTGCCTTCTTTCCTAGCTTCGACCACACCTTCTAATACATAACAATACTCCCGGACTTGTTCCAGCAGTCGCCACACCCTCGCTTCTCTTCTGCCGGCTTTGTCATCCTTTTGGGTGTGTATTATATTACGAAGCGCTTTGGCCGCACGATCTCGCGTTTCTCTCGGTACTTTTGAGTGGATCAATTGAACCAATAGTGGAATGCATCCAGCTTGCCTCATTGCTATACAGCTTTCAATCGATCTGCTCATTTCTAACAGTGGCTCGCTAAGATCGGCATTGTTTTCTGGCGATAAGCTTAGAAGAGATATAAGAGAACATACACATTCCATTTTGTTTTCCAAATTTGATGATGGTCGCGGTCCATCTGAACCGTTGCTAGAGAAACTCCTTACGCTTCCTGAATCATGTGCAGTCCAGACGTCTCTCTCTCCTGGCCAGGTACCTCTGTAGAGTTGTGACGCCCTCTTGTCACGTTCGCTCGACCTGGCTGCACTCTCTAAGCCATAATGAAGTGTGCTTCTGTAATTCGTTCTATGTGGTCTTTCATCTTGAGTCGTGTACGATGTCTGCGGTTTGTTTGTCCTTTTGGGCGGAGCACCGGATTTCTTTTGTGCTTGATTATCATCACCGTCGACTTCATCGTCGAGGAAATTTGGATTTGTTATGTCGCTGCGTTCATCAAACTCGTCCGGTGATGGCGAGTGATCGAGGAAGTGAGGTTTGAGAATACGGCATTCGATGTTTGATTTTGATGGGAGCTGGTAATCGTCATCGAGGAAATGCGGTCGGCGGGAGAGGTCAGATTCTAGATCCAGAGTTAGATCTCTGGTACGCGGTTTATTTGGAGGTTTGTTTAAGTTTTGTCTTGGATATTTCAGTCTGGCGTCTTTTGGGTCCGGTAAGCGACGTGTATCCGGTGATATAGGAGAAGATGCATCCAGAGGCCCTCGAGGAGGTTCGCTCGAAGTAGACGGAGTGCATTCTTCACTGGCCGATGGTCCTGAATCAGTCAATGGTGAATTCGATGAGTCCATACTGCTCCAAGGATCTACCATTACTTCGTTCTCCAACTGCAACAAATATAGCAATGTTTTCATTACACCTTATAAGGAAAAATAAGTCAAGTATGAGGTATCACATGTAAGGTTATCAAGTTCGAGCTAAATGAAACGAAAACGGTATGTAATGTCATTCCGTTTGTTAGCGGTCAAGGCTGGTTGGTAGCACTTAATAACAAACAGAAAAAATGATTTAAATAAAACAATAGCATAAACATAGCGTGGAAACTGTTTTTAATGATTATAAAACAATCATATATAAATAAATATATATTTATATTAATGCATAGAGAGTACATAACACGCATAAATACGAGAAACTCGAGCTGTTTTAATAACGACATAAACTTGTATATTGCATTACAAATTAAATTCGAGGAAGTGAGTCATATATCGCAACTCTTCAAACATGTAACGTCTCAATAAATAATAGAAAACCAACATCAAAACAATGTAAGTAGACGTTGAATATAAATTACCAATGACTGAACATTTCTCGGTGAAACATTTAACAGCGATAGTGTATGTAATCATTAAGACTGAATGTATGGTGAAAGTGGAGTGTGACGAATCAGACAGAATTTCTTCAACGTTCTTTTAAACTTGACATTTAATTGTATTATATATTTCATTACTTCAATATTGAATACATTTTTATTACACAATATCGGCATGACTGTGATCGTATTTGTTTAGTTTCTATTAACAATGGACAGCGACTGACAGATGTATGATGCCCGACGCATACCAATGCATCAAAAAACACAATAGCGCTGGCAAGAGGCGTCATTATTGTCTTATTGCTAAATATTTTATCACAATAATGTTGAAAGTGAAATTGGGACTCCAATATAAAATCGAGAATACATTTTCGTGGTTTCAGGTCCAAAGGAAATTTCTGATATTTTCTACCAGCAAAACTTACCAGATCGCTCTCAGTATTCGTGACGTACGTAGAGTTTCCGTTGTCTAGGTCGATCCCTGAATCATTAGCATCGCATCTTCGCCTCTCATTCCTCACGACCTCATGATAGTTCCTCAGCGTACTGAACTTGTAACTGTGCTCCGATGAAAAATCATCGTATAATTTGAACTGGTTAGCGTTGAATTCTGTATCGTTGTCGAGTACGTCTCCACTGTATGCTTTCGGACGGTTCGTCTTCTTGTACGTGAACATCACTTTATAATAGTCCCGATTCATTTTATCACTGATTGTTCATTATTATTGTATTTTATTTTTATCAGACGCGTTATTCTGCGAGCCGGTTTAATATCGGATGTATTGAACACGGTCGTACTGAACTTGACACATTTACAACCTAAATTAGTTTAACGTACTATGATCTAATTGACGTTGCTGTTTATGACCGTATGTTATGTGCATAAATGCAATATTAAATATAAATCAATTGCATATTCAACTGTTGATTGGTAAATGGAATTAATATCGTCTTCGCCTCCTATATACTACATTATCCCTAAATTTATTACCATGGATGCCTTAAGATAAATTGCTATGGCATAATATATGATATAAATTAAAATAGCTGAGATGTTCCAGATTCCATTGACTACCAAATATTAAAGGAGCTAAGCTATGAGTGTTTAAACCTATCCTCAACACACGCTGGTACAACAATAAACAATCCGACGATTATAGAATTAAACTGGGTCATGTTACAGCGACCTTTCCTAGAATATACGTAATAATAAAAAATTCTTGGTTAAAACAAGGGTTTAGAATAAATATAGATTAAAATTTATAGTAACTATGAAGTTAAATTGGATACAATCCAAATATTCGTCTGCTGATACAGAGTAAAATAATTTATTATTCTTCAAATATTTCAACTACAGAGACAAATTGACTGTATTCAATAAAGCTATGGAAACTAGTTTGAATGAATGTCGAATTGTCGATACTCATTAACCTAAAGCTAAATAGGTATACAATGATATTTAAAAAAAAAAAACATTAATAAAATAAGACTTAGTTATAAATTACATGAGAATTTAAAAAAGATAAATTACGCAAAGTTTTCAGATGTTTACAATTGAAAAATGTAATTTAATTCAAAGCATGATTCGGTATATTTTTCTCTGTGTCTAAATACTTGAGACCTATTAAAAATATGTTTAAATTAATGAAAAACGATAAAAATTTATCGTGAAGTTGAAAACGTTAAGACATTTAATGTATTTGTAAATTAAACTTGTCTTCGTTAAATTATCAGAATCGTTCAATACACGGAAGAACATCCGTCGATTGTTGGCTGTTTCAATACTTCGCGTTTCAATAATAAAGAAAAACTTCTTATACACAGACATACGTAAAAAAATCTTTATATATATATGTTATGTTTACGATGTTCGTAATTCAAGGTTCTCATTTAACGGCTTCGAATCTATTTTACGATCTGAACCGTGTCTATTTTCGTGTAAGATCCGCAGTGCGTGGATAAATACTAGCAATAACATTTATATTTCTATAAAATTAAAATGGTATATTTGTGATAATCTAAAAATTCTAAGGCTATAAACATCTATCATAAGAATCCTTGACCTGGATGCTATTGGCGACAATAATTCGATGGCCCTCGACTTTTCTCCGCCCCGAGTGGCTGTTACCATTTCTTTAGAAGCATATTTCTTTATATACTATACATACTACTGTTCTTTGTTACATCACACGTCAGGTTTATGTAACCACACCATCATTCTGTGGTGATCCACAGAGCACGATGTATTTTACACCACAACCAGGTCAATGACTCCGAAACTTAAACAATGCACTCTAGAATTACGATCATAGTGAAGATTTTTAACCAACAAAAATACATGTATGAATCATTCTTGGTTTTAACGCATCATAAAAAATATCGTCGAAAGACAAGTTTAAAATGGAAAAAAATAAAAAGGAAGTTAGACGAAGTTGGAGCAGTGACAAGTAGCACAGGATGTGAGCTAAAAATAGTTGATTAGTTTAGTGATTTAAAAACGTGAACATAAACTTTGGGTTATTATAAATGACGCTATATATAAATACATTTTTTACTATTACTATATTAAATGAAACGAAAAGCAACAAAGACTCAGTAGATCCGAGCGGTCAAGTGAAAGAAAACGGTGAAAGTGTTTTGGTATTTCGCGATGAATCCATAAAGACAATTGGAGTGAGATGGATGGCCTCAAATTATATGAGGTCGATCCAAAACTAAGCAGACCACAACAGTTTGTGACCTCTGGTGTCCTATAAATATTAGTAATTATTAACACACTTAAATTAGCTTGGGCTGTATGTATGTAAAAGAATCTTTGAGCACGATTTTCACCGGTTTCAAAACATCTGATTAACTTGAAACTTTGCATATGTATCAAGGACCAATGACAATGCAATAATTCGTTAACAATTTGCCATTATCCTTGTTAGCGCCGCCAGAATTAATATATTCTTTTCATAGATCCTCTATGAGAAAGGGACAGAGCTAAAGTGTGATTTTCGCATGTCCACAAAAAACTAATTGATAAATCGTACTAAAAAATATAAAATAAATAGTAGTTTTTTTAAACTAATATTTTTTTATCATAAAGTTATTGTGAACCAAATCTAGACTGTGTTATAACAACAAAGACTTTAATTAATTTAAATAAAAGATCGATTCTTCTCAGTGCTAAAATTAATAAGTTTATAAGAACAAAAATGTAATATAAATTGTAACGCAAGTGAAAGTATCATAATTATTAACGGTTCTCGCTAGATCGATGTTGAATATAGTACCGAGAAGACTTACTACAAGTTTGATTTACTACGTTTTTTTTAATGGGGAAAGGGGGCAACCGAGCAGACGGCCTACTTGATGGTAGGTAGTTACTTATGGACATCTGCAACGTAGATTTGCGGAGGAAAAGATGGGAAAAGGAGGGAAAGGAAAGGGTAAGAAAGGGCACGTTAGGACCATTTCTAGTTTGCCCACATAAGCTATCAATGTAGGTTTACGAATGTTAACTGTACACGCTACGTCTGCAGTATGATAACTCACTTATAGTAGACTTGTGTTAGTCTTCGCATAATGAAAACGTTTCTCAGTTCTCACATTGTATCACTTGAGTTTTTATTTACTTTCCTTGTATATAACGATAAAAATTCGTTCATTTGTATGTAGGATTCTTGTATTGATTACGTTTAATATGTTAGTGTCGTGACGCTATGCTGGTGATAGTATGTTAGATACAGTGATCTATTTGAGCTATTACTGAGATATACATATATACTATATATTAGGAAATATATACTAATTGTCCACATAAATAATATGTATATCGGTTGTAAACTTAGTTTTATTTATAACTGTTAAATTTTCTTATACTTTATGTTTACTGCAAGTTTTCTATAGGTAATCACAAAGTGTACTTACTGTTTTTGGCTTTTACTTTACGATAATATTTTTTACGATAGTGAATGTCAAACTGGGAACTATACTGGTCCACGTGTAGTGTGACGCAGCTTCGTAGTAATCATACTTCATTTAAAACACTGTCATTGTATATTGTAGTAGTGTGTGTACATTTTGTTATAATGCTTGATATCCGCATTGCAGTCTACTGTCTAGTAGATTTGTATGTCTGTATTACGAGACAATACATAACTATAAAAAAAACTTCGGAAGATAAAAACACAGCCATAACAGAAAATATAATTTTGATCAGTGATTGTTAATTGAATTTATGTCATCAATATCGGTATAGCGTTTGAGAGAAATAAATAAACGAAAATATATCGTTTTGGTTTCCTTAAAATTATTAAGATTTCAATTTTATATTCAAATAGAAATATTGTATCAAAATTCATAGATACGAGCGCGATTCAAATATGCATGCTCCTTAATAAAGCAATCTAGATGCGTTACCGTTTGAGCTATAATGCCTTATAGCTTTTAAATACAAATATTAGCTTAATATAGCTTTAAACTTCAAATAAATCCTATTTATAAAAAAATATTTAATATGATTATATAGATTGAGTATTGTAATCATTTCTGAACGTTATATCATTTTTAAAAGCCACTATAGACTTATGCCATTATTTTTATTCCTTCTCAAAAAAAAATTATAATCTGAAAGTGTAAGATTAAAAAGACGTTTATAAAATACGTTTCAAATAAATCTTATTTTACAAATCAAATACTATTATGAATTTTAATGAACTTTGGCATGACTTATAATTTGACCAGGGTCGATATTTGCCAAGATTTCTTTCCCTCATTACTGCAATTTTAAGATTAAAATGTATAAAGGCATAAAAAGATGAAAACAAAATAAATTAATTAAACTAACATTTTTCCGGATATACTACGCGTGCTTTATCTTTATATTTATAATTCTTCTGTGAGTGTGTATGTCACTGAACTTCTCTCAAATGACTGGACCGATTTTGATGAAATTTTTTGTGTGTGTTCAAGGGGATCTGGGAATGGTTTAGACTCACAATTTTGTCCGCTGGACAATGTTTTTTTAATTAATTTTTATTTATTAGTAGTTGTTGACACAAACGTTTTTTTCGACATTAGATTTGACAACTAACTAATATGTCAATCATTCTGTCGCACTTCAAAACACGGAGATTTATGGCTTTAATAGGTAAACTCCAAAAATATAAATAAAAAAACGTAACAAATATTTCTTGATTATAGGGCGATACGAAGTTCGCTGGGTCTTCTAGTTTTTGTATAAAACTACATATTCCCGACGTTTCGGTTACTTTTCAGCAACCATGATCACGGACAGACGGGTGTGTAAAAATAAAGCACGCGTAGTATATCCCAAAAATATTAGTTTCATTTAAATGACTAAAATCGCAGATCTCAATATGAAAAAAAAAATTCAAAGTTTAAATTAAGAAAGTTTTTACTTAAGAATCGTTATTAGGAAACTTATTAATGATTAACAGTTTTTATTTGGGAAATGTCTTTTACAATATCGTTAATCAACGTAATTATGAGAACCAGAAACATGTAATTAGTTCTTTGTGTCTTAATCATAAAAAATATACAATAGGCGTCATATGTAATATATGACAAAAATAATCATAACGATGTATGTAATATTTCGTGTCACAATGATGTTAAAATAAAGATAAAAAAATATGCACAGTTTCTTAATTTATAAACAATATAATTTTACCATAAAATGATACAATTTTAA